GCTTATAAAAAACTTATCAGTTTTTTAATTTTTAAAAGTAATTTTTTTTCCGATAGGAAAAATCTAAAAAAAATTAGTTTTAAGAAATTTTTTACTTGTCAAAAAGTCTTGTCGTCAATTGGCATGTATTTTCAAGACGAAAAACGCCAAACCTTTTTAAAAACCATAAGAATCTACAGAAAATGATAGGCTAATGCTAAGGCTATGGCTATTTTTAATCCCCTAATTCTCTCTTCTGTCAGTTTTTTAAACTGTTTTAAACAAAAAAATCAAAAAATTGTTTTTTAGTTAAAAATATTTAAATTTTGAAAAAGTTAAGTTGTGTTCAAAGACAAAGATACTTTTTACGAGTAACTACTATGAAGAACGTTATTTTACAATTACTTTAAAGACACTAGCTATAATATTTTAAAATGATAATGCATGATAGGGAATTCAAAAAGCAATTTAAAAATTAAATTTGAAAATTAAAATTGATATAGAAAAATTAAAAACCAAACCTAAAAACCTAAAATAATATAAACCATAAAGCATTGGTTTGAAAATTCATTCGTAGCCTTTGAAGCCCCTTATTTTGTAAAACGAACAATTTCCATAAATCAAACACATTTATGGCCAAATGTTTATAGAGAAATTTAAATTTTAAAGAGAAATTTTAATCTAAATGTAGCTGACAGTAACAAATTGGTCATGTTTATACAAAGTACCAAGACTATAATATTTTATTAAAAATTTTAAAAAATATAGGTTTAGGAAAGTCTTGTCGTTTTTAAAACGTGCAAAAATATAAATATAGCGATAAAACTTTATTTAATTTAAAAAATTTTGATAAACATATTATCGAAAAAGTTTTGTCGTTTTCAGCCGTTCAAACACACGTGAATAAAAGACAAGACTTTTTTTGGTCCTATTTGATTTAAAATTTTTAAAAAATGTCAGAAATTCCTTTTCGAAATCTCATTAAAATAAAACATTTCTGATAAAAATTTATTATTCTAACGGTTAGACAATTAATAAAACGTTTAGAACAACATGAAATAATTCATCTTGACTGAATATTGCTTTTTTCCTTTTACGATTATTCAAATAAAAAGATAAGTAATGCGTTTTATTATTATGATAAATTTTGTTTTGGCTTGGGTTTTTGGATTCAAAAATTAAAAATGAAACAAATTTTTTTTAAATTTTGAAATTTATAGAAATTCTGTCATACCTAACTTAAATTTCATTTAAAAGTTAGAAAAAATGGTTTGCCCGTAGGCAAAAATAAATTTATGAGCATTTAAAATCCCCTTTCTTCATAAAAGCTCCCCCCCCCCTTCTAAACCTAAAGTGAGCCCACTTGGCCCAGCCCGAACAAATTTGAAAAAAACAGAGCCGGCTCAAGGCATGTTCGCCCCAGGGTCGGGCTCAAACCTAACAAATTTTACAATGCCCGGCCTTTTACAGGCCTATCACTCATCTTCCACCCTCCCCACTACCGCCCCCCCCTCCCCCCTTACTCCCGAAGGTTTTTTTCTAGCTTTCCTCATTCCCCCCCTCTTCCCTTCCCCGTAGCTCATACTTCTGCCATGCCCTGACAAAAGCCTATGACGACTAATATACCAACTACACCCACAACCCACCTCAGAATGACAAATCCACGCAATATTAAACGGTAGAAAGTAAAGGTTACCGCAGTCAAAAAGTTATAATTTGCACGCTTTAGTGCCTCCGGGTCCGATGAGCGGAAAACGGATTAAGTAAAGAGTGCCGATCGAAACCCAAACATTACATTAAGTAAATCACTCTGTAAAAGTTCGCCTCTTTGAGAAATTAAAAGTTTTGCGCTAAAGTAGGCTAACCCCGTTGTGCACTTTGGATTACTTAAATGAATACAATTAGGGGTATTACTCAGGGGTTTGTTGGATTAGAAAGAGGGGGTGAGTCTACCCTACCCTACCCTACCCTACCCTACCCTACCCTACCCTACCCTACCCTGCCCTACCCTACAGTATTCCACCTTATTCTACCCCATGTCCTACCCTACTCTATCTCGTCCAATTCTATCTTACCGTTATCTAGTCTACTATACCATATTTGCAGGTTTACCTTAGCCCTATAGTATCTCTACTTTACTCTATCTAACCATAATTTATTCAGTTAACATTTACCAAACTTTACATTATCGATACTTTAGCTTACACTACCATAACAATTTTTTTTAATTTAAATTACTCAAAATCACGCCAAACATTGGAAACTCGCTGAAACGTTAGGACATCAGAATTGGTGGCCAAATTCGTTTTCCAGCTCGAATTGCACCTTCTTCTCTCAGATCCTCTTCAGAAGCAGTCAAGAGCCAAACGAGGCCAATACTCGTGTAAGTAGATACTTTGAAACGTTTCGGAGACGCGTTTACTTCTTATTAATTATAAGTTTAGGAGTAATAAAAGAGAATACTGTAAAAATACTATAACTTTGTTATGAAAAGGTATGGTTTACCATAGTATGAGCTATGATAAGGCAAAGGTAAAGATAGAAAACAAAGTAAATTTAGATCTGACTTTAACATAAGGTTATTATATACCTAGAGTATAGCTAGGGAAAGGCTAAGGTAGAACTATGTTACAGTTACGAGCAGACTGCAGAATTGTTAAGTTAAAACTAGAACAAGAACAGGGCAACAGCTGAAGCAAAACTAAAATAAGATAAAAATAAAAGTCGTAAACTAACAAAGAAAGTACCCAACCTGCAACTCTCAGAAATAGCTCAAAATTTTTATACGGATTCTTTGTAGTACCAGTAGCACATATAAAAAATCTTAGCTTGCGGTTTTAAGTTTTAAAATTTATATATTTAAATTTTCCGCCAATTTGGCAAATTTGGCATTGCGTTGCAAGCACTTCTTTTGATGTCCCATTAAGATAGGCTTCCAAATTTAAAATTGCAGGTTTATTTGAAGCTTTTTTATCATTATATTGTAGAAAAATACTTAAAAGTCAAAATGACAAAGTTAAAAACTTGCAACACTATGCCAAGTTGGCGGTAAATTAAAAAATGCGATTTTTTGATCTCGATTTCCTCAAACCGCAACTTAGAATTTTACATAAGGTCTAGACCGGTCTTACATTTACATGATCCTTTAATACAAAAAAATTGAACGAAATCTGAGCGTTGCAGGTCGGGTACCTTCCTTGTAAGTAGAGTAAAACAGTGTAAGTTATCGTTAGGTTAAGGAGAAACAAAGCCATTTCATAGCAAGGTCGAAGCAGGACAACGAAGAGTAATGAAACTTTTACTTAAGCCCATAAAACTCACTTTGTTGTCTACCCGACCCCCGCCCCCTCACCTCATCTCTGTACCCCACCGCCCAAAAAAATCTTCACCATCGTCATCAAATTTCCAAAGTTGGGAAGAAAACGATAAAAAGCCGTGGCCAAGCAAATCCTCGACAACGTTAATAGCCTCTCGATTCGGGAACAGCCCCAAGAAACAAATTCCACATGAACAACTTTTTGCGAATTGATGAACTCGAACTGCAAAAACAAATTGGACAGGCCTGAAAGTGACGCTCCTTCGGCGGGCCACAAGACGGCCACTTCACTCCACCTTCGACGGAACAAACCCAATTAGAATCAGGATGGCGTTTTTATGGGGAGTGGATTGGATTCGAGACTACTATCATTGAATTCGGGTATCATTTGGATACTATCATATTAAGTTTGGTATAATATTGAGTTTGACCGAGTTTTAACTTTAGATTGATTTAAAGGTAGATGAATATGTGCGCCAAAAAATCATAGAAACTAGTGTGAAGCCTTTAGAATTAGATCTCAAGGCTTGTAACATGATATCTGAACTGAAAGTTTGTAGAACCAAAATCTTCAACTTGAAAACCTAAAAACACCAGCCCAAAAGTACGTAGAATAACCTTTTCTAGTCTTAACTATTAAAAAAATCGTTTTAAAACTTCATAGAATCAAATTATGTAGCTTAAAAGTCTGTAAGACTTGCTTTAAACAGCAGTACAACGTCTAGATGCTCACATCAATCAACTTTATCGCAACTTTTCTACCATTACCACAAGATTTCTTTCTATCATTTTCCATATACTACATCATTTCCTACCCCAACTCTCCATTCCAGCCCTTTTCTAATCGCTTTCTGGCTAAAACAACATCAGAATCTAAATATTTTAGTTAAAAAACCTGTAGAGTACAATATTAGCAAACAAAGAAAGAGCAAAGAATGAAATTTATTCATAAAACATGATGTAAAGAAAATAAAAAGAGCAAACGATCAACAAAATGTCCATGCATAATATATTGGGTGATATCTTAACTGGTTATATACTGCGTTATCATGAGTACATCACATCAGTATTGGCAGGTATTTTTGAGGACATTAACATACCTTTAATTACATGTTTATGATACTGGGTTTGAGCCTCTTGTTACATTAAAAACATAAAATAACTGTTAGGTTGTTCAAAGTCTGTGCCCCCTGACCCTGAAAATTTTCTTTGAGAAGAAGCAAAGAATTATTTGATCAACCGGGTACGTTTATATCCTCGATGAAACATAAAAATACTTTAAAAACGATTTTGCAACGTAAACTACAGCCCGATATACCTATGATAACACAATGTAAACCCCAACAAAATTGTCCTATAATCATTAAAATTAAATTTTAAAATTTGAAAAACCCTTAAAAATAAAGAAAATAAGAGAAAAATGACCGTACTACATATTTAAAAAAATCAATACGTCCAACAACAACATTCAAATATAAATCATCCGTACCCACCATAATGTAATATGTTCAACTATGATAACTTAATAACTTAAAACTCAGTTCTTATTAGAAAGTTCAAATAATTCTGTGCCCCTCAATGCAAATTTTCAAAATTCAAGAGAATTATTTGAACAGCCTAATATTATCAAAAATAGTATTCTTATACGGTAAACAGCACAATTTCGACAGAAAAACTAAAGTTTAGGTAATAAACACCGATTTGATTAATCATCGGCGTTCATAAAGTTTTGAGCCATCATTTCTAGTACCGGTTTTTCGGATGGAGTCAATTCGAGACTGTCAATGTGTTCACCAAAGGTAAGATATACTCGTTTGACGGATTCCATCAGCACGTCTTCCAATCTGGACAAGTTTGGTCTTACCATGACATCTTCTTTTCGATTCTGAAATGAAATTGTCATTTTAATAAAACATAAGTTTAAAAAAAAATTGTCTTTCATTAGATTGTTCAAAAAATTCTGTGCCCTCTAACAGCAAAAATTTAAGTTGAGAAGAGCCCAGAATTAATTGAACACCTAATAATACAACATAAGTTCTTAAAAGTATAACATAACGTATTAAAAACCGACATAACAAGCCTAAACCTTCTCAGTTACAAACCATAACACATTGGTAACGACGTAGTTAATAACGTCAAAGACCTAAGCATTATAACAAACTTACGCTAGTAGATCGAATGTACAGATCAATAGCCAGCTCCAATTGCAAAAACGCCCTAAACAGAGTTGACAAGTCTTTCTGCACAATTCCATATTGATCTTCCTTCAACGAGTTGGCCAACAAAATGGACAAACTGTTCAGAGCATACTCGGCTTCAATCAGATGATAGGTTGGAATGGCAGGCGAAGGCTTTAGGAAGTTGTCTTTGAACCATGTCAGATACTTGTTCAGAAGAGGGAAGCTGTTCAATGAGAAATCGAATACCTTCGCCTTCTGTTTTTTAGCTTCTGAAAATAAAAATTAAACATATATTGAAAAAACACATTTAAGAAAATTTAAAGAAAAGTTTTAAAATAATTTGAATTCCATTTGTGCGTATTACAAAAGACAAAACGATAGACACTGTACTGCGTTTGTAACATTCTTAACAATGTTAAGTTATTCATATAATTCTGACTCCCGACAAAGCAGGATTGGAAAGCACATAAATATTTAAACAACCTAATATTAACGTAACCAAATTATATTAAGTTTACAGATCAATCAGTTCAAGAACTTTTAAAAAATTAGTGCAAATGTACCGTCCATTAATACAGTAGAAATCAAGGATAACAAATCGCTCGAACAGGAGTTCGTTATACAGGTTGTATTGTAGTATCAAAAAAATAAAAATATTTTGCAGCAAGATACCGTGTAACCAATTATAGCAATAATGACAGCTAGCTAGCCGTGTTACTACTAAAATTAATGACCCACAAAAGGTCTTCTGGCTTCTTCACATAACTTTGGTGATTCAATATTATTTAAGAGTAGACCCTAGCAATCCTAATCTACAGTTTATTATTAAAAAAGTTACTGTTGAAAAAAGGTTAGACGTAAACGTGACAAATAGGTGTGATTGCAAGTGTCCATTCCAAAACAGCGTTCAATCACGAAAGCTACGTGAAAAATGCCAGACGACCTTTCAGAGAATAATTTAAGCAACACGACGCTTGCCAGTCGCCTTGTTTTAGCTATAATTAGTCTTCGGTATCCTGTTACAAAATTTTTTTGTTTTGTGACACTTTTAAAATACTTTTAATGCTAATTTTTTTAATTTCTTGTATTTACAAAATATTTGTAATTGAGTAAAGTATACCGTATTGATAGTTCTTTAGCTGTTATTATTTTTCCAATTATCATCTAATTTGTTTTTCCTTTTTAACTCTTGTAAAACGTAATTCCTTTACATTATCTTTTATTTATTGTCATCATGGATTTCTGTTAGGTTGTTCACGCGCCCCCTTACTCCACAAATTTGCATTGCAAGGGAGCGCAGAATTAAGTGAACAACCTAATACTAAGATATTAAATGAGCATTATTGTTACAGAAAATATTTCAACATCTTGCATTTTGCTTTTTTAAAAGCAAAATGTTAAAACACGCAGTGTGTGTATCTTTAAGTGTGACCCTCAATAGTGTGTAGTGTGGTGCCCTCTTTATAACAACAGCTTCTTGATTGCCATTTGCAATAGGTACTTTTTGAAGTTAAACCCCTATCAAAAAGTACCTGGGTAGGACACCCTATTTAGAACGATAAGTTTGAACTGGTCCCTTGAGTGACATACTAGTTTATCGTAAAGAATCACTCACAGCTTCTTATCATCCTATGTCACTCAATAATAACCATCATTCCACTAGTACTTGGTAAATCTTAAACCTACTATATTATACTATGAGAAATGACCTATTAATATAAAAAATGACTTTCTAAAACATTTTTTACTGTAGTAATAACTCATGCCCTGACGCATGCCCATTAATTTCGTCTTTAAAAGCCGAGACTTTCAAGAATCTTGAAACTTGATCGCTTTAATCTTCAATTACTTTCAATTTTGTTCGTGTTTTCCATATTATCCTTTTTTCAAGATTAAGTACGCATCTATCAGACGTTTCTTATAATCAATTACCGGTTTCGACTACCGTATCTAGTGAAAAGTGGCATTTTTGAATCCTTTTAGATTTTTACCGTATTGGGATTTGATAGCAAATCACAAGGCGGTTTTATAAAAAATGGCTTTTAAAGTTCTTTTAAAAATCAAAAGTAAAAAAAATTTAAATCCGTTTAAAAATTCGAAAATTTCAAAATTTACCCAAACCTACCGTAATGTCTTGGATTCAAGTTTGGTGGCAACAAAAGTTTGGCCTTTGACGGTGTACTAAACGCTAGCTTCTTTTCCTCCCCCAAATCCGTCACTGTTCCAGAAAAAACTCGAGCGGCCATTGGTCGAACAGTCGGAGTTAGAGCTGATCTTACACTTGGCCCAAGTTCGGCCAATTTCTTTTGTTTCTCGAATCCTGGCTGAGTTTCAACTTGTCCAACTTTCGCGGCCAATAATCCGTGAATGTAGTCGATGGATTCCATACATGAGTCTCTGACAGCGTACCAGTTACGAGGCTTTCCCGCCGGCTGACTGATCGAGTATACCAGGTTACGGCCGACTTCTGAGCGTGATACCAAGTCGTACAAAGATTGGAAGCCAAATAACTAAAAAATTAGGTTTATTTACCACAAAATTGTACTTTAAAGAGGAAAAATGGCAAACACTTTCCTTGAATAACAATAAAAACTAAAAACTCTTTAAATGAAATCCAAAAATTTAAAAAAATCTTCAGTTTCCACATACAAGATACTGCAACATTAGAAACTAACTCACCTTAAGCATTAAATTCTCCGAAACAATAGCATTCAATGCGTTTTTGCTGGCCTTTGCCGATTCATCACTGATGAACGATGTTGTAGTAGGCATTGGAAGATCCAGAGGTTGCATAACAATCGCATTTAAAAGTTCAAATGCAATTCGCACGTTGACAATGATTCCAAATACAATCACAATATGATTAAACATTAGTCCTGGTCTGATCAAAAAGTCGAAAAAGTTGGCTCGAGTTGAGGAGAACAACAAACTGATCACTGACGACACAACCAGAGCCCTGAGGGTGTTTCTAAGAGTGTCAATAGCTGTACAACTTAACAGATCAACAAGAATGGCATTCAAGTATTTTAGTGGGGTTTCCTGGAAGTATATTTTTTAAATGTCATAGATAACATCTGACTACTATACCAGCAGGGACGTCGCTACGGTTTTTCTCTGGGGTGGGGGGGGGGTCGAAATTTTTTTTTCGTTTTTCCGCGTACAGGTACCTTACCTGTAGAATTTTTTTCGGATCGGCTCTGGGGGAGGGGCGGGCCGCCCCCCAAACGACGTCCCTGTGTACCAGTATAAAAAATAAAACCGTATCTATATAAAAACTAAAAAAAAGCAACCCAAAGTTATTTTCAACAATTAAAAATATATAATTTAAGTTTAAAACAGATACAGAATGCCTTACCTGAACAAATTCCCATCTGAAATTTGAAGCAAAAGCTGTGTTGAAAGCCGAAAACAAGACCAACGTCCAGAAGAACAAGTATATCGTCCTGAAAACGCCATTTCATCAAACAAAAACTCAAACCATCTTTTCAATCTTTAAAATGGTGTCAAACTTATCTTTAATCAATTAAATACCTAATAGCTAACCAGTACCAACAATAAAAAACCAAACGACTTAAAGCAAAAGGTACGTATAATAGCATAATACTATTCCTTACCCACTAGCCTTTAATGCAGCATCATCCATAGAACCATAGCTAACAAACATCCAGAAGAAAATACTGGTTACAGTAATAGCTACTGCAGCTATGAGTGGAACTTCCTTTGTCACATCATAGTTTTGCTCGTACAACACTAAAAACATTGCTCTCATTCAGTCCAACGTATAACATACATAAAAACTTTCATTAAGAACTTTAAAGCATATACAAAAAAAGTAAAATATTAAAAGACTTACTTCCAAAACAATACTTGCACATGATACTTGAGAATACAAATACCAACAGAAAGGTTAATATCGCTGCGCCTCCGAATTGCAATTGAAACATTACCATAAAGGCATCTAAAATCATTTTACTATCTTATTCAAAAGCCAAAAAAACATAAAATAATGAGAATTATTCAATTACAAGCATTGTGCTTTGTTTTCTCTAAAAACGTTAACATATTTAATGAATAACTTACTGTAAAGCGATGAAAACGGTGAAAACAAGCTTGATTGAACGCACAAAACAACAAGAAAGAAAATTGGGATCGAAGTAAGTGCACTGGCTATCGAAGCCCATCGAAATCGACCATTAAGCTAAAATTTAGCAGCTTTAACCCAAGAATAACTTAAATTTGCCATAATAACTCGCGTTATCCTCGTTTATCTGCGATTTACGCTCATAAGACTAAAACAAGAACAAAAAAGAAAAAAACTTACATAACTTTCAAACCAAGGCTGAATTTGGAACTTTTGAACCGGCTTCTGTGGTGACGAGAACGTGAGTTGAATAGGAGCTTCATTTGAATCATAATATTGAGTTAGTCCATAATCCAGTCTTGGAGACAACATTTCTGGCATCTGAACACGTCCATCTAAAGGACTCAAACGTCCCACAAGTCCAGTGCTGTCATAGGAGTTGTATCTGTGGTCATACGGACCTGAACATTAATTTATACCAAAGATAAAACTTCAAATTTTTTGTAAAAATAACTTTAAATGACTGAACTAATGTCTTGAAAACAGTACTGATAAGAATACTATTTTTAAAATTCATATTAGATCAAAGCAAAATTGTCATGTTTACAAACAAATTAACGCCACAAAACCGCCTGGAACCTCAGTTTTTCGATGTTACAGACAATATAAACACTTACTCCTCCTCGGACTTCGAAAGTTAAACCTGTTAATACTGTTATTTGGCGAGATCATGGTCTACACAACCTCGAGAGATCGTATTTCTCGAACATTTTTCCATTTATTTCATTTTTTACCGCCATTTTTCCTCGGCGAAACTCAACTATTGACTTTTTGCGGCGAAACGCCACAACTCCTATCATTCGCGACGAAATGCCACAAATCGAGTCGTTCGCAACGAGGTGATTGATGGGAATGGAGTTGACTGGAGTGTGCGGCAGTCGGACGTTGTCATTCGAATGCTACGTGTGAATTAATATCCAAAAGCGGGAGTTGCACGACGTTTCAGACCGGACCGCCACCGTATTTCGTTTCAACTGTTTTTTTTTTTCATCGTGAAGATGGGTAAAACTTGTTGATGTTGGAGTGCATTCTCGTTTGCGAACAAGTGTATAACTTTTTGAAACGTATAGAAGATATCTTTTTGGGCGTAAGTGCAACATTTGTGTCATGGATAATATCGATTGTGGTTGATTGCGGCGAACTTATGAAATCGTTAAAGGTTACGAACTTGAAGTAGACAGAAAACGCAGTATGAAATTTAATTGGCTTTAGTTTTTATAAATTGTTTTTTGAAAGTTATGACGTTTTAATTTAAAAAGGCATGAAAATTCATTACTGCACGGTGCAAAATTTTGAATTTCTTGAAATCTACAGACCGGCATAATAAAAAATTGTGAAAATTAAAAATTATGCTGTTTTTGTAATGTTAAAGGACCAGTCCGGATAACTTCTTTTGTCGCAAAGATTTTTTCGTTTTGGCTGTTGAACTTTTTTCGCGCCAAACGTGAGCGGGTACACTGGATAAATGATTTCCTTTATTCCAAATCGACTCGCTCACGTTTTGCGCCAAAAAAGTCCGCGCTTCCCTGATTGCCTGATCTGTTGCAGAAAAGCCTGACAAAAGACTTATCCAAACTGGTCCTTTAAGCGTACTGAAACCATAAGTTGTTGCTTATTGTTTTCAATAATTCATATCCAAGGCTTTCGAGATAATCGCACCGTGCAAACTAAAATAAGCTCTGAAACGCTTTGCCAAATGTCATATAATAACAAAAATTGAAGGAAAACAAAATCATTGTTACTTACACAAACCGTGCAGTCTGTAGTTTGAGTGCACGGTGCATTCATTATGCTTGCACGGTGCTGTTGCCAAACTTATCATTAACTAAAATAAAAAACCAAAACTTTTTAAGATCAATTGATCAATAATGTATAAAAAATGGCAGACTTGTGCCTTCAGCGGAAGTATAACATTAAAAGACGCAACGCAATAATCAAACGAAGTATGTCACGACAGCCTTCACATCAATTATCTCTGACTGAGTTAATTGAGATGTTTGCAACCTGCATGTGCAGCAATTTGATCTCACGTTCGTGTTCGTTTTCTCATGCTTTTGTTGTCTGCAGAGACGTGTCTAGGGATTTGTTCGCGTTGAACTCAAGAGAAAGCGGCTCTAGTTCAACATGTACGCGTATGTCTGATAGTAAATTGAAAATGGCAAGTGCAAGTTGAACAACGCGTACACATGGAACGTATCACTAGATAATACGTTTGTTAGGGGGAGAGATGAGTAGGGGTAGAGGAGATGAGATATCAGCAGGGTTAGACGAGATATGGGTAGGGGCTCGACAAGATATGGGCAGTGTTTTTGAAGATGTATTGTTAGAGATTGATAGGAAAGAGCCAGAGATAGAGTTAGAAATAGTAAGTATAGACATATCTTACGATAACTTGCAGTAACATCACTAAAATTACTATCTTTCTATAAAACGTAAGAAACAATTACTACCTTTCTATGAAAGACCACTGACCATAACATCCTTTATATTAAGCTGATATCTATGACTATCTTTGTGACTTCGTATCTTTTGTCATCTTTATCGTATGACTAATCTCTTTCGTTTACTGTCAAGTATATACCCTTTTGTTATCAGTAACCGCCAAGTGTATTCTTCTTACTATTACTACTTTTTTTGTATATTCTTTTTTTATCACTAACCCCATCTATACCTTTATAGACGTGTATATATCATCAACTATATCTGTTTTATACTTCTTTTATCTTTGTCAGCTTCAGTAAAACATAATGAACAATATACTTTATATCTCTTATCAATATATCCCAATTTATCTCTGCTGCCCTATTCATAATCACTCTCAATCAACCCTCTTTCTCTCTCCCAATCTCATTGGTTCTCGCTCTTTCCTCATCCAACATCCAGTAAGTGTACCTCCTACACGCCGTCTACATCCAGCCATGTTTCAATTGCTTCGGCGGATCACATTCCGCCCCTGAAACAAAAAATCCGCCTTCGAAAGTTGCGCTGTTGTCAACTTAGCCCAGACTTGTTAAAACCACCACGGCTTCGTACTTCCTCCTCACATCGCTCAGCCGACCCTTGCAACGACGGCTGTGCCCAGTATGCGTATTCTACTACTCTGCCTGGCGTTCTTGGCCGCAGGTATTTTTTAAATTTAAATTTTTGGCTATTTTTAAGGCTTTTATACATTTTTAAGACATTTTGGCTGTTTTTTAAAATTTTTATGTACTTTTTTATTTATTTTCCAGCATTTACATAAATTTCTTAAAAAAATGTTTTTTATTTTTTTTGCATTGGTTGCTTAAACTGTGATTTTTTGTGCTTTCCTGTCACTTTATGACGTGCTTAAACAGTCTTTTTTGATACATTTAAAAAAAAATTTTTTTTAAATTGAATTTTTTTTATTTCAATCACAAAAACGTATTTTACAACGCAAAGAATTATTTTTTAGATTTTTATGCACTTTAAACGCATTCTTTATTTAAAAAGATTGCACGGTGCAATAAGTAAAAGTAAGTTGCACTGTGCATTAAAAATGTTTTTTTATAATGTCTAATATAATAGAATTTGAAAAATTAAAAAATAGCTAAAAAATGAATAAGAAAACTTAAAAAAATAAAAAAAATTAGCTTATATACCCACAAAAAATTAAAATCTTTTTTTGTTACCTAAAATTTTAAAATCCTTTTCAATACCTAAAATCATTCTTCAGTCTACGCCAATGTGAACCAAGTGCCAGTCCAGTACAAAAATAATGGAAAGGTGGCCGAGATTCAGATGAGTGCCGAGTCTGGCAACGATATGTATCAGAGGTGGACGAACCAAGCCTTCAGTAGTTTGTTAGCGGCCGTTGCTTCACGAAAGTAAGTTGTTTTTTACTTTTTGTAATTATTACAACAAACTTAAGGTCTTTTTGGGTTCATTTTAAGAATCTTCTTTTGGGGTTTTATGGTTAACATTGGGGAGGAATTTTAATCATCATGTAATTACGCTGTTCAAATTATCTGTGCTCCTTAAGGAAAGGTTAGAAACTCCTTTTAACTCAATACCTTTCTAGTCTGCACCACCTGAGTGAGGTAGAACAAGTAACGTTGGAGGAATGTTCCAAAGCTGCTGACAATGTCATCAAACACGCTCGCTGTGTCAGAAAGGTTCTAGAACATAGAGGTGAGTGTATTTTCAATTAGAATGTGGAGACAACGTATTTTACATTAAAACTCTATAACGAATCGCTAGGGGATTCAATTTTTTTTGTTGTAAAGAGGTTTTGTTATAAAGGTGTTTTAAATAGATTATAGTTAGCGTTAGTTCTTTTGTTCTTGATTCACAATTTCCACTTTACTATAAACGGAGTAGACCTCTCCCCCTCCCCTGGAGAAAATTTGAGTTTTAAAGGTATCCCGGCCCTTCCCAAGTCTTGTCCCAGCCCTACGTTCACTTTCATCTTTATCATTTCGGTTTTACTTGAAAACTTTAAAATGCACTTTTTGTTCTTTCGAAAAGTCATTTCGGATGATGAATGACGTCGCTGAAATACCGTATCTCTTCAGATAAACGGAAACAGAATCGCGTCGACGCGTTGGGGCGTAAAAAGTCTACGGTAGTCGAGAAGCGCGAAGGCGAATGGATTGGTGGGATTCGGATCCGCAGAGATGTGGCCAAAGCCGAACACTATGGCCTGAAGACCAAGACTGATGGCATGACAGCGTTTGGAGCGGTGGCCAAGGTCTTGAATAATGTTGTGCTGAATCAGAAGAATCGAACTGAGCCTGAATCGTGGGTTTTGCTTGTGAAGGGGAGGATATTTTGATAGTAAAGGCGTATATAAAACCAAAAAAAAATTTTTTTTATATTTTTTGGAAAAAACATATATTGGGTTAGCTAAAAAATGCCGTTTGGAAGCCTAAAAACAGCTTTTTCGGTAACAAATATTTCTTTTCTTATCTATACTAACCAAGATGAGGTTAAAAAATTTTGAAACCGCCTTCTAAACGAAGAAAATGATACTCGAAGTGTAAAACTCTATAAAACTATATTAAAAACACTTCAATTACCTTATCATCTACTACAATATCCCTAAATACTTAAAAATTAAATTTTCGGATATTATAAGAAAAAAAATTTAAGCCATCTTTTCCAGATGGCAAATGGCCGTAGCCAAAGTCCGTGACAGTGCCCACAAGCGTAAGGCAGCTCGCAAAGCCTTTGCCGAACGCCAAGAGAAAGGAGACCTCGAAACCCTCCACCAATTGGCCTTCAGAAACCTTGGCCAAAAACATAATATGGCGTCGGAGCTGGAGGATATGATTGAGAAGCCGGACGAGATGAAGAAGATGATCAAGGACAAGAAGCTGAAGATGATGGCTGATCCTGTAGGACGAATGACAAACTTGGTTAGAGAGGGAGTGAGGTTGGGAATGTCATTGGCTGGAGAAAATACGACCGAGTTTGATGAAAAGAGTTTGAACTTGATCTCGCCACGATTCTTTTCGGTCACGCCTGAACAAGACAAGAATGGAAATGGCACGGTGAGGAAAACAGATATTTAATCGTCCCAAAATGAACTTTTATCATTTGTTTCAACTTTCAAAATAATAAGCCTTACAACCCGCATAGATTTGCCTTCTAAATCAAGAATTGTTACCTAAAAAATATTCTAAAAACGAAGATAAATACCTAAGAGACAATAAAAAACTAATTTTAAGCCGCAAATTACCTTTAAAATCAAAATCAAACACTAAAGCAGATTATTTTAGGTCAATGTTTTGTCCCCATCGCTTCTTAGTCTTCACAACGAAGGAACTGGCACTGAAAATCTGACCAGTTTGCCAACTTTAATCAAGGGATTCAATGGAAGAGATCAGCAAGAATGGTTGAACTTCATCGTCGAAGCCGCTGGAGTCAGCGATCAAGCTGAGAAGTTGGATACTGTGAGTTTGGGCTGATAAAAGTTATTTTGAAATTAGAAAAAGGCTATTTTAACAGTCATAAAACTATCAAAAATTGCTTTAAAATGATTTTATTACCTAAAAACAGCTTTCGAAAGATTAAAAATAAATTTTTTGATTTGGAAAGACATCTTTTGTTACTTATATTAACTAAAACTTAGACTGAAAATTAGTTTCTAAATCAAGAAAATCAGTTTTGTTACCTAAAGATAAAAACATTCAGTTCGATTACCTTTATATAGGTCTTATCAAGCCTTATCCTTCCCAATATCCCCAAACAAATAAAATTAAAATTTTAGGAAACAGAAGACATAAACAAGATCAAGTCAGTTGATGATTATGAAAAGGAAGTTCGTGGTGAAAGTGGTCAACCATTATACTTTACCAAACAGAACGTAACAGACATGTACGGTGACTACGAAAAGAGGAAGGTCGACACTTTCGAAGCTTTGTCAAAGACCTACACTAAGCAGCAGGTAAGCGATATTAATTTAATTTCAACGATAAGATCTAATGGTAATAAGGAGTGGGACGAGTTTTTGGCCTTGGGAAAGTTCTGAAATTTGAAGTAAAACCCCGATTTTCAGCTAAAAGAAATGAACACAACTGGATTCTCCGTTCTCACCAAAGAACAGATGCACTTATTGTACGGTAAACACTCCCCCTACAATCATACCGAAAGTCTGCACAAGTTCACCAACATGACCAAGACTCAGATCACGAATCGCATGGAGAAGGACATTGAACTGATCACCCAGATGGACAAGTTCCAGGTCAAACAAAAGGACATTGTTCTGTCGCCATTCGTACTCACACCTCTGGTCGAAGTTTGGCCTGTACTGAACACTTTTGTCGTGCTGTCGCCTCTCGTTTTATCGCCGATTATTCTGTCGCCCGCCGTTCTTGGCCCCATTATCTTGTCGCCATGGGTGTTTGTGCCTTTGATCCTGAGTCCTCGTGTGTTGGCGCCCTTGATCCTCACACCCATGATCTTCTCTCCGCTGATCTTGTCGCCACTAGTGCTGCATCCTCTGATCTTATCTCCTGGCATCTTCAATCCCTTGATCTTGACCCCACTGGTGTTGTCTCCATTGATCTTGTCTCCTCAAGTGTTCACTCCACTGATTTTGTCTCCTTTGGTGCTGAACCCTCTGATTCTGAATCCTATGGTTGGATCTCCATTGATTCTGTCGCCGTTCGTGTTGTCGCCGCTGATTTTGTCGCCTCAGGCATTGTTTGCGTTGGTCTTGTCGCCTTATGCGGCTTCGCCTTTGATCGAGAGTAAGCTGATCGTGTCTTCGTTGATCTTGTCGCCCAGTTGGCTGTCGTAAGGTTTGAGAAGTCAAATGACCGTACACTTGTGGTTATGAGACTTCTAAATTCAGTTGGTCTTAATGGATATCGTCATACGGTTCCAGAAGCCACTTTTTCTTGGCTTCTGGAGTCAAATAGATCAATATATGTTGTCATAAGACTCCAGAAGTCAACTGGTCAAGACTCAACTAGTCAAATGGCCAACGAAACGGGGATGGTTAATATAAGGTTTCTTATGGTTAAACTGATTCTTCTTATAGTTAAAAAAAAAGGTTTTTTATGGTTAATATAAGGCTTAATGAGCCACATGGTAAATTGTCTTGGCTTGAAGCCAATGTTTATTTATATTTTTGCCTTCTGAAGTCAACCTTTTATCTTTCTGCTTCAGAAGCTTTTGATTACTCATCCTATTTCAAAAGTTTTTTTTTAAATTTTGGATTTAAAAAAGTTTTAAAATTTTGTTAAATTTACTTTTAAAAAATTAGGTCAAATTTAAAAAAAAATGCAAAATTTCTGAAAACTTTTGAATTACCCTACTATTTATTTATCTCAGGCTCCAGAAGCCCCTATTTATTTACTTATTTGGTTGATGGTTGTTAATAAATGTTATACTGTTCTCTCGTTATTATGAACAAATAAAAAGTAACAAAGATTTTTAAAAAACATAAAGATAATAATTTATTTTAGTCAAGATATCACAGTAATTATTTACATGATAAAAGTTTTTAAAAGATAAGTAAAGTACACTATTCTAAAGGTATTAATGCCTCGGGGGTAGCCAGAAAAGCTCCGTTTACGCCTTCTGAATTCATTTTTTGTGCCACTGCCATTTCCGGAATACCCTTAAATTTTAAAATTAATTTTAGAACAGCAGTCTTATCAGTTTTTATCATTTTAGTTTTAAAATTATGAATTTCAAAAACATTAAATTTTAAAAAAATTAAAGGGCCCTCTGATCACTTTTTTGAAATATTGTTCATTTTTACCCCACCCACTTTACCCCCCCCCCCCCCCAATGAAAAAAATAGTGAAAACATACTACTCTAACCATTTTGAAGTATTTACTGTAGGCAGGATGGTCTTTTACTTTCACCATGCCCTCGGGCGTGTTGGTTTCTTCGCCTTTCTCTTCCTTCCCTCCTATCTCTCCTTCATCATTACCCATGCTAACTGAATCAACTTCTGTTTGACCCACCCTCAAACCACCTTCACTATGACCCTTCCTCAAACCATCACCATGAAACTCCCCATCCTTATCACTTCCTTGTTTCGGCTCCTGTTTGTCCTTTTGTAGGATGTCATCATCGTTCATGTCAGCGGCGGTTAATTGCTGCTCTTCCGCATTGACGGAACCGGTCTTGTGTTCAGGCTTGGTTTGTGGTTTGTTCCCAACCTTGACTCGCTCCAGCTATAAGAAAACCGGGCATTAATAATCATCTTCACAACTTTCAACTTTTTCACGATATAAATGTTGAGTAGGGTTCTACATGCTGCTACGGAGTTTTTTCGAATGTAATACCGGTTATTGGTTCTGCTTGGGCATTGTTGAAACATTAGTCAATTAACTTTACGAAATTTTGCGAACTGATTGAACTTAGAACAAGTGGTTTCTTAACAATCTGATTGACCTTTGAAAAAAAGCGGTTTATCTTTAATGACCAAAATGTTCAATTTTCGCATAAAGTAACGTTGGGACACAAAAGTGCTTAGCTTTTGCGGTATGCTAATGTACTATGTTAGGATAGTATAGGATATGACTTGTGTAGAAACAAGGAAAGCGAGAGTGCGACTACGGTAAAGCTACAAATACGGCTAGGTTACGGCTTAGATTACAGCTTAGACTAGGGCTTAGGCTATGGCCAAGGTATCGGCTAAAGTTTTCACCAAACTTCAAATGACTTCTTCGTTGTTTCTACTTAAAAAATATAAGGCAAGCTCATATACGCTTACATATACGTACTTGTCAACATAGATCAACATACGGACTTTACTTACTTTTGATATATTAGTGGTAACCGTATATTAAGTATCTTTTTATAAAAATATTATTGTTTTAAAAGTGCATTTTACAGTTAAAAGATCAGACTTCTTCAAATTGGTAAAAAAATAATTAGAAAAACTAAAAAGATTCTTCAAACATAATAAAGATACACAATTATAAACACGTTTTCATCAACAAACATAAAGTTTGGGCTTAAAAATTCAAACGAAAGTAAAAATTATTAAAAAAATATTATTTTAAGTGTGAAAGCATGATTAATGTTCTGTCGCCACTAATAAACCATAAAAGATAGTCTTCAATCATATTTTTTGACACCTAACTTAAATCTTTAATCTTGTTTTAAATTTTTTATAAATTTTATTTTTATTACACTGCACGGTGCAATAACATTTTTTTAAATTGAACTGTGCAAATCGTTTAATCCTAAAGTTTTCTCCTTTTTTAAATTTAAAAAAACTTTATTTTTTTCTTTCCAAAATGTTAAAAAAAGAACTTTTCCTTTCATTAAAACCCGGAAAACTTGAAATGGCGTATTAATTATAGTAAAAAAGGTTACCTTCTTCTCGAGTAGCTGAATCATGATATCAATTGAACCCATTCTCTGCTCGACCTCGTCGATTTTGCGTTGAAAACGATGTACAAAAGAATTTAAAAGGTCAGATGTGCGCATTATGTACTCGTTGATCATGGGTACAAGGTCCTGCGAGTCGACCCCAGCTAGCTGTTCGTATGGAACGTCCGGGCGGATGAAAGCCAGATCGTTGGGCCGTTGCATTCTGTAATGAAAAGATATTTCGATTATGTGGAAGTAATATATAATAAAAGCTAAAAAGATTAGCTTTAAGTTGAGGTATAAAACACCAAACATATTTTCTCCTAGACATCATAATATTATGACGTTATAACACATCATTTTTGTATAAAATTGAGTTTTTAATATCAACTACCATTAGTTATTAAAAAATTACAATTACAAATTAATAAATCATAAAAATATAAAAACCGACATAACGAATGACATATTGCAATAAACAACTTCAAACTTTACTAACATTTATTTATGTCATCATAATAACACAATCACAGCAGGTACAGTATCAATAAATAATTACAATTACAACTATGAGATCATTTATGTACAAAAACTTGTTTTACAATGTTTTTTCACCTAAATAGTAGGCTAATCCACTATAATATATAATATTCGTATTATAAATGAACTATTGAACAAAACAAATAGTCCATTAAATATAACTGTAATTTACAATTAGATCAGCCTATTAAAGTGATATTGCCTCAAAAGTAATAAAACTCCATTAGCTAAACCTATTGATCCTAAGGCAACGCAGTCCAATTGCCTTTAGCAGGCGTTAACAATGGCAACTCTGGCAGTCGATCACTCTCCTTCAAAAGCTGATTTAGAGATTTCATACCAGCCAATAGATCTGTCAACTGCTTCTGGACCTCATTTATCTGATTGTCCAGCAATTCAACTCGTTTTAGGTCGTTTGTAAAGGTCTCGTACTTTTTCGAACACAATGATACTCGTCGAAGAAGGGCGGAGGTCTTTTGGTCAGTCTAAAACATGAAGAATAAGAAGTTATACCACAGTTTTCAAAATCTTTATAATAATAATTCAAAATATCTATAATAATCCACTATTCAACTTACATTCCCAATCTCATTGACCAACTGACTTTGATGTGTACTAACAGCTTTGTGACAGGCAGTAAAATGTTGTTGTAGTCGGTTTACGAACCTAATAATGTACTTTGGTTCTACTTTTGTATAAATCGATGGAGAATCTCGTTGACCAGGAAGAACTCCAAGAAGAAGAGGTTGAAATCGCGGTATCTCCTACAAGAACATTGAATGTATGTATTTTCAACAAAAATAGTCATAAAAGCAATTTATCACCTAAAAACGTCAAAAATCAGCTCCAAAAAGTATTTTTTAATAGTTTTTAACAAGTTTAATATATTTAAACGGTTTAAAATATAAAAAGTAAATATAATGTTACCTTCAACTTCTTCAAGTCCTCATCGTCTTTTGGATCACCAATCGGCTGTCCTTTTGCGTTCACAACAACAATAGGTGAGTTAGACTTGTGAAGTGAACCTCCTGAAGAGTTTTCGTTATAATAAGTTTATAAATACGATTAATGCTTATATCTTTTAATAAATATAGTCTTTTAAACTGAGAAATTTATCACAATAGCTATCGTAATCGCCACGGTAATTCCCTCCCCCTTAACCCTACGTTTAGTCGCAGAAAAGTTACTATAAAATCGGCTTTTCAATAAAAAAAAATTAAATACAAATATTATATTCCAATATCTTCCAAAATCATCCGTAACTTGAAAGCTACCTAAAAATAAACAACAACAACAAAAAGAACCAACTTCGTCTAGAGAGAAACGAAAACGTCGAGCTGACACCAGCCGGAGCTTCAGTACCATGACTTTGTTCATTGCCCATATCTAAAATGTACAAGTTTATTCGAATAATTAAGATAGATTAAGCGGAAGTGTTATGCGCGTGGTCGAAACAAAACGCGGATGGTCGATTTTCCTGCCACAATTCGTTTTCTTGAATCAGAAGATTGAACTCGGCATCTTGATCCGGAATCAAGTGCGGTGGGATGCGAACCACGTCCTGAAAGAAAAATATTAGTTCAGTAATAATAAAAAAATCAAATACAACCACAGCATCAAAAAAGATATTTTTATAATAGATTTTCTATAATATAGGGCATTAAAATCAAACCCTAACATAATATAACCTCGATCAACTAAAATAACATAATTTAACTTACCAATGGCATCTGATGCTTTGGCCATTGAGCGTCAATCTTAAACAAGTTCAAATCATTGCCAATTCGCTGACTAAACGGAGCCAAAGGCATCTGAATAAATATTTATTTATCTTATCACAGGATTGATAAAAATATGACACGGAAATGAAAGGTGGCAAACGCTACAAAATAAAGTAATGATCATACTTATACATGCTTAAATCAACATGATTTAAAGTACTTACATTCATAAACGTGTTGAGAACGCATTAAACTACAACATTGAGCTGTAGCAATGCAAACAAAACTTAAATTACAACAAAATAGGTTGTAAAATCATAAACACAATGTAAAATATGCTTTAGAAATAAAAATTGAATACAAGAATGATAAGATACACTAAAAAAGCCACAATAAACCACCACACAACCGTACAAAACAGTAGAATACGCTTAGAATCTCAAAACGAGGAAGTTTTGGTTCTTCTTGTAACCAAACTTCTCATAAAATGGCACAAGTTCATCAGTGCATTCCAAAGACAGCTTGTAGACTCCTTCATTCTTAGCCAATTTCACCGCCATCTCGTTCAAAATCTTGGCAAATCCCTTTCCTCTGTAATCAGAATGAACAACAACATCTTCGATACGACCACGACTGCCAGCTTGATGAATAAACTTCCATTCGAAAACCAAGGAGACCGATGCAACTACCTTTTTGGTCCTAGACAATATAGACATTTTATTAAATGTATTATTTATATAAGATGTTCGTTTTTGAAAAACTTATAGTTATTATAAAATCAAATGATAATCAAGGGTTTTGCAGATACTATAATACAATTCAGCCCTAAACGTTAAAAACATAATAGCAACTCACTCTTCATCTTCAATAACGGTTACATAGTAAGACTGGGGATTAGAAAAGGCCATACACAAGAATCGATGCTTGAACTTTTCTTCAGAGACATCACCAACTTCGGTCAATTGAGACAATAAGTCCAGATAGCTAAGATAACATAAATTAGTTAGAAAACATAAAATGATATTTATAAAAATACGAAATCCTTAATAAAATATAAAACTACAACTTTTTAAGCAAATAAGGCTATAAAATAATATTTTTCCTTATAAAAACCATCTGATTGCTCTACGTTTTAAAAAACCTTTTCTAAAGCCTAAAATAATATAATCTAAAAACCGTTCTTACCCATGTTCAAGATCAGACAATCTCAATGGCCGTACGACAAAGCCCGCAGGAGTTTCGCCTTTAACGGCGTCCAATTTACTAGATAGATAAATGTCTAAAAAACAAAATAAAACACATGAAACAAATATTACCAAGATCTCCAGTAGTCATGTTCATGTACTCCTTGTTAAAAGACAATGGAAAGGGTGGAATGAGAGGCATTCTTCTTTATAAACTTATGATTCGACCCAAAACCCACAAAAAACAAACAAGAGATCTACATAAAATAATATTTTTCGATAAGATAATGAGAAACACGAAATGTCACTATTGACTTTGCGCGATTTCCTCCGAAAAACTCGTCAGTAAGTGGTGTTTCGTCCATATAAAACGTCAGTAAATGTGTCATAAAGAAGAAAACAGATTTTTGTTCGAAAAAAATTGTTGTAAAACTAACCAAAAGAACCCAACGTTAAAAAGACTGAACGAAATAGTTAAAAAATCGAAAAATAAAGGAATAGTACTGACACATTATGTGGAATATCGTAAATATATCAAAAAGAATTTATTGCGCTGTAAAGCGAGCTCTATTGGAAATTCATATGGATTAAGCGAACACTGTTGATTAAGGATATGTGATTTATCTTTAATATTATTGACTGGAACATCAGATTTGTGGTGGAACAACAGTTTGACTCAAAATGACAAGCCAGGTTTGTTTACTTTGGTCACTCACAGTGGATTTTTAGATGAATCAGGCTGACGACTTGGTTTTAATGGACGTAGAGGAAGTTTTAAGCTCTCGACCAGTACGAAGACTGGAAATTAAGGATGGATCTGGGAAGATTCACAGGTTTGTTAGCTGATTTTGTTGTTTAGCTTTGAATTTTAGAGTTGTGGATTACAGTGAGAAGGACATCTGTTTGCACCATGTTGCACGTCAAAAACCTTTTGAATACAATGCTGATGATCTTCTTAAAAAGTAAGTTATTTCTGATTTACTTATTATGCGTAAAACTTATCTTTTATTGTTTTTTACTATGTTTTGCTAGGCATCAAGTGTTTAATGCGTTTTTTGTTTAGAAACAATGTAGAACAACATGTCAAGGACACCATACTTCATTATGAGAACAAGTATTCGATTGTTCAAAGGAATTTCATACAATATTCAGTACTTAAAGCGGTGGAACGGCTGAAAGAAACTCGAGGAAAGTACATGTGTTTGTTTGATGGAGATAATGAAGAAAAGCCGGTTCGAAGTGTCAGCCAAGTTGGATGTCCGGTAAGATAATTCAAAGCCTTGATTTTAATTTACTTTATTTTTTCAGCCGGAGCTAAAACGGAATTCAGCGGCTTCTGAATTCTCATTAACTCAAGACCAGAAGCTAAGCGGTTCTAATTCTGACTTGGTGGATCTGTCAGTGATATTTGAAGATTCGGCCGCTTTTTTCTTGGACTCACAGCCTCGGCTCCAAAGGAGAGACAAAATGCTGGCATATCTACCTATGGATTCGGATTTAACGTTATCAAACAATGACATTAACATCCCTCAAGTTATTCCGAATCATTATTTGTCTGTTAAAGTGAATTCTTTTGAAATTACACCTTATTTCGAGCCAGTGTTTGGTGTAATGGCGTTGTACGATCTCAAAACCAAGTCCAAGTTGACTGAGAACTTTTACTTTGACTTCAACAGTCGTGAGATGTTGGGGATGATTCGAGCTCACATGGGGCCGGATGGAGATGTGAATAAGGTCAGAGAAGGTCTCTTTTCGTACGATGAGTTCAGAGACAATGTGTTTTTGTTTATACGAATTGAAAAGGTGCTACAAGCTGCAGACTCTTCAGAAGTTGTGGAGCCGTATGTTAACAAGGAGAAGACTAACGAAAAGTTGGGCGAAACGGCCAGGGACTTTTGTGGAAGGCTGGGAAGTTATCGTACGTTGCTGGGATGGACGTATGTTGATCTGAAGAATGTCATAAACGAGAAGAATAAGGATCAAGAATGTACGGTGAAGCATCACGACGAAATTTCATTGGTTAGGACGGATACTGACAGTGTGGTTAGTGCAGGTATGAAATTTAATTGTTTTTTTTATTTTAGGGCAGGTTTTGATGGTTAATAAGTTAGGTTAGATGTGGGAAATTATAGTTTTAATATTTTTAATTGTTTATGAACATAAACATTGTGTTAAACTTTAAGAAAGGCAAAAAATATTAAGATAATGTTATAGAGAAACTTATTTTTAAAACGAATTTATCTTCAGATCGCATTTCCAACTCAACCAATGACACAATACAGCAAAAAGGATCCTCTATCGACCTAGAAATTCCAGAAGACACGAACTCTTTAAACCGAGTTGAAAACGGGATAAAACTTCGAATAACATCATTGTATCGGCATGAAAATGAAAAAGTATCAGACGACGATCTTCTGAAAACATTGGCTGAAGCTCAAAAGTCAGGTGGAAGAGGAATGAAGTTCAAATCATTTCCAGCTGATTTAAGATTAGAAATCACAAAGAAAGAGGCGTCAGAATGTTCTAGTATACGGTCCCCTGAACTTCAAGTTGTTGTGGATGACAAAAGTGAAGATGTTGAAAAGGCACAAGCGGTTTTGTCGTTTCCAAAGCTTCAAACTTTTACTGTGCATTCATATTATCGGTAAGGCGGTTTACTTTTTTGGATGAAAAGGGCGTATTCCGCTTTAACTGAAGTTATCTTACAGTTAGTTAATTATCTTATTCTAAAATAAGATATAATTGTAATTTATTGACTTTACTGTGTTTAATTTGAAGTTTTACGTGTGTTATGGTAAAATTTTTCAGGAATTTACTATACGTCCACCCAAAGTTTGTCAACTTTTCAAATCGATCAGGAAATGCGAGAAATATTACGTTAAAGGTGGAGCTTCTTGATTCTGATCAACGGCCACAAACTGTATTCTATGGCCGCTCATCGGGGCCAAAGATGCTTAACAAGGTGTACACTAGTGTGAACTATCATAATAAGTACGTTATTATTGAATTTATACATAAATTTGAGTTTTAGCTAAAAACAACATCAATATAAGTTGATATATGCATTAATGTTTGATAATAACTTAATTAATATGTAAAATTAGTAAAATAACTTAATCATAACCTTTATACTCAATGAAAGTGCTTTTTCTAATATAATATAGGGCTATACATGTTAATATTGCAGAACTCCTCAATTTGTCGATGAAATTAAATGTGAAATACCGGTTAACATTGATGATGGATACCACTTGATGTTTACCTTCTTTCATGTCTCATGTAAAGGTGGAAAAGCCAATGAACAAACCGAGACGCCCATTGGATATACGGTAAGATATTACTGTAAAAATGACAAATATTAACTCGATAATGACTTTACATCGCTGTACCAAATTTGGTACCTATAGAGATTTTTATCGCTGAATAAAAAATTTTTCAAATCTTGCAAATTTCTTGAGACACCCTGTATAAAAGCACAAATAAGGTAGAATTGAAGATATTATTATAAAACAGAAGTTATTACTGTAGGGTCGTGTATATTTGATCAAAAATGACATTTCATGTCACATAATGCCATTCTTATTTCAGTGGTACCCTCTATTTCAAAAAGGTGACATCGAATCAGGAGATCTGTCACTACCAATATCACTAGAGCCTTTACCACGAAGCATTGGCTACGTTTCGCCACTTCTGAATGTACCAAACATCAAATGGCTAGATGGTCATAAACCTTTGTTCAACCTGTCTCTACAGCCTGTGTCTACAGTACACACTCAAGATCAGTACATTACAGAGTTCTTCAGAAGCTTCAGCGCTCTCAAGAATCGAGACACCAAGATCACGTTTTCAGAAGCTGAATTTCAAACAGTCATACGAAACATGGCCAAGGCTAGTCCAGAGTCTTTGTGTTCGTACCTCTACATCATCTTTGACAAGCTGATTGCGCTTGTATCATGTCCACCATTTTCATCCAAACTCAGCGAGACTTGCTTTGAAATCATCTGTCAATTGGTCAAGTTATCAACGGTGCTGTTTGACAGCGATGTGGACAAGGAAGGGCGAGGAAGTCTGTTAAAACAATACCTATATCTTCATAGAATCTCGTCGAATGAAGTTTTGGTTCAACAAGAGAAGCCTCCAATATCACCGAGCAAAAGCCAGAGGGACAGTGTTGATCTGGTCAATTTGATTAGTAGGTTAAATTTGATTTTGATTGGCTAATGAGTTTTTGGGTTATCTGTGATTATAGGTAGGGTTAGGGGAGTTATTTTGGTTTGGGGAGGAAGGTAGTAAGTCAAAAAATAAAAAAAAGTTTTTTTTAATTTAACACATATTCTCCTTGGTCACAGACAATTGAGCTGTTGTTTTTGCTTTTTAGAAGGTGCTATGGCATTCTTTACATTTCTTGTATGAAACTAGGGTCAAACTCAACTTTTGAAACTGAAAAATAGACAAAATGTTATTAAAAAAACAATGTTTTTTAGAAAGTTATGAACAGAATGTATCGACCAAAGTACTGACCAGCGCTGACGATGCTCTAGATGGGTCGAAGAAGTTGTTTCATGAGGAATTGACCAGTCTTTTTGTTAATATGAATACAGCTTTGAAAGATGCGGCTTGCACTTATGCTTGGTTCTTTACTGGAATGATTGTAGGTTGAGGTTTTTATCGATATTTGAAGAAAAAAAGGGTTTAAATTATCTAGAAATTCTATTCATCACTAAGAAATGATTAGTTTTAGTTAATTTTGGTGAAAAAACAGTAAAATTTAAGGAGAAAAATCAGTTTTTTTACATTTAAATAGCTTAAAAATTTTTACTGTATCGAAAACTTGATGAAAATAATGTTGTTATAGGTAAAAGCCTGTGTCGAATACCTCTCAACATGGGATCGCTTTATTCTTCCACGAAAACTCCGCTTCAGACCAGAATTCCTAAATTCCCTGGCTGAAGTGGTGAAGATCCTAACGGAAGAAACGATCAGAAGAGCATCCAAGAACATGCAGCAAGCAAAGAACATTAACAAAGCGCTGGCCGACTTTGTATCCGACTGTTTTTGTTTGTTGGACAGAAGCTTTGTGATGAATCTGATCAAAACTTACAACAAGATAATGATGGATAACATTGCGGAAGCCACGGATCCACTTCAAACAACCTTAATGACATTGAAGTTGTCATTTATGCAAATCGTCTGTTCTCACGAGCACTTCATGATTTTGAATCTGCCATTTGAAGTTAGTTCGGCTTCTAAATCAAATCAACTGTTTGCTTCAGCGTTGACTACATCAGCTTCTGGAGCTCAAATCTACGTGCCACAAGCGCCGCCAAGTCCGAGTGGTTCGTCGAGTCTCTCAAGTCATTCAGTATCATATGATAGTATCTCACATCTGAGCACAGTATACAGATCTCAACATTACTTACTCGCGGTTTTGTTTGATGACATGGCTACGGTCTTATACTCTTCAAACACGTTTCTACAGTCGAGGTAAGGGGTTTTAGGGTTATTTATAGGGTTTCTATTACGCTATGGGGAGCTCAGTCGTAAATCAACATTTAATTTTTTATAATTCATGCGATCTTGTGTGAACTTATGTCATTAAAACAGAAAACAAACTCGTCCTATTATAAACTTTTAAACAATAGCAAAAAACACAACATAACTTACCGTGACTACGTTTCCAGGGTTATACAAACATTATGTTCACTGCTATTGACCCACGAGATGGACGGTCGCCTAACTTCTCAAAATCAGTCACTACACAACCGAGTAGCTGCTCTATACCTTCCGTTAATGAATGTGTTGTTGGACATTAAAGGACTGTTGTTTGACCCAACAAACAGGGATACAACAGCAAGAAAGGAGTCCAAGATCAGTCAGAAACTGACATCATCATTAGCCTTGGACAAGATTCCGATTGAGCACAACGCTGTGGCTGGAATACCGGAGTTATTGAAGCAAAATAGGAACTCTACTTTGTCACAGGAACATACTGTTAAGGTAAATTGAAATTTGAGTTTAAAAAGACTTCGCTAGGGATGGGTAGGGATTTTTTTTGAATTTGAGGTCTTATAAAATGAAATTTAGAAAAAAAACTGAACAATTTTACAATTAATTCAAATTTATGTTTCAGATGCTTGTCTGCTTCGGCTGGGTCCTGAAAAACTTGGATTCAACAATATTAACCCATTACCTACAACATCTCTCAATCCAACAAATGCAACTCTTCATTGAACTGTTAACCTTATGTGTTTCAAACTTTGAATACAAGCCTAAAGGTCTATTTGAATCCAAAATCACGAGAAAACCCTCATCGCAATCAGACACAAACTCTGTCAATGTGAAATGGAGACAGGTCAAGTCGGACTCGTTCCCAAAGTTTGGTGATGATATGAGTAAGGTGTTCGAGAATGAGTACGACTTTCTGTACGAACGAGAGATCAGCTCGGAAATGACACTGATTGTGCTGGATACTGTGAGGAAGATTGTCAAGGTGGTGGAGAGTCCGGCGGCCGAACACTTTTTGTTTTTACTGCCAAAACTTATTCAACTATTGGTAAGGGTTTTGGTGTTGGGGAAGGTGGGAGGCGGTAAAGTGGTCTTGTGATAAGTTAGAGTAAAGTAGGTTAGGGTCGGATTGAGTTGGGTATATTACGGAAGAGTATGGTAGCATAAAGAGGGGTAAGTTAAGTTATGGTAGAGTAAGCTAGGACGAATTAAGGTAAGGTAGTGTAAGGTCAGTTAAGACAAGGTCCTTACTTTACTCTTACGTTAGGGTAAAGTAAGGAAGAGTAAGAAAAGGTAGGTTAAAAAAGGTTTGAGTAAAGTAATGTAACGCAAGCAAGGCTTTGTATGAAAGGGCAGCAAGCAGTCCTTAAGGCACTATTTTTAAGCTTTTGTGGTAAAAAACTAAAATAATATTAATCATTGACCCTAACGTACTCTAAAAAAGCTACTTTTTTACAACGTATCTTTCAGATGCATCTACTATCATGCCGTCACACCACCAACACAATCAGTGCCATTTTCAAAGTTCAACGGGCATTTGTTGCCAGGTTCCCTCAACTTCTGTTTGAACATCACTCTCAACTTTGTGCTGATCTCTGCCTTAAACTACTACATCATTTAGCATCAAAATTGGCGGTGGTTCGATCTCAGGCGGCTGCCAGTCTATACCTATTGATGAGGCAAAGCTTCGAAGGTGGACTCAACTTTCCAAAGGTCAAAATGCAAATTACAATGGCTATATCAACATTGGTGTCGAGTTCGGCTAGCCAAGGGTTCAATTTGAACGAAGACTATTTGAGAAGATCGTTGAAGACATTGTTGGGGTACCTGAATCATGATTTACAGTCAGGGAAGGATCTGAAGGATACTTCTTTCGGAATTCAGGTATGTAGTGTTTGGCTGGGTGATATGGGCATTATCATATTGTAATACATAATGTGATACAGTATTTTATAAGCTGAGATAGGAGAGGTTAAAATGTGGTATTATAGGATAGGGGTAGAGAAAGATAGAATAGGGCACTATAGGGTCCAGAATTGGTACCGTATGGCTAGAGTAAAGTAGTAAAGGATATGAGATGTTAGGATACGGCAAGCAAGGGAACTGTAATTCTTGAGTACGATAGAGCCATTGAAAGCCTATAGTTTCAAATATTTTTGTATACCAGGGTCAAGGGTTTTACTTCATGACCAATTTTATCTTATTGCGCTTACTGTAATATAAAAAGAACTATTCTCTATTTTATTCTATCTACTGTAATATAAAAAACCATTTTTTTAAAACTATTCATTCTGTATTTTAGGTACGAGACCTAGTATTCAACTTACACATGATTCTGACCGATACAGTACAAATGAAAAACTACTCCAATGACTTTGAAATGCTTGTGGATCTAATGTATCGTATCGCTAAAGGATATCAGCACAACCCTGATTTGCGGTAGGTATTAGACATTTATAATTTACATGGTGAATATTGACTAGTATTTCAGTGAATTTTGATTTAAAAACTATTCTAAAAAAAGTATTTTAACGTGACCACAACGTATTTTACTTTATACTACCGAGTTTTCAAAAAAAAAGAAAATTTTATAAGTCTCGTTTTTAATTTAAAATTCTTGTTTTCAGTCTAACTTGGATGATAAATGTAGCCAATCAGCATGCAGACCGTGGAAACTATGCCGAAGCGGCCCAGTGTATGTTACACTGCTCAGCTTTGGTCAATGAATACCTGTCAATGAAGGGAAAAGGTCTTCCAGGTGGTGCTTCAGAATTCTTAACCTTATCTTCGAATATTGAAGAAGAAAGTGCCACATCTGATGACGTTATCAGTCCGGATGAAGAAGGAATCTGTGAAAGCTCACACTTCACAGAAACCGGCTTTTTACATTTGGTGGAAAAGACTGTGGACTTTATGGAGAGGGCTAGTATGCACGAGAATATTCAGAAGGTTTATACGGTAAGGAATGGCAGCAAGTTTTTATACAGTTAGGTGGTGAGGGTAGGGGCGTGGATTGGAAGAAGTAAAATTAAAAATTATTATGTTATAGTAGGCTATAAAACCCTTTTTAATTAAAAACTAAACTTACTATAACAATATAAAACTAACTCTTTTCAGGTAATGACTCCCTTGCTAAACCAACATTACCCATTGCACAAGATCGCTTCAGTACATCTTCGTATAAGCAACAACTTGTCAAAAGTAGAGGAATATAGTGGATATCAAGAAGACCAAGCCGATGCCTTCATCTCTCCGCTATCAGGCACTGATAAGAGATGCTTCGGAACCTACTTCAGAGTCGGCTTTTATGGTGAACGTTTTGTCGATCTAAACAACGAGGAATTCATCTACAAAGAGCCGTCGATAACGAAACTCTCTGAGATTTCGCATCGGTTGGAACAGTTCTACACGTCACAGTACGGTGTAGGTCAAGTTGAGATCATAAAAGACTCGAACGATGTGGATCCAAGGAGATTGGATCACGACAAAGCCTACATTCAGATCACCTACGTCGAACCCTACTTTGATATATGGGAGAGGAGACGAAGAACAACTCACATTGACCGCAATTACAACATCAATCGCTTTACATATGCTACACCGTTCACGAGGGACGGCAAAGCTCACGGTGAACTGAAGGATCAGTTCAAGAGAAAGACAGTATTGACCACCCAGTTCAGCTTCCCTTACATGAAGACCCGAGTCAGAGTGGTCGATAAAGAGCAAAAGGTATTGAGTCCAATCGAGGTAGCCATTGAAGATGTACAGAAGAAGACGAGAGAGCTGAATGCAGCCACCAGCATCCAGCCGGCTGACCCCAAAATGCTCCAAATGGTACTACAAGGTTGTATTGGGACCACGGTGAACCAAGGGCCAATTCAATTGGCCAAAACCTTTTTATTGGATATTAAGATCAATGAGTATGGAAAGCCGGTGGACAAGCTACAACACAAATTACTGCTTTGTTTCAAGGATTTGTCAAAGAAATGCAGTGATGCGCTTCAGAAGAACGAAACTTTGATTCAGTCGGATCAGTTTGATTATCAAGTACGTGGGGGTAGGGTGTGATAGACTATATGAGGGTAGGTTGAGGCTGAATACGTGAGTTAGGATAAGGCTATCGCAAACTAAGGGTAGGGTACAGTAAATTTTACTGGGAGTGGCATAGGGCTAGCCAAGGATGGGGAATGGTCAGTTTAGGGTAGAGTATGGTAGGGTAGACTGAGGCTGGATCGGGGAGTTAGAATAGGGTTGTTGCAAACTATGACAGGACTAGGGCTCAGTTGGGGTAGGTGACTTTGAGGTCTTGACTTTTTAGAATATGGCAACGTATAATGTAGGGGTGGATCATAGGGTTGGAATGATTAGGGTAGAGTAGAGTAGGGCATGGTAGGGTATGGTTAAGTTGGGTAAAGTAGATTAGAGTAGGCCAGGGTTGGGTAAGGTAGGGTAAGGTAGAGTAGAGCAAGTAAAAAAAAGGAAGGTAAGACAACAGAGTGTGAAAGAGTATTATCGAATAAGCACTACTATCAAATTTCAGAAAGAACTCCGTCGAAACTACGCCGACTTCACCACAAAACTCACTCAAATTGTCATGGGCCCAGTGTCGGCGGCCGAACTCACCCAAAAGTGCCAAATGAACCCACGTACGGATAAAACCCTACCAGTCAATCTTCACACGTTCACTGCTCAAGCGATCTCACTGATCGGCGACGAAGGTCCCGTCAGTCTAGTTTAACAGCCTTAATGTATAGCTTTGATCTGCATTTTAATTTTTTTAAAACTGTATGATTAACTATTTCGTTATCAGGTTAAAATTATTGATAAATAAATTTTAATTGTGTTAAAATGTTAAATTGACAAAAGATTCATCTGCTACGATTTTATCAATTTTTAGCTGAAGATTATCTTAATATGGACTAGGTTTTTTGAAAAAAGGATCTTCTTTATAATTAACCCTTTTCTCTTCAGATCGGACCTTTAGGCATCAACGCAACATTAAATTATAAGCTTCTCTTGGTTAAATCAAAAGAAACTTTGAATTTGCCGATTGATACAAACGGAACGCGCACTAATATCCGACTTCAACTCGTAGATAATACCTAATGCGTAGAAAACTATAAAATACTATAAAAGAGGGCTGATTCGTAAATTATTCATTCATTAGTGAACCTACTGTTGTAGACTAAAGTGTCGACTCAACTGATATTGACTAGTTATTAAAATATCAAGTGAACTGTTGTAAACTAATTATTTGAGAATCAACTACTGTTCTAAATTAATGATGAGCTATAAAACATTCTTTGTTGTATTGACTTTGTTGTATGTTGGATATGCTGTGCCTAGCCCAGCTTACAACCCTTGCCGTGAAAAGTTGAGATGTGGAATGGGTATCTGTGAGCCTTCTAAAGATTTTAAGTAAGTTTCTTCGTAAGCTTTACTGTAGTAATATTGATAGTAGATAAGTTAGTGAATTGTAGACTGTAATAATATAGATACTATATGATTTAAATAAGTTTATAATTTAATTTAATTAAAAAAAAAGTAATGCCGTTTTGCAGTCTTAGAAATAGTATAAATTAACGACAAGGCTTTTGATATTGATACTAGTATTTAAAAACCTAAGTAAACCTATTTTTCTACATTACTATGGTAGTAGTCATTAATAATTTTACATATTTCAATTACTGCTGTAACTGTTAAAAATTTTACTGTAATCGCTATGGTAAATTTAAAAAATAGTTTTGCTTTAATACTGTAACTATCAAGAAGTGTACTTACATTCTTACTGTACTTTTAGAAACTTCACATGCATCTGCCAACATGGCTTTACCGGTCGATTCTGTGAACAAAAGAAAGCTCCATCTTGCTCCCAACGTAAAGTGCCATGTCAAAACAACGGTAAATGTCACGATACTCTAAATGCTATTGTATGTGAATGTCCAAAAGGAACGTACGGTAGACGCTGTGAGATTCTTGATGAGGAAGCGTTATCAAACTGGGGAATTCTGACGCTAGAAGACCCTAATAAGCTTATTTCTCACGTGGTGCCAGAAGAATTTAAACTTCTTGGAACGGTAAAAATGAACGAAGTTGGCACGTTGAAGGCAATGAAGGAGCATCTTCTGGAGTTGTTTGACGAGATCCAGAAACATACTGGGGCTCTATTGAAAGTGGCAACATTGTCTGATGGAACCGAACTCCTTGTTGATGTTACACATGGCACAAATGAAACAAAAGGTAATTTGAATAATATTTTAATGTTTTAACTTTTGGCGTATTATCTTCTTTTAAAAACACCCTATTCTAAACACAATTTTCTACCCTACCCTACAAATAAGGAACGTTAAGGGCGCAGACCGAGAGCTGAGTTTACACACTGCAGAAACTTTTTGTTAATATCTAAATTTAAAAAATTTTGAATTATTTTAAGCTTCTAATTGCAGATGACGTTTTCGCGGAGTGGCAAGTCATGGTGGCAGTTACAGTACCTAAACGTGATAATACTTTGAGTTTGGACAATGTGATTGAAATGTTGAACAAACCTGCTTTCCCAAAGCATTCTGAGCCTCAGGCATTCAAGTCGGCACAAAAAGAAGATGGCGGACCTACAGTAGCTAAAGATGACAAAAATGCAGTAAGCCAGAATGACAAAGCTACAGTAATCGATGAAGACAAATCTGAAGCAAGCTACGATACCAAGGCTATACTCAGCCATGGTCACGATTCTACAGTATATGAAGACGATTTCTCTCGAAAATGGAAGGAATACTTGACTTCACTGAACAAGGCTAATAATACTGTCACAGTACTAAAGGTCGTACTTTATGTATTTATTGGTGTCGATCTTCTGCTGGCAATCCTACTGGTACTGAAGCTGACATGGAATTGGTCACAACAACAACTCCCACCTCCTGAAGTGACTTATGGGCCAGCAGTACCAAATATGTTAACTGACTTCTACTACGACAATTCGGAGTACTATCGCCAACTATGGAAAGGATACAAGCCATCAAATGAAACTTTCCCAGGAGCAAAGCACGTTTAATGGCAACATTAATATTGAATAGATTTACTGATCTCAATGACTTTTGTTATATGAATTGTAGTTTTAGCAATATGTAATAATATAACCTCATAATTAATAAAATTTATATAACTTAATGACGGTATTTTGTTTTCTATGCTTTGCTTAGCTCTAGCCTTAACTCTAGTCCTCGCCGTAGCTTTAATCTGTGCATTGCCACAGCTTTAGCTCTTCCTTACTTTACTTTATCCTGCCCCGCCTTACTTTTAAAAACCTAAACAAGTTTAATAAAGCCCCTCCTGAGAAACAGAACATGCTTATCACAATGTATGCATCTCGTTGACTTTTATCAACCCAATTTGTTTACGTTCCTTTTTAGAAGTGACTCGAGGGTCAGCTGGCCTCCCCTCCCTCTCTTCCTTTTTTCAAACGCTATTTTAAACATGGACCAGCGAATCCGTCTATTCCATTATCCGGAATTCAGTTTGGAGAAGCCACGCTATCCCACGGATTCGTTTCTGGGCAGATACCTCAACTATGTTGATCTTATCGACCCACGCACGCTGTTTGCTTCAAATGTAAAGTTTTTAATTTTTTTTACAAAATTTAAAAAAAAAGAAGTCATTTCCTTGAAAATTAGCTTTAAATTTTAAAGCCTTAGCCCTAATTTTGAATAAAAATGGTGTCTATATTATAGCTGAAGGGTAGGCGAAGAAAAGGAAATATTAGTATGTATGTAGAAAGGTAGAAGGGTAAAAATGGTCTTCTTACTAATAAGATTCGATAAACTCTTAACCATTTTTAGCAAATCAACAAGGGTAAAAACTTTAAGTTTTTTTTCTTAAGACTGATCTTTGCTTTTCTACCTATTTTTTCGTCAAAAAGTCGTTTTTTTTATCAATTCAACAAAAATAATCATGGATCTTAAAAAGAAACAATTGGCGTCTCGGACGCTATGCAATCTTTGGTTTTTAGGCCGAAAGATCATGATTGAACACGTTGAAACACGTGGGATTCGGGTTGGCATTTTTAGAAAAATCACGTATTGGATCTTACGTTGAATTCAATAGTTGGTATAGTTATATTCAGTAGTGGCTGAACTTGAAAAATGTAAAAACACTCAATAAAGAACACACCGTTTATTAGGTCTCCAATTTGAGCCTAGAGCTAAAAGTCAAAAATGGAAAAATTTTTTTTTTGTTTAGCAAAACGTAATTTTAGGCCAAACTGGAAGACGCAAAAAAGCTATTAGAAGATTACAAACAAGGCAAGTCACCAGATGTGTCAGATAAAGAGCTATGGCAAGCTTCCAAACTTGTCTCATCAACGTTTCATCCAGATACGGGAGAGAAGATACTGCCTCCCTTTCGTATGAGCGGTTATGTACCATTTGGATGGGTTACTGTAAGTTTTTTAGTAGAATTAGATGAATCACAGTAAGTTTTTACAAAAACATTAACTATCTCTTTATATCCCTGTCTTCTTCATCCACTCTTCTCTACCCTACCCTACACTACCTTACTCTACCAGTTCTTACCATACCCTATTCTACCACAATTACTCTACCATAAATTTAACCTACCTGAAACTAGATTTTACTAAGAAAACGTATATTATATTATATTAAACTCAATGTATTAATTTAGGTGACTGGTATGCTGCTACCCAACCCATCATGGGGGTCGATATTGTTCTGGCAATGGGCAAATCAGTCGCATAACGCTTGCGTTAACTATGCCAACAGAAACGCCTCAAACGTACGGTTTTAATTTATATGGCTAGTACCAAGGGCCAATTATACATTACCTTTGTCTATTAGGATGGCCTAAGTTATTTTACCTATACTAGCCCAATTTTAGCCCCAACCCCTGTCAGTATATGGCAAAGCTTATTTATCAGCTGTCGGAGCGGCTATGTCAATTTCAGCCGGCTTAACCTACGTTATTAAAAGTTTGAAGTCAATTACACCAACTCAACGTTTGATTATTCAAAGATTCGTTCCTTTGCCAGCTACATCGTTAGCTTCGACACTGAATGTGTTGTGTATGAGAATGCCTGAGATTAACAAAGGAATCGACGTGCTGGATTCTGAAGGCAAAGTGGTTGGGGTTTCCCGTGAGGCTGCCAAAAAGGTAATTTTTCAATTTAAAATTCGTATTTTATGTTTTTGAGTTTCTCTTTATAGCGAGCATTGCTTGAACCGATTTTATCATTACAGGCAGTAAAAGAAACAGCAATGACCAGAGCCTTCTTGCCAGTCCCACTACTGTTGATACCTCCTTGTATTATGCCATTTATCGAAAAGTGAGTTTTCAAATTGAAAAAGAGCAGTTATGGTTTAAAGACCGTAGTTTATACGTTAATATTTCTATATTGTTACCTACAGTATAGTTCCTGGCCGTAAGGGAAATCAAAAAATTCTTATTGAACCATTTTAGACAATTTTTAATTTTACAGTAGGTATACTGTAACTTACTACAGAGGTGACCTATTCAGTGGGGTGACCTATTCCTGTGGGTGACCTATTCCCGGGTGACGATCCCCTTGGTTGGCTCGTTTCTAAGCGTCTATATCATTTAAAAATTTGTCCAAATGAGAAAAAAATGTTATTTAAAATTCCTATTCCTATTAAAGGACTACAATTTTAGATACAAATTTGTGCAAAACAGCGCGACCCGACATCTTCTAGTCAACGCCATCGTCTGTACGTTGAGTTTCGGGTTCAGTTTGCCAATAGCATTGGCTTTATTCCCACAAACGTCGACAATACAGCGAGAACAACTTGAGGATCACATCCAATCCGCCACTAAACAACAGATATTGTACTTTAACAAAGGACTTTGATAGTTTGATCTCCTTATTAACTTATGAGATGCGTCAAAGTGACCATAGCAGATAGATATTATAATATAAAGTAATATAAGCAATATTCCTAAATAGTAAACTCAAAATACCATATATATAGTATTATAAACTACCCATAATGACAATCAAAGTAACTATAACAATATAAAATATTTAAATCACACCAATAATGAAACAGTGTCCCAAAGTGGGGTTTTTTGTTAAATTCTCCGATCTGAAACATTGTTTTAGGTATCATAATGTCTCTGGTTTCAAATTCATGTTTTAATTTTAAATTCTAGTCTGTGAAAGCAAAATATTGTACTTTAAAAAGATCTCAATCTTCAAAAACTTATACAAAAATCAATACTATGATACTTACTAACCTAATTAAATCCCTACCTTTGGAGCTTAGGCATCAATGCAACGTTAAATTATAAACTTCTATTAAATTAAATCAAAAGAAACTTTGAATTTGCCGATTGATACAAGCGAAACGCGCACTACTATCCGACTTCAACTCGTAGGTAATAGTTGGATATCCTGTCCCTAACCCGGCTTACAACCCTTGCCGCGAAAAGTCGAGATGTGGAATGGGTATCTGTGAGCCTTCTAAAGATTTTAAGTAAGTTTCTCTTATTCACCGTAAGCTTTACTGTAGTAATATTGATAGAAAACATGTTAGTGAACCGTAAACTAATAATATAGATACTATATGATTTACATAAGTTCATACTTGTGCTAGGGTATGGTTAAGTTGGGTAAAGTAGATTAGAGTAGGCCAGGGTTGGGTAAGGTAGGGTAAGGTAGAGTAGAGCAAGTAAAAAAAAGGAAGGTAAGACAACAGAGTGTGAAAGAGTATTATCGAATAAGCACTACTATCAAATTTCAGAAAGAACTCCGTCGAAACTACGCCGACTTCACCACAAAACTCACTCAAATTGTCATGGGCCCAGTGTCGGCGGCCGAACTCACCCAAAAGTGCCAAATGAACCCACGTACGGATAAAACCCTACCAGTCAATCTTCACACGTTCACTGCTCAAGCGATCTCACTGATCGGCGACGAAGGTCCCGTCAGTCTAGTTTAACAGCCTTAATGTATAGCTTTGATCTGCATTTTAATTTTTTTAAAACTGTATGATTAACTATTTCGTTATCAGGTTAAAATTATTGATAAATAAATTTTAATTGTGTTAAAATGTTAAATTGACAAAAGATTCATCTGCTACGATTTTATCAATTTTTAGCTGAAGATTATCTTAATATGGACTAGGTTTTTTGAAAAAAGGATCTTCTTTATAATTAACCCTTTTCTCTTCAGATCGGACCTTTAGGCATCAACGCAACATTAAATTATAAGCTTCTCTTGGTTAAATCAAAAGAAACTTTGAATTTGCCGATTGATACAAACGGAACGCGCACTAATATCCGACTTCAACTCGTAGATAATACCTAATGCGTAGAAAACTATAAAATACTATAAAAGAGGGCTGATTCGTAAATTATTCATTCATTAGTGAACCTACTGTTGTAGACTAAAGTGTCGACTCAACTGATATTGACTAGTTATTAAAATATCAAGTGAACTGTTGTAAACTAATTATTTGAGAATCAACTACTGTTCTAAATTAATGATGAGCTATAAAACATTCTTTGTTGTATTGACTTTGTTGTATGTTGGATATGCTGTGCCTAGCCCAGCTTACAACCCTTGCCGTGAAAAGTTGAGATGTGGAATGGGTATCTGTGAGCCTTCTAAAGATTTTAAGTAAGTTTCTTCGTAAGCTTTACTGTAGTAATATTGATAGTAGATAAGTTAGTGAATTGTAGACTGTAATAATATAGATACTATATGATTTAAATAAGTTTATAATTTAATTTAATTAAAAAAAAAGTAATGCCGTTTTGCAGTCTTAGAAATAGTATAAATTAACGACAAGGCTTTTGATATTGATACTAGTATTTAAAAACCTAAGTAAACCTATTTTTCTACATTACTATGGTAGTAGTCATTAATAATTTTACATATTTCAATTACTGCTGTAACTGTTAAAAATTTTACTGTAATCGCTATGGTAAATTTAAAAAATAGTTTTGCTTTAATACTGTAACTATCAAGAAGTGTACTTACATTCTTACTGTACTTTTAGAAACTTCACATGCATCTGCCAACATGGCTTTACCGGTCGATTCTGTGAACAAAAGAAAGCTCCATCTTGCTCCCAACGTAAAGTGCCATGTCAAAACAACGGTAAATGTCACGATACTCTAAATGCTATTGTATGTGAATGTCCAAAAGGAACGTACGGTAGACGCTGTGAGATTCTTGATGAGGAAGCGTTATCAAACTGGGGAATTCTGACGCTAGAAGACCCTAATAAGCTTATTTCTCACGTGGTGCCAGAAGAATTTAAACTTCTTGGAACGGTAAAAATGAACGAAGTTGGCACGTTGAAGGCAATGAAGGAGCATCTTCTGGAGTTGTTTGACGAGATCCAGAAACATACTGGGGCTCTATTGAAAGTGGCAACATTGTCTGATGGAACCGAACTCCTTGTTGATGTTACACATGGCACAAATGAAACAAAAGGTAATTTGAATAATATTTTAATGTTTTAACTTTTGGCGTATTATCTTCTTTTAAAAACACCCTATTCTAAACACAATTTTCTACCCTACCCTACAAATAAGGAACGTTAAGGGCGCAGACCGAGAGCTGAGTTTACACACTGCAGAAACTTTTTGTTAATATCTAAATTTAAAAAATTTTGAATTATTTTAAGCTTCTAATTGCAGATGACGTTTTCGCGGAGTGGCAAGTCATGGTGGCAGTTACAGTACCTAAACGTGATAATACTTTGAGTTTGGACAATGTGATTGAAATGTTGAACAAACCTGCTTTCCCAAAGCATTCTGAGCCTCAGGCATTCAAGTCGGCACAAAAAGAAGATGGCGGACCTACAGTAGCTAAAGATGACAAAAATGCAGTAAGCCAGAATGACAAAGCTACAGTAATCGATGAAGACAAATCTGAAGCAAGCTACGATACCAAGGCTATACTCAGCCATGGTCACGATTCTACAGTATATGAAGACGATTTCTCTCGAAAATGGAAGGAATACTTGACTTCACTGAACAAGGCTAATAATACTGTCACAGTACTAAAGGTCGTACTTTATGTATTTATTGGTGTCGATCTTCTGCTGGCAATCCTACTGGTACTGAAGCTGACATGGAATTGGTCACAACAACAACTCCCACCTCCTGAAGTGACTTATGGGCCAGCAGTACCAAATATGTTAACTGACTTCTACTACGACAATTCGGAGTACTATCGCCAACTATGGAAAGGATACAAGCCATCAAATGAAACTTTCCCAGGAGCAAAGCACGTTTAATGGCAACATTAATATTGAATAGATTTACTGATCTCAATGACTTTTGTTATATGAATTGTAGTTTTAGCAATATGTAATAATATAACCTCATAATTAATAAAATTTATATAACTTAATGACGGTATTTTGTTTTCTATGCTTTGGTTAGCCCTAGCTCTAGTCCTCGCCGTAGCTTTTATCAGTGCATTGCCATAGCTTTAGCTCTTCCTTACTTTATCCTTTCACCCTGCCTTACCTTAAAAAGCTAAAAAAAGTTAAAAAAAGCCCCTCCTCAAGCACAGAACATGCTTATCACAATATATGCATCTCGTTGACTCTTATCAACTCATTTTGTTAGTAAACATAAAGTACCATATATAGTATTACAAAATACCCTTAATATCAATCAAAGTAACTATAACAATATAAAATATTTAAAACAAATTAATAACGAAACCTCTGTAATCATACTTAGTTTATGGATTTAAATTAACATAATAAACAGAAAAGAATATAGTATTAAACCGGTTTAGTCCATGCGACCGCGGATACTCTTGACGTTCACTTTATCCTTGGTGATGGTGTAGATCAGAGCTCCCCAACCAGAGGAAGCGTCACGTTCCAATGCGGACAACAGCGATTGAGCTGTGGCTTCGAATAACTCGTCTGGGCCCATGTTTTCTCTCCAGAAGCCTAGAGATAAAGTTTTATGTTTCTAAAAATCCTTTTATACAAGTTCAACGATACCAACCTCCCCCACCATAATATATACCAAAATCCTTCAAAAAGCCTATAACAATATAAAATCCCATCAATACTCACCTTCACAGACTCCCAAACAATACTCAGCACCACATCCAACGGCGACAAAGTCTTTTGGGTTCCCGATGCATCCGATCGTGTCCATACCACATACGTATGGTTTGTGAGTGTTGGGGTCAAGACCAGCCACCAATGGGGTCGTGATGTAGCCACCGAACCGTGTTTTGTATAACAAGTTCGAAACCATGGTGGCCACGACTTCAGGACGAAGTTTGCGCTTCTCACGCAGTTCGTAGAGACCTTTTTGAAATTCGATCTTGTTCAAGACGGTTTGGGCATCCGATGCGAAGCCGGGAAGGCCGACGTACACCTTGTCTGACACTTTGTGGATCTAAAATTAAAAAAAAACAATTAAAATTTTTACTAAAAAAATAATTAAAGTAATAGTTTCCCCAAACAAGCTAATTAAAATTCCCAAAAACCTACCTTCTTCACATTGGTGGCAATGGTCGTCATTTGTTCTCCCAACCGTAAATCAGTACCGATGCAGACACATTCATCGCCGGTCATAGCGACGATAGTACCTCCGTTATAATCCATGATAGACATCTTGGCTGACTTGTTTCTAAAACATCATTTCAGGGTTTTACTGCACGTTCTAATATCACAAGCAATAAATTGCAAAAAAACAAACGTCAAAGAAGACAATAAATCTTACGATAAAAAACGATGCCCCATATCGGTTTAAAAACAATTTTTTAATTTAAAAATAAATTTTTAAATTTGCCATTCTTTTAGAACGCGTTTAAACGCCATAAATAATGGAAAGCAAAAAGGGACCTCAAACGCTTAAAACACAACAAAGTAAAACACGCATATCATCAAAAGAATCCAACAAAATACAAAAGGAATAAAAAAGTAAATATTCCTGGTGATAAACCAGTAAAAAACAAATTTAGCTCAATATACAAACAAAAACATAACTTTATTCAAACAGTAGATTGTGAGACCAATGAAGGTTGAGAGTTGTTGATTTCGGTGGAAACAGAATCCACTTCCGTGACGTCGGTTGTCGCTCCATTCTCGCCGTTATCTTTGGTCAAGACGGGCGGTGGGGTGGATTCAGATTTCGTGGAATTTTCTTGATTTGAAAGTGCCAAATCTTGAATAAGCTTCTTGATGTGTTGTCGTTTGCCGCGTAGGTTGATGTGGCCAAATAGTGTCCCAAAGTCGGTTTTTTGGTTAAATTCTCCGATCTGAAACATTGTTTTAGATACCATAATGTCTTTGGTTTAAAAAGTCTTGGTTTAATTTTAATTTCTAATCTAAAAAGATAAGTGAAAAAATACTTCAAAAAGGTCTCTAGCTCCTTAAATACTTGCCAGAAAATCAAGAGTATGACAATAAAACTACTCAAATATCGCAACTCTTACCTTCGGAGCCCTCAACAAGAAGATCTCGGCAAAAACGAGTAAGAACATGCCACAATCGTAGTGATTCGACTGTTGTGGCATGTTTGCAGGAACGTGAAGTTGAAAGACCTGCTGTCGATACCCACACCCGGGCAGTTTGAAGTCCTGCTTCTTCTCCTTGTACTCCATACTCATGTAATGGGACAAGAACTCGACCACCTTCATATGCCGATGAACATCATTAGCATCCATTAGCGAATCGAAGATAAAGACTGGCACTTCATCGTAGGCATTGTGTTTTGGTAGTTGGATTACTGTGGGTTGGGAGTCTTCTTTTAAAACGATGCCAGCTTTTGGGCTTACGATAACTGCCAGGTACCTAAAGAATAAATGATCAAACTTGTTTTCAATGAAGAAAGCTTTGACATCTTGATTAATATAGCCTTTGTCTGTAAAAGCCACAAAAAAAGTCATTTTCCTGTTACTACCTAAAAACAAAAAGTAAAAGAAAGAACTTACCAATGAGCTTCCTCGTTGATGGGTACAACAACATAATCCTTCTCAAATATATTTACATTCTTCGTCCAACTTTTAAGTGAATTGTAATTTTCTTGAAGCTGAAAATAACAACAATTAGTTAAAGATGTCCATTACTAACCTTAAATCCTTCAAAAAGTACTAAACCAAAAAATAAGAAATCAAAATACAAAATTTTAAAATCTTGTTGCCAAATCATGTACACATACGCCTTAAAAACGACAATACTTTTTTTATACTCTAATATTAACTTAGCAAAAATAAAAATATTTACCCTTTTCGGCCGAGGTCTTGGTGCCTTTGTACCAACTGGGAATGTGACATTTTTACAGAGTTTGCTATAGAAGAATGAATTAAAGATGAATACCCGTTCTCGCCTGAAAAATCAACTATCATATCAAGAATTCAAAATATCTGCGTTCCAACAACCCTGACAACACCAGTTATATGATTTCCAAGTATTTAAATACAAAAGTTATAAATAGAAAGCAAAATGTTATATATTACAATATAACTCGTTTTATGCTACAACTCCTGTTAAGTTAGAAAGCCTACTTTTCCGGAGGCAAAATGTTGTAATAAATATAGTTCAAGTAGAAGTCTATGATGCTATCGTTCAACATTTCCGTATTGTTCAATGTCAACATGTCTGTTTCGTAGATGGTGAGTTTAAAGCTGGATATGGGTTCGTAAACCGCAATGACGCTGTGTGTTGATGCTGATGGTACACTCTGAGCTTCTTCATCGTCCAGTATATGTACTTCGGCTATAGATTGAGAGGGACGACCGCGCTGAAAAATCAAAATATATTTTGCGATATAACTGAGTAATTTAGGTATATTTGACACAAAACTTGCAAAATTAGTAAGAGACGACACCAATAATCACTTAAAAGCTTTACTCATAACCTATATTTGATTTTCAGAATCTATCCTTAAAATCCAGAATAAGCTAATAAAGATAAACAACATTAGGATATATAGCCTAAAACAACGAAATCACAAATAAAACTCTTACTTTGTTAGCTGGTTCGTTAGTCTGTGCAACAGCATAAGCACGATGCTTTCTCCTGTCTAACTCTATAAAATCCACAACTTATTTAGTACCACACATCTGCTCAAAACTTACTCTCCGGTGGTAGAATGTTCTCAAAGTGTCCCGAGAAGAACTGAACCTCCTGCTGGCTCTCATTTACAAACAACACGTCTTCTATCACAAAATCCTTGTGTAGGAACGCTAATGTGTTCTTCCATTCATCGAAACTGACCAGATCTAAAGCAATATGTTTTTTGAGCCAACTCTGTTTTCTGATGTTTTAACAGTAAGATAATACTCAAACAAACTTTATTTTACCCAAAAAAGCGATAGTAAAATACCAAAAAGCCTCTTATAATAGTATATTCCTTTTTTGCTTCCTAAAACAAAAAAGATACAAATAAATAAACTTACTTAAAAACTTTGGTACAACTGGAACATCTTTGCCACCATTTGCTAGCCTTTGTTTACAGTAATTCTTGTGAAACTCTTGTGCTTGGTATAACACTTCTGTCAGAGCCTTTAGAGTGTCTGGATCACAGTTTATCACATCTAACGCAATAAAACTGAAATAATCACAATATCTTAGGTTTGTATAACAATTTTCATTAAATTCTTAATAAAATTATATAAATTATAATATAGTTTTATAAAAACCGTAATTCAATTAAAATATTAAAAATTAAAGTTTCTTTAAATAATAGAAAAGGTTTCATGAACTCATTTCCATCTTTATCATCACTTTTTCCAACTGCAGCATCGCATTCACCTAAATTTCGAACAAAATCAAAATAAACTACCTAAAATCATGTCCATTTGGCAACCGATAGTTCAGAAAAGCATTCACATCCAATGATAAGCATGAAGACAATCTTTTGGCCATAAACTCGTTCACATACAAAATCAAACCCGACCCCTTGCCTTCCGAATTGTCCAAGAAGTCGACTCGAACAATATGTTTGAAGGAAAGTGCCAACTGATCTTTTTGGCCTTCCTTCCCTTTCACCGATAACGTGAAGAAGGTGCGAGTGATTTCACCGGCATCGTCCGTGGTATGAAACTCATAGTTCCCGAACAAACAGAGGGAGGAGCGAATCTAAAATTGGAACGAAAAATTGATGACAAATGTTGTTCGAGCATTTACCCTCGCTGCATTGACATGGTTCACTATTTCCATAGCTTCTACGAGTGTTTATATTGTGTAAATAATATTCAGATAGACTTGAAATTGGGTTGGCCACTTAACTTGCACTTTTCCGTTATGAAATAGGTATTAACATCGAATGTCTGTAAAATTTAAAATAATTTTTTAAAAAAATTTAAAAACATAAAAAGGTTTAGGATCACGATAAAAACTTGTGTAAATAACAAGAAATTCAGTTCCGTGTTAAAGTTTAACTTTTTTACCTTCTTTAGATACCTTACATAACTAAATCATGTTTAACATAACTTTTAAAAGGCAAACTTAACATTAAATGACTTTTGCCATTTCAAAAAACGGTTAAACCATAAACCTACAAAAAGATAAGAATAATACTTATTAAAACCCAAATCCTCACCAAAAACCCGTATTTTATATATTGAGATTTTTTTATAAACAACGAGATAAATCTTCATAAAACAACAATAATTCATAATAAAATTTCCTCAAAATTATTTAAAACATGCCCACAAGTTACGTAAGCTTGTACAAAACTGTTTAAAGAAACTTTTCAAATAACGTCACAGTGATGGAATTATTAAAGAAAAAAACTTTCTGAACGCAAGAAATAATTATTTCAGTCCCAGCACGAAAACAAACACGACGCTGAAGCGAAACGCCAGGCGGGAGAAAATTATTATTTTTTGTTTTTTTGCGAAATTTGCGATTTTTGACAAAAACTTTTCATAGTTTAGTATCGCGTTGATATAATTGACAGAATTATTATGTTTAATATATTTTTGAAGTTTCAGAATGTTTAATTTACCCGGTGGATTGTTTGGCGCTGCTACACCTGCGGCTACGTCAACTGCTTCTACTGGATTGACCTTCGGACAGCCGGCGACAAAACCAACGACTGGAGGCTTATTTGGGGCTCCTACATCAGCTGCTACGTCAGCTCCTTTAACACAAAGTAAGTTTGTTTTCAAAGATGCGACAATTTATTGCAAGATTTTAGGAATTCTAGTGAAATATTATTCTTTAACTTTCAGGTTTGTTTGGAACGCCACAAACGTTTCGACCTGCCGCTAGTCTTACGTTAGGTCAGCCAACAGCAAAACCTGCTACTGGAGGTTTGTTTGGAGCACCTACGTCAGCGGCTACAACGACTGCTGCTACAGGTTTGACTTTTGGACAGCCAGCAGCCGGTGGATTGTTTGGCGCTGCTACACCTGCGGCTACGTCAACTGCTTCTACCGGATTGACCTTCGGACAGCCGGCGACAAAACCAGCGACTGGAGGCTTATTTGGGGCTCCTACATCAGCTGCTACGCCAGCTCCTTTAACACAAAGTAAGTTTGTTTTTAAAGATGCGACTATTTATTGCAAGATTTTAGGAATTCTAGTGAAATATTATTCTTTAACTTTCAGGTTTGTTTGGAACGCCACAAACGTCTCAACCTGCCGCTAGTCTTACGTTAGGTCAGCCAACAGCAAAACCTGCTACTGGGGGTTTGTTTGGAGCACCTACGTCAGCGGCTACAACGACTGCTGCTACAGGTTTGACTTTTGGACAGCCAGCAGCGAAGCCAGCAGCCGGTGGATTGTTTGGCGCTGCTACACCTGCGGCTACGTCAACTGCTTCTACTGGATTGACCTTCGGACAGCCGGCGACAAAACCAGCGACTGGAGGCTTATTTGGGGCTCCTACATCAGCTGCTACGTCAGCTCCTTTAACACAAAGTAAGTTTGTTTTTAAAGATGCGACAATTTATTGCAAGATTTTAGGAATTCTAGCAAAATATTATTCTTTAACTTTCAGGTTTGTTTGGAACGCCACAAACGTCTCAACCTGCCGCTAGTCTAGGTCAGCCAGCAACAAAACCTGCTACTGGGGGTTTGTTTGGAGCACCTACGTCAGCGGCTACAACGACTGCTGCTACAGGTTTGACTTTTGGACAGCCAGCAGCGAAGCCAGCAGCCGGTGGATTGTTTGGCGCTGCTACACCTGCGGCTACGTCAACTGCTTCTACTGGATTGACCTTCGGACAGCCGGCGACAAAACCAGCGACTGGAGGCTTATTTGGGGCTCCTACATCAGCTGCTACGCCAGCTCCTTTAACACAAAGTAAGTTTGTTTTTAAAGATGCGACTATTTATTGCAAGATTTTAGGAATTCTAGTGAAATATTATTCTTTAACTTTCAGGTTTGTTTGGAACGCCACAAACGTCTCAACCTGCCGCTAGTCTTACGTTAGGTCAGCCAACAGCAAAACCTGCTACTGGGGGTTTGTTTGGAGCACCTACGTCAGCGGCTACATCAACTGCTGCCACTGGGGTGACCTTAGGACAACCGACGACAAAACCCGCGACTGGCGGACTGTTTGGTGCTGCTACACCTGCTGCTACGACGACTTTGGCAGCTCCAAAGCCGGCGGACCCGGTTCAAGGGCTTGCAGGAAAACTGAAGTTTAATGATTTGGATGGATTGTTGAACAAGTTGTCAATTGATCTTCAAGAACAAGACAATAGATTCCAGGAGTTGCTACGTCAAGTGAACCAACAAGATCTTATGCTTTATGAACGACAAGGAAAGGTAGATAATTTGAAATTGTTACATGGATTTAGGGGGGGGGAGTTCTATTTTTTCTAATCTTTTTTTTGGATTTAAAAATGTTTCGCTTTCGTGAATACTTATTAAAATTCATATTACAGTTGGACGATGTGTTGAAAGAGTTGGATAATCTTGAGAAAGACCATTTCCGCTTCACAACTCACGTTGAAATGCTGGAAGAACAACAGAACGATGCCAGGAAGTTCATCGAACAAATGGAGAAACAACTCGGTTTGCCAGCTTTCAACGATCCTCAACAACCTGGTCCAGCTAGCAATTTGAATGTGGATGTCAGAAGAGCTGCTTTGTAAGTTTTAAATGACAAATATTTGTATTGGTTTTGTCGTTAATTTTGATAAATTTAACTTATAAGCTTATGCTAAAAGATTTGCAAATATTTCTTTTGTTAAAGCTTTAAAAGTTTCTCATTATAATTTTTTTCAGGCTGCAATTACTCCTCGAGACCGATATTGCTGCCAAACAACTTGATAATGAAGTTGAAGATGCTACCCAACGCCTGAACGACGTCAGAAACATCAAAGACAAGGTCCACAAGAACACTGATGGCCAGAGCGATCTAGAACAACTACAACAAATCCTGTCACATCAGATGCAAGCCATCTTACACTTGGAACAGGAATGCGACGACATGTCTAAACGGCTAACGACCGTTCGATCAAAGAATTAATTTATATTATGATAGAAGTATTGTTATAGAACTGGAATTCGAGTTTTGTCAAGTAATATCATAGTTGTTTATTATAAAAAATATTATTGGATTGTCACTTAATGACTACTTTAACTTTGTCATGTTGGAATAAATCGTTTTAACTTGAGTTCACTTCAAGTTTGTTTGATTTTTGTGCTGAGGAATATTGTAGTAGGCGGGATTTTAACAAATAATTAAACATAATGTCAAAGGTACAAAAAATAGAACTTAGGATGATCTCCGTTTTATTATCGTATCGCCAAGCTCAATTCTGTTTTGGACACGTTTCTTGCCTATTGTTTGGCCTTAAACCGGGTCAAGTCGGCCTTTTTTTGTGGCGGGAGAAAGAGTTGTCGCCGGCTGTAGAAAAGCCTAAAAATCTTTCGAATTTGACCGCTTTTTGTCGTTCCTTATTTTAAACTGACTTGTATTTCTTCGAACATCTTCTCACAGCAGTTTTTTTTCTTAGTTTTTACCTTTCAACTTGAGTTTTCTGGATTTTTTGCTAAATTTTGAGCTTATATTATAGATCTTGACTTTTCGTGAGGTGCCAAAAGGAATCGAACACCATATTAAATAGAGTAGTTTAAAAAGCTTCTAAACTAATTAGAATTGGGCAATATACTTGGGAATAATTCCCACTTTTTAGGCTTTTCCGTTATATTACGATCGGAAGCCGGAAAACCGCGGAAATCAGATAAAAGGTCGCTACAAAACGAACATTGGCTGTCGTGGACATTTTTTATTACAAAATGTTTTGTTCTCATCCCAACTTCAATTCAGAAGACGGTTTTATTGACTTTTTGAATATAATTCTTTAATCTTATTATACTCGGGTTACTGTTTGTTTTTGGGACTTTATATAGGCGGATGTTTGTTTTGTAAAACCTTGAAGTTATAGTCGAGAAGCTTTATTTTTTGTCTGTTCTATAATAAATGGGTATATTATGGTCGCATGATCGCTCAAATTGGTCAGAAACTAAATTATGGTCTTAAAATAATATGATTTGATGTTTTCTTTTAAATTTCTCAAATTTTTGGCGTCTTTTGTAATTTTGCAGCCATTCGAAGGTAGTATAATACTTTATTTTTTTCAATTTCAGGGTTTAGATGTCGGTAGCGGTGCTGTTGGGCGCTCAATGGGGCGACGAAGGCAAGGGAAAGATCATCGACTTCTTGATAGACAATGAGAAGGTAGGCTTAACGCTTATTAGTGTTTGTTAGGTTTAGGTTGAAATTTCGACACTTTCCTTGCCTAATGGCAAGCTGAAGCATCAGCATGACATGTAGATATTGTTTTTAGATTGATGTCACCGCCAGATGTCAGGGTGGAAACAATGCCGGTCATACGGTTGTCGCGAACGGAAAAACATATGATTTTCATATTCTTCCATCTGGTGTTATCAGTGACAAGTGTGTAAACATTATTGGAAATGGGGTAGTTGTCAATTTGGACGCGTTCTTCGATGAATTGGTCAAGAACAAGATTCCTGATCAGCCTGGATGGGAGAAGCGGATATTCATCTCGAATCGAGCTCACATTGTCTTTAGCGTTCATCAACAGGTCGATGGAAGACAGGAAGACACTTTGGATACCAAGAGGTAAGAATTATGTATAAATTTGATTTTGTTGGTTTGAATTTTAGGTTATATTTTTATTTTTTTACGTGTAGGCTTTACTAACGTTTTTATAGTTAAACGACTTTATCGACATTGTTATTGCTTAAATATGAATAAATTCTTTTGTTGTTTATTATAGAGACCATATATAAGAAATTTTGTTTTAGTAAGATTGGCACGACAAACAAGGGTATTGGGCCAACGTATTCAAGCAAATGCTTCCGAAATGGCATTCGAATGTCTGACCTGATGGGAGATTTCGAGGAGTTTACAAAAAGGTAACGATTCATATTAATCTGGCTGGACGTTCTTTAGTCGTTGATTTTAATTTTATGTTTTTTAAAAATATTTTCGGTATTATTATACTATAGTTAATGTTTGTCTTCTAATTTACTTGATTAGGTTATGTTTAATGACAATGTTTTCAGATATCGTGCTCTGGTTGCTCACTACAAGAAACAATTTCAAATTGAAATTGACGAGACGGCCGAACTCGAAAAGTTTAAGGTAATAATTGTTTTACTGCAATCGTATTTCAATAAACTGGTATTTGATATTCTATGTGTGTTTTTTATGTTTTGTTTATTATTTTTGGAACGTTTTTGGATTTTTGTCTATTTTTTAAATGCTTCACATCTTTCGTTTTTTTAAATTTTATTGCATGGCACATGCCAAATACAAAATTCCACTGTTTACACTTGACCGTATCACATATTTTTTTGTAGAAACACGCCGACAAACTCCACGAACTTGGTGTCGTAGTGGACACGGCTCACCTTCTCCACAAACTTCGTTCTGAAGGCAAGTCCGTGCTGGTTGAAGGCGCGAATGGTGCTCTATTGGACATTGACTTTGGCACCTATCCCTATGTCACTTCGTCGAACGCTACGGTGGGTGGAGCTTGCACTGGCCTCGGATTGCCGCCAACTTCAGTCAAACGGGTACTTGGCGTGGTGAAAGCGTACCAGACGAGAGTTGGTACCGGGCCATTCCCTACGGAACAACTGAATGAAATCGGCGACAAATTGCAGAGAATCGGAAGAGAGGTGGGTGTAACGACTGGTCGAAAGCGTCGCTGTGGATGGTTGGACTTGTTTTTGTTGAAGAACTCTCAAATTGTTAATGGTTTTACAGAGTAAGTGGTGATTTTTGGTAAGAATGATTAATGTTTTTAGTTTTGAAAGGTTAAAGGTAAAATTCTTTAGATTTTGGTAAGCTTTTGATAATAATGTGGTTTTAGGTACGCTTTAACAAAGCTCGATATCTTGGACGATTTTGATGAAATAAAGGTTGGTGTTGGATACAAATTGAATGGAAATGCCTTGACTACTCCACCAGGTACCGAATTATAGTTTTCATTAGCTTAAGGGTGGCTCTGTTAGTTTATGTATCATTTTTTAAATTTTTTGGGTTTAATATAACTGCATGGGGCAGTTGTTTCTATATAATTGAGCTACTGACTGGCTGGTCGAAATTTGTGAGCTGTATCGTAAAGTGACGTCAATATTGTTTTAATCATATGACGCTTTTTTCTCACTGTAATTTGCTGAAAATTTATCGTTTGTTTTACATAACTATCTAGATGGCCCTCTAATTATGACATTTTAATTTCAGCCCGAGCGGCCGACTGGGAGATTGTCGAAGTGGAATACACGGCCCTGCCCGGCTGGAAAACCCCCACTGTGAACGCGCGCAAGTTTGAGGAACTGCCAGAAAAGTGCCGTGAATACGTGCAGTTCATCGAGAAGTTCGTCGGTGTTCCAATCAAATTCATTGGCGTTGGTCCATCTCGCGAAGCTCTTCTCGTCCGGGATTGATAAATGCCAAACGTTGTGACTGTTACCTCGTATTGAATTATAGTATTTCGCGCATAATCAGATAAAGAGCTCAATTTCTTGGAGTTAATATGTGGGCAGGTTCCAGGAGGATGGTATTTGGAGGTCCAGGAGGAGACCTGTAAAGGGGCCGGCTTAATTATGACTCCGAGACTGGGCCGAGTTTTGGTGTTTTTCAGCACCAGGGACGTCGCTACGATTTTTTTTTGGTCTACAGGTAAGCTACCTGTAGCTAAGATTAAATCAAATTTTCATGGATAAGTCAATTGAAACATGTTTTGCATATTAAATTGCAAAAAGTAAAACTCTATACTTAAAAGGGTTCATCCCGGCTTCGCCCGGGTTTTGATTGTGCGGTTTTTTGTCCACGGAATCGTCACTCGACAAAAATTAGCAATTCCTGTCCACCAAATCGCCAGTTGATTTTTTTGTTGATTTATTGTCCGCGAAATGTTTTGTGAACAAAGTTTCTGTGGCATTGTCTATGAAAAAATTTTTAAATTTTTGAAAAACGACCAAAAGTAAATTCATCTCAGACAAAAACATAAGTGAAAGAAGCAGTATAACTTAAGCCTAAACTTGCAGACTTAACTTGTAGTTTTTTGGAACTATATTCAACAGACATAATAAATTTTATACCAAATATCAATAAAATAACAAAACATACCACAATAGGCTGCTTAAAGTACTCTATATACGCCTGCGCCTTTAAACCGCTCAGATTTACTCCGTAAAAATGTTCATGATGCAAAGGTACTTCTTAGCACAGTTTCTTGGTATAACATCTCATTACTGAACAAAGAGAAGTAAATGTTACTCCTGGTTGGAAACATACGAACAGGGACGTCGCTACGGTTTTTCTCTCTTAAAAGTTAAAAGGTCAAAGTTCAAACCACTAGGGGTAAGAAACGGGCCGTCTAGGCCCGGCCCGGCCTTGAGCTAAAATTGAAACGGGCCGGGCTCAAAGGTTAGGCCCGACCCGCGGGCCGGGCTTGAAAGTTGGGCCCGGGCCCGAAAAAAAAATTTAAATTTTTAAAAATTTTTAATTTTAATCCCCGTTGATGTTTTTTGATTTTATTGGGTACATAAATGATCTAAAAGAACAATGCAAAGCCAAATTTCCGTTAATTTTTTAGGTTTTAAAATTTTTTAAAACGGGCCGGGCCGGGCCTAGAAATTTCCTGACCGGGCCGGCCTGAGAGAAAATTGAAAAGAAAAGGGCCGGGCCTAAACGTTGGGCCCCGGGCCTGGGCCGGGCCTCAAAAGTGGGCCCGGCCCTTTTCTCAACCCTACAAACCACCTTACGCAATATAACTCAACTTTCGCGGTTGATAAAACCAAAGGAAAATTTGAATCCAGAAACAATAAGATTGAAATGCGCACAAAATTAGGCACTTACACCGGTAGACAAAAGTTAATGCGCAGATAACCACCCAGTATAAATATATGGTTTTATCCCTTCATTTTCACAATTTCTTGAGCTTCACGAAAGTCGTGATCAACTGGTCAAAAAAATCTCTTTCAACCGACGGTTTCGAATCGAAATTATGGGAGTCGACAACGTTTGTTCAAGATTTACTGAACAAGACTACGCTATCTTTATCGATGACATTGACAATCAACTTGTCCAGTTTTCAATTGAGTATCCGTTAATGGTACAGAAGAGTTACTGTGAGGAAAAGAGGTAGGTTTTCATGTATTAATAGTTGTTACTGAAAAAGTAATGTTTCTTGTTAATTAGGTATCTGTATGAACATTTGACTTAATAGATATTATTTTTTAATCTATAAGTTTGTTTTACTACTCTTGATATTTTAGATGCTCATCGCTGCCTATTATGCTGAATTTCTATGGAGAAGGTTGGGAACAGCTAAGGGCTTCAGAATCTAAAAGATTCAATTATGACGCAACAATTTACGCTGAGGTAAAGACAGACGACGTTAACTTCAAGCCAATTCATGTTGAGTTGGGAAAAAACGTAAGTTCTTGAAGTACTTTTACAAATTTGAGCATGTGCAATACTTGTTACTATTACAAAAAGTTTATATGTAAACTAACCAACTATAAGTTTTAAAATTTTTTATTTTAGACGAGCATTCCGGTTGTTGGTATTCACCACAATTCATCCACAAGCTCTAAAGACACCTTTACGATTACCGTGACTGTTAGTGTCGGTAGTCGTTGTATAGGAGTGTTCAACACGGAGAAAATTTATGCCGTAGGAAAGCCCCCAAACAAACTGCCTCCGGCTGATCTTGCACCGTGGGTCAGAGCTGATGCTGGAATGAACTACGTGCTGAAGTTGAGTAAAAAGAACTTGGCCAAGAGCGATTACAGAGGAATGTCATGGTAAGTTTAGTTTTTTTAGGTTTAATTTTATTTAAATTTTTAAAATTTTTGAAATTTTTATATTTTGGTTTTTCAAAATAAAATTTTTAAAGTTTCAGGTTTAAGAGACGATCTTAAACATTTTTTGATTAAATTTGCTGATTTAACAACAGTTTTGCCTTAATTTAACAAGTTTTTAATTATTTAATTCCTAGGTATTTTAATACTGACAATGGTCAACCAGTAGCATCATCATGCAATTGGAAAAGCATTAGAATCCAGCGACAGAATGCTGACAATATTTTTGAAAATCTGAAGGATGGTGAGATTGTACGACTAGTTTGCGAAGATTACGCTAGTCCTCTATTGGTAAGGTTTTTTATTAATTTGTATATTATTAATATACTATATTATTGACTTTCAATTAAAGAAATAGTAGAAAAATACGACTTATATATTATAACATACTATAAAGTATAATAACAAAACACTCTTCAGAAGATGAAAACGACCTCAAAACGAGAACACAACCTGATAATGCAGATGGATAAGGTCGTCTTTGAGCTTGTAGAGGACGTCGATAACGGTCGAAAAGGCCAAGTATTATCGTTTACTGAAAGCGACGTCTTGTACAACGATGCCTACAAGTTCAACTTTATCAACCAGGATTTAGACAACGACTTTGTGTGTTCTTTATATGCCATTGATAGTGTGAACTATGCGTTTAAATTGCCAAGAGATGGTGTTATTGTAGAAAATCCTCCAAAGGAAGAGAGATTATTACCTGATGCTGAAGTTAGAAGAAATGTTGAGAATGAAAGAAAGTTGTATGGACATGGTTTAGATGAAGTACAACAAGTATTTGTCGGAAGTACTGAATGTGCTGTTAAAAAAATGTAAGTGATAACTATATTAATATTTCTGGAGTGGAATACAGTGTCTAAGACAAGCTCTTAGCCAGTCTGGGTTCTCAGCCACCACTACGGTATTCACTGTAGGCGTAGTGAAGGTATAGCAAAGATAAATCTATAGTGATAAAGAAAAGAAGGTTTTAAACTTTAAGAACCTTTTAGACAACAGAAAACTGCTTTTAAAAAAGAATATTTTGTCACATATCTATATCAATATCTTTCAGATCCAACTCCTTAATATCATTCACCATACCAGACCAACATACACTGATAAGCAAAAAGATCAATTTTGAATTCTTCGCCAATGTAGATGGAAGAACAGTCGACTTCAGCCTTCCAGTCAGTGTTATCACCAAAAACGGCATCTTGTTCTGGACACGATTTTCAATCCAAACGACAGTAGAGACGTCATGTCTTGCTAATATTATTTTTACTTGAGTATCGCATGATTGTAATATTATATCTTATAAAATAAATAGTAAAACTTGATCAAGTAATGTTTGTTGATCTCAAATAATGTTTTCATCTCCATGAGTTAATCTTAAAGAGTGGCCACATGACTGATATAATTCATTTCAAAAAGATATGCGATAAGTTTAGTTGCCTTGCCGGAAACCGAAAGAGAACTCCAACGGCCGCAGCATTGTCCTAATGGTCCTGGTGGTGCTGGTGGGCCGGGAGGGCCTGGTGTATCTGGAGCAACAGTAGTGGAGTTATCAAGAGTAAAGAATGTATCACTGTCACTTATACTTGGAAACAAAACAGCTGGCTTTTTGTTGGCATCGTTAGTCCAGTTAGTGTCATCGTCAATATAAAAGTCTCGACTGAAAAGGTTACGGTACTTTTTTGTATTGTAATAGGGTTTTTTATACTTTTTAGGAAAAAAGGGTATTGTAATAGTTTTTATACTCTTTAGGTAAGAGAAATGTTTGCAATATAGTAATCGTCGATAGTACCAGATATAAAACTGTACAAAGATAAAAAACATAATAAAGTAACATACCCAGTGTTTCGATCGTTAACGAAATAAGAACATCGTTGATTCTGGACATCTTTAATACATTCGTTCTCAACTGTACAACAAATGGCATAGACTAGAACGTTCTTGTACAACCTCATTGGGTTGGGACGATCTCAGTACGATCTTCACCTTCCACATTCACACAGTATGAGTTAAAATCATGACTTTTTTCCTTAAAAATAAGGCATACGAAACCAAACAACCGTACCAAACTTTACAGATTGAATAATCATCAAACTTTTTCCGCCAGGCGATGCACACATGTCCAAAACGTTGTCATCTTCCTTTAAATCCAACGCTAGTACTGGTAAGACAGAACCTCCGTCTAATAACCACCAACCTTAAAGAAAACAGTATAATATAAAGTTTAAATCAATTTATAATATAACTTATACAATAAAAGTAAAACAGTTTTAAAACTTCATACTTCGGTTCGGAGTAAAGACACTTACTTGAAATACCGTTCTTATCCTTCATTAGAGCTGGGTAGTTGTCGAACACTTCTCTCGCATAAGACAGTATCCTCAGATCACTCGGGTACTCTATGACACCTTCTTCTGTCTTAAGGTGAGAATTCAGAAATTCTAGACCTGTTATTCTAAATAATATCACACCGATAGATGTAGACGACGTTTAAAAAACAAAAAGTAATTTTAACAATTACCAAAATATCGATGTTTTACCACTATAACAATATTAGCTGTAAAAATCAGTTTCCAAACGCAAAAAACACCTCATTTGTAACATAAAATTAAGTCCATTTAAAAAAATCATAAACCTGTAAACTTACTGTATTTGATTGCTGTTTGGTTCCACAACATCTTGTTTAACTTGTCCTGGCTCATAATCTCCTTCAGAAGATGTAAAATCAACCAAACCTCCGTTCACTCGGTCCACGAACTCGTCTTCCTCCTCTAACCCTTCTATAACAATCCCAGTCTCTTCTTGTCCAATTTGTTCACCAGTCTTTGCCACCTTCTCCTTGACTTTCTCAAATGCTTTGCCTCTTTTCAAAGATCCGATCACATCAACTGTCCCCAGATCTCTATTACCTACAACTTCTGCTCATAATCCTCGCTGAGCCTGTTTAGCACCGCCACATACTTATTTTGAATCAGTAGACCAATTCGAACTGATGGCCATCGTTTTCCGAACAATGGACTGTAGTAAAAGTCGAAGTTGTCCAAAGCCAACATGAACTTTTCATCTTATTTTTTTGGTGCTATCCTAGACTTAAATTTGGCCGCTTTCCCTCGCACCGGCTGTATAATGGCACATGTTAGGTATTTTTGGATTAAAAGCTTGGAAAACATCTAAAGTTTATAAGTTTACCCGTAGCTTTTGCTTTTTCTGTCTAAAAACGTAATACAGACAAAGGATTTACCTTAAATTAACAAAAACAAGTTCAACAATATAAATAGCAATAATAATTAAGTAAACTAATAATTAGAAACTTAAAACACGATCAATCAGGTCTGAAATACGCTTGAATTTACCTGAAAAATAAAATAAATAAAAATAGGAACACATGACACGAAAAGTCAAGTTTTGCACTTTTGACAGAAAAACGTTTAGAAATTGTGTCATTTTAGAAGTATTATACATTGTTGTGGATAGTTCATTCTTAGAATCTGTCTATCATTTAATGTTTTTGTTTAGATATTTTATATTGTTTATAATAAAATGTCTTATCCTCATTGTATACATTATTATTTATTGTACAAATAATAGAAATGTGAAATTAATAATTAAAGTTATTTGGTGCAACAAAAAATGAAGACATTCCATTACAATTTGAAGGTGGTGGAACTAAAGGTTGAGCAGACAGACTTGAATTGTAAAGAAAGTTTTGTGATAGACAACTGTGAACATAATTCATATTTGGCAAATTATATTGAGCACAATAAACAGCATTGTTAATTGGCATAGAAATATTTGGGGTCTGATTGTACAAAACATTGCCGCTTGGAGCCCAATTAGTCGCGTTAGCACTAGTGGGAACATAGAAAGAAGTACAATTTTGTGGTTGACAATTGACAGTATTCATATTGGTAGTAGTAATCATGTTACTGTTGTTGATGCCATAAGATCCGTTGTTGTAGTAATTGTAGTTCGATGCATTTGCAGTGTTCGTTACAGCGTTCAATCCGAAGTTTGGATTTTGGAACTGAGTATTCACAGGAGTCTGACACCATTGTTGGGCCACTTCTGAAGAGCAGCGATTGCTGTAGTCGACTGAGTTGTCGGAATGATAACATGAATCAAAAGAGCGTCTGTCATCTTTCGTGGTTCGTTTTGGAGCTGGTTCTACTTTGTCCTAAAAACATTAAATGAAACTTCTATCGTTAAGACGTTATCTGATTTTTAAAATTTTCCAACAGTCTGTTACTAGACATTATTTATCACAATGGAATGAAGCAAACTACATATAAGTACTAACTTTAAAATACTGTAAGTTTCTTTCTAAACCACAGTAAATGTCTTACCTTTGCAGCCATTCTCTTTCTAGTCTTGACAGCTTTTTCTTCCGGAGCCTTCGTCTTTTTGCAAATTTCGTTGAATTTAGCCTTGAATCCTGGCGTCTTTACATCGATGTCCGTCGCTATCGTGTAGCTGCTTTGACGAAGGTAATCGGTGTGATTCGGATCAGATCCGTATTCCAGCAGTACCGCGGCCACATCCAGAAATTTGTTCTTTACTGCTGTCTGTAGCGCAATTTGATGCTAAAATTAAAAATTGTATTTAAATTCTTGCAAGGCTGCGTAAAAACGTAAACAATGATCTTTCGAATATAGAAATTTTGTACAAATAGTGCTATAAGAAACCAACATAGAAAACGTTTAAATCCTTACCATATAATCGCATCTCGCTGGCAACAACACGTTTTTCTTAAGAATTTTGATGCTTTTCGCCGTGTCCAGAATCCTCCTTACACAATCGACATTTCCTCCAGCAGCAGCCCAGTGAAGAGCAGTCCAACCAGCTCTCTCCATTTCTCTATTGGCAATCCCACCAACATTAAACCCGTTCTTGTGAGCCAATCTCATCAAGCTCTCCACCAGGTCTGACATGCCCCAGCAAGCAGCCAAAGTCATTGCACTTTGGGGGGCAGGGGCTGGTGTGGTAATGTGGAACAAGGCTAACGCATCCACCCGGGTAAGGATATGATTGGCCAATGTTGTGTTGTTGGCCACGATACATTCATGGAGAACGGTGAAGCCTTTTTTAGCCTGATGTGCCGTGACATTAGCTCCTTGTGGAAGTAGACAGCTTATGGCAATTTTATTGCGGGTATGCTGCGGCCAAGTCAAGTGGAGTTTTACCTAAAACTGCTTAAGGTTAAAAAGGGAATATATAATTTTGAAAGTTAAAATTGTTAACAAGTTTTTTTACATTGCAACTAAATTTCCCCAAAAATGATTAACACTTACCCATTTTGTTGACATGGTTAACGTCAATGCCAAGTTGAATCAAATAGTTGATGGCCTTAATGCAAGATTCTTCTGAATAGTTTGAGAAGTGGCATAACTCGTGAATAGCATTTTCATTGTGAAGAGTAGAGTAGCCTTTTAAAACTCGTTGGCACTTGGGTCCAGCGTGAAGTTGTTGCACAACTGATGTACATATGACTCAAATACTCGTTTTTCATTTGTTGCGATTTTTACTGTTCCACTTTCCAATGTAACCTGAAAAATGTCGAATAAAAAAAGTAAACAATTAGATTTCTTTAAAAAATTAGTATATATATTTCAATTTAAAAAGTATTGATTTTTAAAACTTTTAAAAATCAGGTACGAAATATTAATAAAACTTCAAGACTAACCTGGCTATTCTCGTTGTTGTTTTCTCTCTTGATAGTGCCATATTTATATTTTGCACCTTGACTTGAAGCATACAGTAAGCCAACAAACAGGGCAATCGAAACAGCTAGACAAAGCAAGACAAGGATGCCATAGCTAATAGAACCTTCTTTAGGCTTCTGTTCTGCTCTCAACTCCTGGGGCTCGAAGTGACTTGGGAAGACAGGATCAATCATCATGGCAATCACATCGTCCAGGGTCAAACTGTAGTTGTTTTCTTTCACTGTAGCTACCAGCAAGGCTTTCCATTCGGTCGTAACGTCATCTAAAGTCAATTACAATATAATTTGACACCAAATCACAATAATTTTAGTAGTAGTTGAAGTTTATTCAAAGGTTATGTAAATATGTAGCTTAATATCAACAATTATAAAACGTAAATCTTACCCTTTGTAGCATTGGTGTGGTAGATAACATCATAAAAAGACGTGGTTCCATCAGGCAAAGTAACAACCTCTACCTTTACATCTCTGTACTTTCCAATCTCCTGAGACACGTCCTTCAGCTGTTGCTTTAACTCTTTCAAGGTTGTCACTTTGTTGACTTCAACATAGCCAAGTCTTTTGTAACCCTTTGGCACATTGCCAATCACATCACTAATGTTCTCGATACTTGGAATCCACCAATTTGGTTCCGCCTTCTCATCCAGAATCTCACATCGTCTTCCGTAGGTTCCCTTTGGGCATTCACAAGTGATCCCATTCAAAGTATCGTGGCATATTCCATTGTTCTTGCACAGCGCAGCACGTTGTTCGCATGATGGAGCTAGTTTTGATTCGCAGAATTGACCAGTAAATCCGTATTGACAACGGCAAGTAAATGTCCTGAAAGTGATAATATTAATCCTCTGGGCATATCAAAACACGATAAAATTTTGTATAGTAATTCAAATTAAAAATAGTGTCAGTGTTGTAACATACGAAGTCCACAAGTACACTATAAACAACAAACTTCAAAAACTTTCAAAATTAGATAAAAACATACTTTAAGTCTTTCGAAGGTTCACAGATACCCAATCCACATCGTTTCTTGTGGAGGCAGGGGTTGTACGCTTCGTTGTAAAAGCTCCGTGTACTCGCAACGCCAAACAAGGCGGTTACAATACAAAATGTAAGTAGTTTCATCTTAAATTGTATTAAGGTTAACTTTGTTGACTCGTATGAATATATTAATCTACACGCTACCGTACACGTATTTTATCGTTTAATATATCTAAAACCAAGAGAAGTCGATTCCTAGAGATGGAACTTCTAGAGATATTAGAAACAAAGAATTTGTTGCTGAGGAAGGAGGAGAAGGATAAAAATCAATAAATTTTAAAATCCACAAGAAACTAGTGTTAACCTCAACTCACTCTTACACGTCTTTAAATGATCCTAACTCCGAAATCTTCCACTATTTATAGTATGTTGGAGCGTATCTGCACTAATTTTATAGCGCTTGCGTAAACCGTATCGTTAAAGGAAAGGCCGGCACTACGTAATACTATAAGGTCAAGCAATAAGCAAATTAATAAAGATCTTTTAAAAACCGCAGAGAAAAACAGGTAAGGATATCTTATCATACATGTTTAAAAGGATCAAGCATACTCTAGTTGAAAAGTGCACAAATAACCTGTAAATAAAAAAATCCTGGTCGTCCTTCATTCACGAGTTACTACCTTTGACAAAAGTAAACTATTTGGCAGAATGTAGCTGAGTCCCATTTTATTGACCAATACCTTATCCGTGTTCTATATTCGTTTACTTGAGTGTTATATATCGGTTTTTGTGAATGATACGAATATTATGGTAGCAGCTAATTGCTAAAATTTTCCAATTTCTGTCTTTTTAAAATCAGTAGTAACTTGTTTATCAACATCTTATGATTAGTAACAACAAAATATTTACAATCGTATATGCACCTCAATCTTCAGCGATACTTTGAAGGTTCTTTTTGCTCTTGTAGAACATTTTCAAGCTCTCTATCTTGGCAATAACTTCGTCTTTGCTTGGATTTTGGTAAAAGTCGGACCAGATCACGTAGGTATGAGGAATTAATCAAATTGTTGATCTAGAAAATATAGTTTAAGATGGTTGTTACCTTCTTTCTGAACAAAAAATTAATTTTTAACTTACAGTAGCATAAGTTACCTTACCTGTATGCCTTCAGCCACTTTAGGCTTGTTTGTTTCGTTCTCTCCAAAGTACCCGCTTGGTGTTTCACTTATTCCATCGTGGGATTCTGTAATTGGAAACAGTACGAAGTCCACCGGGTCTACAGAAACTAGATTAATATGTTGTTTTAGTCAACTTACCTCCAATTTCTTTTCCCAATACCGCACTGAAACATAATTACGATTAAAGTTAGAAGAACTGTTAGAAAAATTAGGAAACTCTTCTAATAAACTTAAATTACATTACATTACTGTAATCTACAGTATACAAAAAGTCGTTTACGTACAGTGTCATAACAGCCGCAGCACCGGCGCTTCCACCACATTTTAGGTTTTTACATTGAGCATTTACGTCCAAAAAAACTTGTGTTAGTATCTTTTTGACCTAAATATCAATGTTAATACTTTCTTACAAACCCAGATATCAATGTTAATATTTTCTACAAAACATATTGATCTTTCACTTGTCATTTTTCGTATCCGTATAGACTTACCGTGTCATCGTTGCTAAACAACTTGTCCTTGACTAATTTTTGTCGTCAATTCCTTCAAGCCGTTCTTCTTAAACACTTGTCTTGCCAGATTACTGTTAACATAGTCAATAATTACACAGTCACCTCCGATTTGCTCTAACAGAGCAAATATTGTTATAGTTATATCGTTTATGTCACAACTGGAATGTCAAGATTATTATTGTTTAAGCAAGTTGAAACCTAACAAAAAGATTCTACGAATAACAATTCCATTATAAAATTACAATTACACTAACATTCCTATCTTTATACATATTAAACGCTTAATTTTGTCAACATGTACTCTCACCTTGGCCAAATTATGACGGTTCAATGAGCCGGTCAAAAATTATGTTCGAGACAGCATTTAATTTCTCCACTTCACCTTCTTAATACGCTGTTTTACACTTTAAACTGCAGAATAAATTCCGTATTTAAAAGTAAATTACAGAGATATTCAAAAGAATAGAAGACACTTACTGTAATTTACTGGAAGCTCAAAGAAAAAAGGAAAGTAACGTCTATCGCGTCCGGTATTTTGCAGCCTGCGGGGAAAAATAAATATTTTGAGAAAACATTTTCGGAGATGAATAAGCAGGAACTTGAACCTCGATCTCTAGTCAATAACTTGTGTTTTGCGCAACATTATTTTTTAGATCTTATAAAAAAGTTTCTGTTTTAGGTTGGGGCTGGCCGGCATGGCAAACGAGACTTTGGAAGCTATTTTGCAAAACATTCCAGCTAAGGAAATAACGGTGAATGTTCGCAATACTTTACATCAGGGACGTCGCAATGATTTTTGTCTGGGGGGGGACGCGGGGGTGGAGAGTACCTACCTGTGGATTTTTTTTCGGATCGGTTCTGCGGGGGGGGGGGGGGGGGGGAGTCCCCCGAACCATCTCCCCTCTTTAGTAATGTATTAACTCATCCTATCCTATATAACAGCCATTACTAATATAATGTTAAACCAATATGACGAATCTAATACAATACCAAACCAATACGACCAACCCAACTGATACATAATATAACTGATAGAGTAGAAACGTTTTTCGAATGCTATCTCATTACTCGTCTCGATCAGACACGAAAGAACATTCACTCTTTTCGAATGAAATCGCCTTCAAATCTGTGTAAAATTTGCGGGTTTAAGGCCTCTGGCAATCATTATCAGTGTTTGTCTTGTTTACGATGTAAAACCTTTTTCCGACGGTAAGTTTTGTTTTCATTATTGCCAACAGTTGGTTTTTTAATTTTTTTTTGATTTTTAAATACACTTTGTCATTAATATGTTTAAAAAATGATTCACGTGACGGCAGTTTATAAAAATAACTTTTCTTTTTATTGTTGTTGACTTGGGTTTGGAAGTTTTGCTGAAAAGATAGTAGATTTTTGTTATTGACAACTCTAGTAAAGCAGAATTTCATCTTAAAACTTCAGAGCGGTGCTCCAACACCAATCGACGAATTGCGAAAACCCAGACCAATGTAAGCAACCAGTTGTGAAGCGGCTATGTCGCGGTTGCCGCTACAAAAAATGCTTGGATATGGGAATGTCGATAAAGTCGCTTCAACCAAAGCGCGACATAATTGGAGTTCGTGCTGCGGAGAAGCCGAGAACCTCCATTAATTACAACTCGGAGTTGGTCGAGTTTATAGTAGGGTTGACAAGAACAGATGAGCGAATTCGAAGGAAAAAGTTCAATTTGATACGATTGAAACAAGAAGCTCAGAAACTGTCAGCTACAGTATGCGGGGTACAGTATAGGACGTACGATAAGGTTGGTGGGAAGGACTTGATGTTGATGGCCAAAGCTGATGTTGCTATTGTTACGCAAATTGAAAGTATTACCATGATGGAGTGGGCGAATACGTTGGTCGAGTTTCAAGGACTGCCTTTGAGTGAGAGAATGGTATTGCTGAAACGGTAGGTGGCACGATGGTGTTATTAGTACTGTAGATAAAAGTGGTATTATTGGCACAATAAAATAGAGTGGTAGATGTTCTTATTTGTATATAGAGTAAAATGTTGTTGTAGTAGGTAGCAAAAAAACGGGTATGTTATGTTTACTTCAGTAAAAGATGCGTATCTGGTGTTGATTAATATAACTTACTTAGATAAAACTGATTTTAGATTCTCCGTCCACCACTTACTAATTGAACACGGGTATTATACGGCACGTTCTGGTCTTCGTGACATTTGGCTGATCTCAAATGGCAGTTACATGCCCAAAACTGTAAATGAAATGCCAGATGAAGTAAAGGTATGTTTTTTAAGTTACCTCTGTATAGAAGACTATGGTAGGGCTAAAAGTAGGATGAATCCAAATAAACCAAAGTAGCCATAAAAGTATGTAAGGAGCCATGGTTAAGGTAGAATTAGGGTGAAAAATGACTATGTTAAAGCTGGAGTTGCGCTAAAGTAGCGTAAAGATAGGCTACGTTGTGGTTGTGGTAAAGGAAAATCAAAGGTAGGCGAATATAGAAAAAAGATAGGAAAAGGCTAGCCAAGGATAGAACAAGGATGAGACAAGGGAAAATCATGAATTGTTTCAGAAAGGAATACCTCAAGAGCGAATGTGGCGACAAGAAAAGTTGTACACGAGGATGACGAACAGATGTATCGACGAAGTAGCTAGCCCATTTGGGAAGCTAAAACTCATGCCACAGGAATTGATAACTTTAAAGATTATCATGTTGTTCAACTTTGGGAATCACTTCCATTCAGGTACTGTTTCCAATGCCCCTTAATAGTGTTTTTTATAATAGAACTATCAAAATTATATTGTAGTAGGACTATTTACAAGATTTAGCAGTAATTTTTATTGCAGGCAGCAGGAAGTAGTAGAGTAGTGAATACCATAAATGTTTTACTTAACTATGATATCTTTACAAGATACTGTCGATTTAAATCTTCTTGAAAAGTCGGTTAAATTACCTTGTTTTAGATAAAAGTGACTTCACGATCAGCGAGACCAGCCGAATTCGGCTAAACAAGTTAAAGGACAAGGTGATTAAGTCCATGTTCGAGTACTACAAGTGTATCAACTACAAGAATTACGAAGGTAAGTCTTTTAATATTTTAAAGCTTAAATTCTTCAAATGTTGCACGGTGCAGTCGCACCTATAAGTGGTAGAGTGGAGCATTTTTAAAGATTTTTTAGTAACTGTGTGTAAAATATTGTTATAGATCGTAACTAACCATAATGTTTTCAGAAAGATTTGGAAACTTGATTTTAACCATTTCCGGCATCTTTTCTGCTTCTTCAACTTTACTGGAGACCTATCAAATCATGAGGTTGTTTGATTTGGCTGTATTCGATCACATCTCTGAGCAGCTGTTGTTTAATGCTGTCAATCTGAATCCAAATTACATTTGAAAAATTTGTGTATAAATAAATAATTATAATTTTTTAAATACTTAACCAAAAAAACTTAAAAAATTACTATCAGCCGTTACTAAGCTTAAAATGGCATAGATAAACTCGAAACAATGGCTCGAAATAGTGAAAAACACTACGCTCCACGCGGAATAACTAGTTTTTGCAACAATAACTTATAACGAGTTTTTTTGTGGTACTCGGTCGTATATTTATTGTGTATTTTATATAGCAGAGTACTATTTACATTACTGTAACTCGGCGAGTAATACGATTACAATAGCAGTCAATACAGATTCTGAAAGCCCACAAAAAATGACAACTCATGTTGGTTTTGCCACAATAACTTATAAAGACTTTTTTTGTGGTACTCGATTGTATATTCATCATGTATAATATAGCAAGGTAATATTTACATTACTGTAACTCGACGAGTAATACGGTTACAATAGCGACCGATACAATTTCTGAAAACCCATGAAAAAATCTTTTTATAAGTTGACGTTAAAAAACCACTATAAAGTGTCATTTTTTATGGGCTTTCAGAAGCTGTATCGGTCGCTATTGTAGCTCCATTACTCGTCGAGTTAAGGTAATGTAAATATTTCTTTTATATATTATACATGATGAATATACGATCGAGTACCACAAAGAAACTCGTTATAAGTTATCGTCGAAAAACCGACCAACTAAGCCAACGGAACACTACTAAAATACTATAGTTTAGTAACAACTGTAATTTTTTCTTGTTATTTTCAGCCATTTAGTGCTAGAGAAGTAGCAAAACCGAAAAAACCAACGAACACATCAAAACAAACAAACCCAACAAAATACTACTGAAATACTATAGTTTAGTAACTTAGGTTCAGTGTCCGAGTTCGCAAGTATCATTTTTCCAAATTTAATAGTTAATTCCTCAACCTAGTGGGTGAACAAGTCATCATTATAATATGTTTTGAACTCGTTCAAGTTTTCTTTGTAAGAAAAATATAAAAGGATGCCATACTAAAAAAATAAAGGCACACAACCTAAGCTGCCCTATTTAAAAAATATTTTTTTAAAAGCTTTATTGACATCTTCTTTGTTTTCAGCGGAGTGTACCAGTTTGTGCACTATAATCTGCCTTTGACAATTCGCTTTCAATATTGTGTGGTACATCGTTCGAGCGAATACAAATACACAACACGTAAAAATCATCAAAAACGACAGTTTCATGTGCATAAGAACAGTAATGTGTATTGGTTGACCTAGAAAAAATATTTAATGTTTTTGCCATAGTTTCTAAATAGTCATAATACAAACTGAACTTTTTTATTTCAATCTATTGTAGTTTTTGTTTATTCCAAACATATAGTTTAGGTTGCAAAATGTTTCCGCCTCATCACCCTGTAACTAACTAGTTTGACTTACACAACCCATTTATCAAACTTTGTAAGTCTGCTGTCGTTCGTTTGAAGCTTATGTATAACATTTTTCACTTTTCGTAGCTCGTGGTCTTTTTTGAAGTCTTTTGTAGCTTTGGATTTTAATGGTTCTTTCATCTTTAGTTTTTCGTATGTATACAAAGCTCCTTTGACTTATAATATATGTATTAGTTGTTCATAACCATCTTTAATTGAAACATTAGCCTTTAGTAGACGAGTGCGTAAGCCGTTGTTGAAGCCTTCCACATAGTTGGTGGGTCGAAACAGCAAGTCGTCGTTGTAGAATTCGAACTCCATGACTTGCTGTGCCTCCATGTTGTCTTGTAGTAGGTTTCAAAACTGCACCATAATAAAAACTCTTCTTGATAGTCAAATTCTAACCCATTCATGTTTCTTTCTAATATGGAATCAATTGCCGGAACTTGTATCTCTTTAGTCGAAAAGACAACGCCAAGTAAACAACGTGTAAATCCTTTAAATTACGTACATAATTTGTATAAACGATTTTGTATACTTTGTCCGATTTGACCGTATATCGGTCATATGTTCACGACAAACACGTGTGCGGAGTCGGGTTTGCGATGTCATTGTATAGATGATCAACTTCCGTAATACCGTAGCGCGCCCGAGGATTCGGGATCCTGTCCGTGATATTAGAGTCCGCAAGTAGTCTAAACACATCCAAGTCCAGCTCTGATACTACGTTCCGAGGTTCTGCCTGCGCGCGTAGATTCATAATCGAGTATTTACAAATTCTCTTACGTACGTACTGACAAAAACTCCGCAATTATAGAAATCTTCCGTTCCATTTTTTGGGTAGCCTACGAGAGTATGTAGTATTTTTTATAGCCTTTCCACCAAACAGTTCTTGAACTTTTCTTCGTACCAGTTCTTCTTCGACTGGCGTTGTTTTAATGAATTTCTATCATTTTCCTTGCCAAAAACATCACTCATTATTTTTTCCACAGCTTTATCGAATCTGTCTGAGAAGCGACCAAATCCCGTGCCGCTTATCAAGCAATCAAGTTGATGGGCGAATTCAAGTACAACCACGTTGAATATGACGTCTGCTGAGTAGTTTAACAAATATTCGTTACCCTGAAGACTTGTTTTGGTTTTGATGAAGCCAAGCTGTCGAAATCAGGGTCTTCTTCAAGATTAACAGGTACAACTTTCTTATACATCTTCCGGCCAACTGTAAACTTCCCCATTAACTCAAACAGTTCTTTTAGCATTTCCTTTTTATTCTTCACGTCAGAAGTATCAAAAGTCCGAATGATTCTCAAAAACTCTTTCATGTCTGTTTCGTATTTCTTGATTTCTGCAATACATGAGAAATAAAAAATAATTTCGTACAAAGCCCTAAAGTAGTTACTTAGGTTATTTACGGCACTATGCCAAACTTCCAGCTCCCGAAATAGCCTGTAAATACTCTTGTAATAATTCTCTTTTACGTCCTCTTTCTCCAAAGAGAAAACTTTTTCTACGTCCCGGTCGGTGATTACGATCTTCGGTCCCCCAATACTGTTGAATTCGGCCAAAAGCCTCTTACGTAACTTTTGGCGTTTGGTGAACCTGCCCGTCCCGAGTTTCAGCTACGGTAAACGCAAATTCTGCGACTTTGCAAAGTCCAATAACCCCAAAAACCTTCCTAAAACTTTAGCCAACTGTGCGTGCGGCTGAACATTGGAAATTAGAATAGGCAGAAACCTACTCAAGCGATCGATGCCAAGACGATGGCATCGAGGCCTTTTGTATTCGGCCTGACGACCGGCCTTTTTTCCTTCAACTGTCGCCGGCCTCTTCAAGAGGCTGCGATCTTTCGTTGGAATTCGGGCAGAAGCCTGGTCGCGTAGGCTGATCTCTTGGCGCCCTTATCGGGGTTTTTGATCAGCCAATTTGGCCAAGCTTCTTTTCCGACTTTAAATTTGTGAGAAAAGATACTGTAGCACAGTATCTAACTCATGAAACATTAATTTAAAAATTGTTTAAAACTTTAAAAGTGGAAAGATACACAGTTCAGAATGATTTTGTAAGATTGTTTGTCAACTTGGAAGGTTGTAGGGCACTTACAAAGCCTAAAACAATAATTTTCAAAATTTTTAAAATTTAAAAATTTTTTAGAGGGTGCTTTTTAGAGAGTAGGGCACAGTAATTTTGAGTAAGGGGGCGATTTTTGGAGGGTAGGGGAGTGAAATTATGGGTTATGGATGGTTTTCGAGGGGGATGATTTCAATTTGGTTAAAATAATGTAATTTTTCACAAGAAAATTATAAGCTCAATTCATTTGTAATGTTCACCTTGAACACGATCCTAGACTACATTTCGACAATAGGCGACATAACGGTAGCCGATTGCGTAACGCAGAGTCGGAAGTGCTTTGCTCTTCCGGCGTCATTCAGAAGCGAAAAAACACCGTGGACAATGACGACGAAACACGAAGCCTACACTTTTGGTCACAACAATGCGTGAAGATGTTGCGAATCCATTGGAGGGATGCGTTTGGTCTCGATGAAAAGAAACACCACGATCCGGATCCCACCCCGCCGCCTGAAGCCGGCTTCACAGCCCACTCAAACTGTTTTCGAATATAAAAAGCTAGCGAGCAAGTGGGGCTTTCTCCGATCTTCTCATTAACTAATTAAATGCTCAATACATTTGTTTTAACATGTTTTGTAAGTTACTACTGTAATCTTTTGTTTTTGTGGCTAGAGTTGTGCAATTTAGGTTTTTTAGTATAATTTAAAATTATTTAATTTTTTAAAAATTTTTGGTCATTTCTTTTTGATATAATACAGCTTTTTTTTGGATTGTGCTGTTTTCTACCTTTATAGCACTCTCCAAGCATTTCTTTTAATTTTTGGAATTTTTACTTTTTATTTTTTTAAAAGCTTTCTTTTTTCTTTAGATTGCAGTAACTTTTGCCGCCAAATACCCAAATGAAATCGTTGATAATCCTATTGTGACATGTGAGCCAGATCGAATCAATGTTAAGGTAATTTTTTCAAAACATGATACTTAAACATTATGTATAATACTATCACATTACGATTTTTATACAAAAAGTTTAGGACTACAAAGTAAAACGGTTTTTATTTGGATTTATTAGAAAGCTTGCACAGTGCAATCTGTTTATATGAAATTGCACGGTGCAATGAAATAATATTCTTTAAAATTATGGTAAAATTGTAATTTAACTTAAAAACATAATTACTTCATGACGCGTTTTAGATACGAACGTCTACTGCCAATCCATCACACATTTATGCCGAAGATTTTCATCATTCATCTAGCTGCATGACAAGGAATTCGAATACTTTGAGTATTCTGCACAATGACTGCGGGATGACACAAGAGAGAATGGTAAAAACAGAGTTATATTAATTTAGATTTGCACATACTTTTATTTTTTGACAAAAATGATGTTAAGAAGAGGGAAGGAGGAGTAAAGTGTGATTTATTAGTGAGGAGAGGTGAAGGGGTAGTCTAAGAGCCTCTAGAGAGGGATGAGTATTCTAGAAATCAGTAATGAAGGAAAGAGATACTTTTGAGAGATAGAAGAAAGTATGGTATAATGGAAGACGAAGAAACTTTTTTTGATAAAACGTTTTCAGGACAATCCGTCGGGTATAATGTATAGAATTTGTATTTCCGTACAAATCCACCCTCTTTTTGTGACAGATTCTGATCGTTCCTATTGTGCTCAATGTGTTTATATGGAAAGCAATGTCGTCGAAGGACTAGAGCAAAACTTATCTATCAGGTAAGTCGGTTTAGTTATTTATAATTTCTCAAAAACTTTTGGGTGAAAATTATATAGGTATACTTATAATTAATGTCCATGACTAGTCCATTAAGAAGATTAGGTCTTGGATAGACCTGAAAGGGCCTAAGCTTTGAGCACGACCGACCTCTTTACAGGTTTATCTTTGCTTCTATTATAATTACAGCTAAAAAGAATGCGAAACAAAGTCTTTTGTTTACTGTAACAAGAACTTTTTATAACTTAATCATAAGTTTAAAGTAAAAATTTTAGTGAAGTAGCCCCGAGTGAATTGGAGCCTCAGTTCGATGCTGCCTACAGTCCTCAATGTGTATATTCGATACGAAAGGGATCGTTTGATGGGCCTGAAGTTCATGCGGCTGTAGTTGGTGAGACTGTGTTTCATGTTTGGCAGTGTTCTAATGGTACGTTTTATCTAAACTATGTGTTGTATAGTGTTGAACGCATCACTTTTGGTGATTTTTGAAAAAAGTAAAAAGTTAAATTTAAAGCCAAAAAAAAAATTTTTTCTTTTAGCTTTTCTTCTCTTCCTTCCCTAGACTAACTGATTGTTACATATAGTGAAAAAACTGGTCTTCATTGAAAAAAATAATCTTTATAGTAAAAACCTATATTTACATCAATATATATTTCAGAGAACGTGGGCATATTGGTTCAAAACTGCAACGTCGAAGATCTTCAAGGCGAGAAAATCTTGATTATCGACCAAAAAGGGTACTTAATGTTTGTATTAAATGTTTAGGCATAAGTACACTTATTAAAGTAGTATATTCTACATATACTCTAAGCTCTTTAATGTAGGCATAAGACGTGGAATATACTACCTTGAGATAGGAATTGAATTAAAAAAAGAAAAGTTATAATTTTGAAAATCTTCACCACAGTTTTCTTGCTTTTTATGAAAAATTTATATTCGAATTGCTTGTTTCAGCTGTGGAGTAGATCAGTATCTGTTCAAGACTCCACAATATTCATCAAATCTTCAAACTGCGTTTTTTGGTAAGAAATATTGTTTACCAGCTAGTGTTTGATCTTAAAATCTTTTCATGAAAAGGTTTTTTTTTAAATTTTTCTTTATAAGTTGAAAAATTTTTTTAAATTAAAAATGTTATTCATTAAGGAGTCAAATGTCTTCAAGTTTGTTGACAAATCTATGACGAGGTTCAGGTGTCAAATACGATTGTGTTTGAAAAACAAGGGAAATGGGTGTCAAGGGATTACGGTATGAATATGTGGCATTACCTAAATTAATTTTTTAAAATATTTTTACTTTGTCAATTTATAACTAATTTATTATGGGCATAATGACTAATTGCCTAAAAAATCAAATTCAGCCCCCCTCCCACTGTCCAAGTCTAGACGAGTTTGATCAAGAAGTTGTGTCATCTTCACCATTGATCGTGGAAGATATTACTCAACCCAAGTCTGAAGGAGTGTTTGGACATTCGACAGAACAACCTCGAGGTCCTCCTGGAGTACGACCACCATTGGGTTTGAGTACGGCACAAGTTGTGAACCGAGGTCAGCCAGTTGGCGTAGTGAGAAGTGGCTACAAGTAAGTTTCTGTACATTGAATTATAGTAGATTTTACTTTAAATTAGGGTTTTGTTACAGTAAGAGTACAGAGTTTTTTTATGGTTGCAGTAGGGTTTTGTCAAATTTATTTACATTACGTTATTTAAAATTCTTGTAATTACAGTAGCATTTTGTGTTTTTCTTAATAATTACAGTAAGATTTATTAGATTGTTTCGTTAGTACAGTAAAACTTTTGATTTTTTTACAATTACAGTAAGATTTAAAATTTTAACCAGGCAATACCTATAAACCTTACCCATATGCCTTTTGCCCACGTTTGCCTATTTAGTTATCCAAGTTATCCTATTAGAAGCAAGCGTGCTACTACCGTATCAGCCAACGCTACCGTCCCACTGAGTCGGCCTAAACGTACCATAAACGTGCAAGCCAACACGAGAAAGGAGGACGATGTGTCCGAGGTGGATGTGGTTGGACTGATTCGAGTTTTGGACAATCCAGAAGACCTGGAGTACTATGCTGACAAGAACAATGACAAACAGGAATGGTCAGAAGCACGAGCTCAGAAGTGTATGGCCTCAGGGCTCTATTGGACGCTGATTGGCAGTGTGGTACTATTATTTAGTGCCCAAGCTGGTGCCGCTTTCTTCGTGTTCAGAGATCGCTTCGCGTTGAGAAAGTCGTTCCTTCATAGGTTTAATCAATAGATTGTAGACTAGACTAGAGTAATAAATACAATACAATTGAAGATTTATAGGAATGTTGTGATATTTTCTTAAATTGACTCAGAAAGTTATACAATTTTATAGTGATCGCTTTAGTCCCTCAATTTAAATTTTGAGCTATACCTTCACAAGCCCATAACTTGGCTGAAACTCATCAATTAAGTTCTCTATTTTGTCCCATACCCTACTATGCTATACCCTCTACCTTGCCCTACCCATTACCCTGTCCTGTTCTATCCTCTACCATACCTTACCATACTTTACTTTGTTCTCTTATCATACCTAACGCCCCCCAACCATAGTTCAAGTTCCCATTTCCTCCCTCTATTTCTTGAACCTACCTCTTGCCATCCCTCTTTCCCTCCATTTCGTCTGTAATTTCCGTACAAAACACGTTTGTCGACTGTAAATTAAATGACCCAATTTACAAAAATTCCCGAAATAACACCAAGGCGGGGGTCATAAATTAATAAAGGTAGTAATACGCGTAGAAATTCCAGTGAAAGTAGTCGATTACAACATGCAAAGGGTTTAAAACAGTAATCGAGGCTCGAATCACAACAAACATCATGACGTTCCGGCGTGAATCAATCACGGATTCGGCCGCCGGTCCGTTGCCCTTTTCGATTGTCAATTGGGAATTGTTCAATTGACAATTAACACTAATAATTATTTTATTTTTAATTGAATTTGGAAAATGTGGATGCGGTACGGGCTATTTTACAGTATTTTAGTTTGTTTTGGTTTGGTAGCCGGTTGGCAAAGCTTGAGGATCGGCTTAATTGATAATCATCCCGCGCTGCCCAAGGTTTTTAAGGTAGGATAACACTGAGGCAGGGTAGAGTAAGGTAGGGTAGGGGGAAAGAATAGAGCATGATGGAGTAAAACATTATAGGGTAGGTTACAGTAGAGCTGGGTATAGTAAGGTAGCGTAATGTAAGGTAGAGTAGAATAAGATAAGGTATAGTAAAGTAGGATAGGCTAATATAGGGAAGATAAGAGTAGGGTAAGGGTATATTAGAGTAGAGTAAAGTAGGGTAGCAAAGAATAGATTAGGGTAGGGTAAGGTATGGTAGGGTAGAAAAAGGTACGATACGATAAAGCAAAATAAGGTATAGTAAGATAGGATAAGGTAAGGGTATGGTATTCTAAACCAACATCATATCTTTTTTAGAAAGACATCATAGCAGCAGTAAAATGGATAGAATCCGTGATTCAAATCCAAAGCTCAAGTGTGATGTACAATATTACCTGGAACGACCTGTCACGATGTTCCAAAAACATTATTCCACCAACCGCCAAATTAAGCCAATCATCTGGCTATAAGCTACAATCCTTAAATCAGTTGACTGACTTCACGAATTTTAACCTAATTTTAAGAGATGGCTCAAAAGAATGTCAGGAAGATCCTTTCTTGTTGGCTGCTGCTACACCGTGCCTTCAGAAGAGCAAAGAACGGTAATTTTTTAAGATCATCATGCTGTTTGTGCAATATGCCATTAAATGCCCAAATACAACTATTTTGTTACCTAAAAAACTTTTAACCCTATCAAAATAAACGATTTTAACAAAGCAAAGTTAATATCCTCATTATAAAATTAAAAACCAGAACCAAATATTACCAAAAGTTTAGTCCCCAACTAGGCCTAATGATATTATGCACCAACTCCAAGGCCTGGAACGGCTTCACTTCTGGAATCGACTTGTTCAAGCACGAAATATTACACAGTCTAGGCTTTGGCACATTCATTCCAAGCAAAGCGGAACAACGTTCTCCGCCGTCCACGGTTTTGTCTCAACGTGTTGGAGTCAACAAATTTGTAAAGCAAGATGTTCATTACATGGATTTCGCTTCAGAAGCTTTGAAACATGCAAGGGATTACTTTGGATGTTCAAAAATGGTCGGGATCAATGCTGATGATGAACAGAAGATGCATTTGGATGAGTACATCTTTGGGGTAAGGTTTAGTATCACTTATAATAGTTACTATTTTAAGCGTATTTTACAAAAAAAAAGTAATTTTTTATATAAATAATATTTTTAAAATATATATTTCTATCTAATATGTTTCAGAATGAACTAATGACTCCCATATTGTCAAAAGGCAATAACTATTTCACCAAAATCAGTGCTTCAATACTGGAAAACACATTTACTGGAGATAAGTAAGTTCTTCTCAATGCAGACACAGAAAAAAATCACACCCCCCCATCCCCTTCTTTCAGAAAAAGTTTTTGAAAAAGAGGTTCAACGTGGTCCCAATTACTTACCCAAAAACATTTGGAGCTCATTTAGAGAACACATCCGCCTCATTACGCACATCTTATTAGACCAAAATTTCCCGTCTCGCGCTGTACATATGCCCATATTAAGCCTTTAGGCAATGGTACAAGACCAACAGCTTTATAGTGGACCAACAGACTAGAAGTTACTGGTATGGACGGAACGCAGGCTGCGAGTTTTTGACTCAAAGTTGTTATGAGTTTGGCAACAAAAAGTCAAAATCTGCTTTATCATTGTAAGACATGCCAATTTAAACCAAGCTTTTGCCAATATTTTAAAATTTAGAATGCCAAACATTTACTTCGTATTAAGGTCGGCATTTTGATCCATTTTTTCAAAACTGCAATTTTTAAAACTTTTGAGTTTAACGTAACATGTAAAAAACTAAAATAACAATACCTACAGCTAACAAGCTACTTTTCAGTCCAGCCTTTCCATTTTGTACCGAAACAAATCTCAAAGCCACTGTTAGCGGTCATAAACAAGATCTTTGTTTAGGTAATGGAACTGAAAAAGTACAACTGATGACATTTTGCCATATGCAGTCAAAAACGTACGATACTACGGTAAGAACTTATTGGAATAATCACTAATCCTATTACAAAAAAAATTTTTAAATTATAAGGTAACGCAATTTTTCAGAGTATAACATTAAACGACATGTTCCCACAAACTTTCAAATCCAAGCCCTTAGTCTATGGGTCGGTAAATGGCTACCGGGGTTGTCCGATAATATCAGTAAGTGCATCTACTGCTGAACATTGCATTACTTATTAAGCAAGAGATTTCAACAAATTTTCACCTCTCTCCCTTTCTAGAGAAGTTAAAATTTGTTCCTTAATCTTACCCTACCTACTTTTATCATTCAAACCCTTCTATTTAAAAATTGACGAAAATTTAAAGCCAAAAAACACTTTAAAATAAATATTTGGCAATTTTATATACAGTCCTACTAATTCCACAACCTTAAGCAAGTCATGGAAGCCAAAATGTACAATATACCCGAGACCGCTGTTCCTGTTCCTTGTGAATAACATCATCGTCGCTCAGCCAAGTAAATAGCAGCTTTACAACCTGATTGTATCACTTGTTTTAACACCGAGTACATTGGAGCATTTAGACCATCGTATTTAACACCAGTGTCATGATGATGTAGTTCATCGTCTCTCATCTTTTTTATCAACTGTAATATTAACAAGGTTGTTGAAAATAATATAATTAAAAGTAAAAAATTAACTATCAAGATGCAATTATCATGCATTTAAGCAACTAAAAGTATTAAAAGTTACAAGACATCTTGAGTTTCAGTCAAAAAGCCGTACCTGCAAAAGTTCTCGTTCAGATTTGGTGTCCAGCTCAATCAAAGCCTTTAGCTGGTCATTGTAATGATTACCAATCAACTCCTCTACTGCTATCGTACATGCCATAGCCCCCTCCTTCCCAATCAAAGCGCTTCCAACTCCTAAACAAAGTTTTAGCCTTAAGTTCGATATTAACTTACCCAGTAAACCCCAACTACCAATAATAAAAAATTATTTTACGGCTGCAATATAATCCTACCTAATCCTAAGGCTAAAGCCTTGAACAGTGGAGTGAAAACTGTAGGATCCGTGTTGTATTTTGTCAGTAAACGTTCGCATATATCCAAATGTTCCTTCTCTTCGTCCCACATCTCTTGAATCACTGGCCCAACATCAGAATCTGAACCAATAACAAATAAATAGGCTACAACTTACTTTTTAAAACCATATGTTGCCCTTTGTAGATTTGGTCTGCAGCTAGTTCCCCGGCATGGTCCACTCTCACGATGCTTCGAACCAAAGATTCTGGATAAGATCGACAGAGTCCTAAGGCTTGAGCAACACGAAGCATTATAAAGCAGCTTTGTTAAATAATGCAAATTCAATAAGAAGGTTATATATAGTACTCTATGAAACTAGTACAAGATTTTGTTTGTCAAAACAGAATTTTGTCGAAAATAATTTACATTACAAGATCGTGTAGGTCCCGCAACGAAAAAATGTGCCAAAACATTTCTCAACATTTTACTTTTACATTTTTTTCGTTTTGCTCAACTTGTATTTCTGAAATAGTACTTTTATAATTAGTTAAGCCTTTATAAAAATAAATATTTTAATATCCTTTTAATTTTTTGTCTTATTTACTTTGAGCTATCTTTTTAAAACTTTTTCGAATTTTTACAAAACAACGCTAGAATATTTTCCCGCGTTTTCCCTGGAATTAATTTCTCTTGGTTCATGAAGAATGTTTCGTTGCTCTGTGTGAAACAATAATATTTTTACAAAAAATTTATTGTTATTTAGAGTAATATATTAAAGACGCGTTTGATTTCACAAATTAAATAACTTAAAGTATACTTTTTTAGCTTCAAGATGAAGTTAGTCCGATTCTTGATGAAACTGAGTCATGAAACCGTGGAGATTGAGCTGAAGAACGGGACATTGGTAGCAGGAACCATTGTTGGTGTTGATGTGGCTATGAACATGCATTTGAAGAACGTTAAGATGACATTCAAGGCCAAGGATCAGTTAGCTATGGACAGTGTTTCAATCAGAGGTATGTTTTCTTGCTTTATTTGGCTTTGTCTTTAGGATAGCGTGATTTTTGGGATAATTCAGACGTTTTTGATATGGTTTTTATTAATTTACATTAAGCGTTTAAAGTAGACGTGGTTTTGGCTGTACTCTTTTTTAAAACGCTCCTTGATCTTTTTAAACTTTGTGCAATTGTACATTAGTGCTTTTCTCAGTTATTTCCTAAAACAAGTCTTCAAATTTTAAATGTTTTGTACTGCTGTTGCTTATAGCTTATGTTGTTTACGAAAACCGTACTTTTCATTACATTTTATGTTCTACTTTCAGGAAACAACATCAGATACATCATCCTTCCCGATCACTTGACCTTGGACACATTGCTAATGGACGACGAGCCAAAGAAGAAGCCAGCCCGAGGAAAGAGTCGGTTTGCTGGAGCTCGAGGTCGTGGAGGACGTGGCAGAGGTCGAGGAATCCGTGGACGGCATTAAGTAGTAAATTGTTGAGTTATATCAATATATGGATGTCATACGGCTTTCATTGGACATCTTGTGGTATTTGTGCGAACCTTTTTTTATGTTCTTATTTTTTTTGGTGACGATCGCTGTGATCTCGACCTTGTTTTTGTTGTAATTTAATAAATTATCGATACAATTGATAGTCTTGCTTGTTTATTGATGGGATGATTGTATTTTCAAAATGATATTTAGCTAAAATTACCATTAAACTAGGAGTTGAGTACTAAAATTTACAAACTGTTAATAAAACGTAATAATTTTTTCTTTTACCTTGTACTTATAAACGATAAAAAAAAGTTTGTACTTGTATAAAATAATAATTAATGTTTTTTATTTAAAAGATATGATTTATTTTTTATAAGCTTAATCGCCCAAAAAAACATGGTTTGACGCTAGCTTCGAGCGCTTTTGCGATCGGTTTCCAAGGAGATTCGCCAGATTTCAGAGGTTTTAAGCGAGAATGGCCATTGCGCAGTCCTTAAATGTCGGCCAAAGTGACCAGTCAACGATTACCGGTCGAAAAATGGACACGACCTGAACTTGAAGACCGATTCCATTCAACGTACAGTCGGAATCTGCAGTTGGGTCAGAAAAATGTGGCGCTTGAAAAGGAGCTCAAAATGTGGGTTTTTGAATACTTTTTGGTATTAGGCTGTTCAAATAATTCTGTTCCACCGAACTCCGAAAAAATTTTGTTGAGAGGGAGCACAGAATTATTTGAACAACCTACTATTATATTTAAAAATGAACAATTTTTAATTTTAATTTTAAAAAAAATTATTTGAAAATATTAGGAAAACTTGTGTTATATAAAGACTCAATATCAAAAGGCAATGTGCAATGTGACTTTTACTTTAAATTTCTTATTCTAGACTGAATGGCAGGCTTCGAAAGACGGTGATGAACAAGGAAAACGTAGCAGATGACTACACGAAGGAACTGGAACGAAAGAACAAGCTTTTAACTGAAAAAGTAGGATTCTTTAACCTTATATTAAACCCATTTTGTCTAAATTTTTAGTTACAATCTCTAAAACATCAACTGTTAGTTTACACTCGGCCATCAGCTCAAACAGCTACTGTGAACGCTTTAACGTCGAGAGTTACACAACGACCTCGAACTGCGAATACCGGTGGACTGACGGAGAAGAATGCTCAGAATCAAGAAAATGTGGAGACGAATCGGCCACATACTACTACGGTGACTTACGCTCAAGATAGGAACGTGGGCAATAGTGAACATGCCGTACTGTAAGATCTTTTTACTGTCATTTTTATGTTGAAAGATAATTTCGATATTTTATATGTGAAAAGATGATAAATTTAAGATTGGTGGTCACCATGGTGAAAAATTATTGAACATAAGATGTTTTAGGTTACAAGGCATTGGAGAGAAGACATTGATAATCAAGCTGAACAAAGAGCTTCGAGAAGAACGAGAACGTTTAGAAGTGGCACGATATGATGTAGACAATAAGAAAAAAGGTCAGAAACTTTTTTTTAATTGAATGAAAACTTAATTCTAAGTAGTTTTTGACAATGGACAATTTAAAAACATATTTCCAGCAGCTAGAAAAGCTGAAGAACATAAATCAGTCGTTGAACAACGAGGTCGAGCAGTCCAGGCAAACAATCAAAGCTTTGGAGCAATCAGCTTCTAGATTCAGATCTGATGCTCAAAAGTACTCGGAATCTAATCAAACGTCGAGTCAGGTGGTGAAACAAGAGTTGAAACAGCTGAAGGATGAGTTGGAGAGCCTTAAACAGACCAACAAACAGCTTATTGACCGGTAAGTGAATGTGAAAGAAGGTTATCTTAACGTAGATATACATAGAGTAGGATAAAGTAGGGTATGGTAGGGTAGAGTAGAATAAAGAAACGCTGGTTTAGAGTAATTTTACGTTACATTAACGTCTTGTTTTCTGTACTGTAACGTAAATAATTACTATAAAGAACTTTCTTGCAGTGCTTTAAGTTCAAATGTGGCAGTAACTGATAGCAGTATCATTGAACTTAAGACCCAAATTGAACAACTCAATTCGATTATTCAAAAACTGGAAAACGACAAGATTATTTTGAAGAAAAACTACAGTAATCTTGAAAAAGATTATAAGAACCTACAAAAACAGTCGAGAAGAGTGCAGAATCAACAGCCAGTCGAGAGTTTTATACCTAAACATGTGGAGATTGAAAAGAAAGACAAAAGTAATGTGTTGGATAAGTTATACGATGATGTGGTTAATATTGTTGATAGTCATTTGACAGTTAATGGTATTGAGAGTAATTACGAGAGGAATGAAAAGTAAGTAGTGTATATATAGTGTTAGCAACTGTTATAATATAGTATATCCATGCTTTATGGAGTAGTTCAGTCAAATATTGTTATCATGTAACTATAAATGACATCTTTTTAAGAAAAATATTGTTTTAGACAGCTTTATAACCCCTTTTTTGTATTTTAAAGTTTTTCAAATTTAAAATAAGGTTTTTAAAATATAAAAACTATTGATTTATATAAATATTAGTTCAAAATATAATGGTTAATGTTACAGATGGCAACAACTCTACACGGAAATGTACGCCGAACTCGAGAAAACACGAAAAATGGTGGCTAGCGAGTACGAAATCAACAAGGATTTGGGTATTGAGGCAAGTTTAAAATCTAAAACATAATATGACTAGTACTGGGACAGACATTTTTCTTGAGGAGGGGTTCAAAATATATTTAATCTTTTTGATTTTTCAAATTTTTATGGTCTTTTAAATTTATGACTGTATAAAGAATTGTAAAAGAATTTTTATGCTAATTCTAAGCTTCTCACCTTTATTCTTGTTTACTCCAGCCTTTACTGTACTCCCGCCTCACAGCTCAACTTTTCATGTCAAGACAGCTACTTTAATATAATATTTCAAAAAAAATAATATTAATTAATATCTTTAGAACACAAGATTGAACACAGACTTTGAAACATTAAAACTACAGCATCAAAAAGAAGTTGATACGATGATCAAAACGATTACTGAGTTACAACTACAAGTTCAATTGCTTGAGAACCAGTTGAGAAGCGTAGCCGGAGGTGATTCTTTTACGTTCAAAGGTGTTGAAGTAAGTTTAGAAGCCTCTGTCTATTGTATAATATTGATATTTGTTTATGGAAGGCGTTTCTAAACACTTTTTGACCGAGTCCAAAAAATTTTGATTTGAATTTTAAATTTATTTTGCAAAATGCAGGTTAATCAAGTGATAATTTACGTTTTACAGAACTTGGCGTCACTAAATCAACCAGAAATGACATTTGACATAAACAGAGTTAAAGTAATCAATGAAAAGATTGTTGATCTGATGTGTCCAAAATCGCCGCGATACTTTATTTGCGTTGAATTTTATGATTTTGAAATTGCGACGACACAAATATTTAATGGTAACAATTCTACAGTAAGCTTTTCAACAACATATGAATTTGTGGTATCTGAGCTGTTCATTCATTACATTGCTACGGTATGTTTATTATTTTATTTCATTATTTATGATTAAGTGGAGTAGTATAAGGTATGGTAGGAAAAGTAGGATAAAGTAATGTAGGGTAGGATAGGGTAGCGTAAGGTAGAGTACGGTAAAGTAGGGTAGTTTAGTGTAAGATAGGGTAAGCAGGATATGACGTTGTAGGGTAGAAAAGAAAGTTTTTTATATGATAATATAAGCTTTGTTTCAGGACGGAATAAACTTAGAACTATACGAAACAAGTGGAACATCGTATAAAAAGGTTGGAGATGCCAGGATATCATTGAAAGAATTACTAGGATCGAAAAAGCAACATGCTATCAAAGGAAATGCAGAGCTTTTAGATAACAAAAGTAGTGTTATTGGTTACTTGGATTATTACGTCAAACTACCAGAAAGTTTGGTCGATGCCTTGAAGGCACAAAATGTAAGTTTTCATTACATATGGACCATATCCACCTACGTTGCCCCACTTTTTTTACCCTACCTTACCCTACTCTACCCTACCCTTCCTTACTTTACCCTAACCTGTCCTACCCTAACCTACCTTATCTTACCTTCTCCTACCTTAGATATTTTCCTATTTTTAGCGTCGTATGCTAGCCAACACAATGATACCAATAGATGAAAGCGAAGCCGAAGATATGAATCGTCTTGTTGTTCATGTTCAAAGAGCCAGAGGTCTTGCCGAAGCCTTAGGATCAGAATCACCATCAACTTACGTTGCATATCAGGTGTTGGACTTTCCTCCTCAATCTACAAATGTCATGTCAGTTAACAGTAACCCTGAATACAATCATACTCAGGTCTTCAACCTTCCAAATACGGAAGGAGTACATCAATACTTGAAGGAGAGCGTAAGTTTTTTAGGGTTTTTTGAATGAGCAAGGGAAATTTTGAAGTTTCTGCAAAGGCCGGAGTAAAATTTGATGTAAATTTTTAGAGAAAGCAAAGTTACGCTTAGAAATTAAAAAAAAATTTAAAAATATTGTAAAAAAAATAATTTAGTCAATTACCTTGTTCGTGGTACAAGATCCGAGCACTATAAAGAGTAAAGCATTTAATGGTACTCTCAAAGCTGACATACGCCTCTTCCCGTTGGCCAGAAATCACAGAATTAACAAAAGTTTCGTGCTACACTTGGTATGTTATACTAAAGGCTTTTTAACATAGAGAATAAGACGTATTCTGATTATATTGACGGGGACTATATGTCTTGAACTAAAAAAGCTTTATCATTTGAATGCCATAAATATTACTGTAGTAAAAATTGGTTTTTAAAATTGCTTTGTATAATATTATAATAATGGCTTACTAAGATAACTATACTGACGCTTTAGACAAATGGAGAGCCGACAGAAGCTACAGTAGAGGTCAGCATCTACTGGGAATACGACTATAAGTATCATTCTGCAGAAGTAAGATTTTCAAATTTTATTTTTATTTCTAAGGATTTTATGTATAACTGACATCCAAAAATCAAATTTTATCATTGACTATTTTTTCTTTTCAGGTTTTCCAAGAATCAGCTTCAAAAATAATCAAAGAAATCGATGGCCATGACTCAATTCAGCCTACCATAACATCAGAAAAGCCATTGGAACTTAAATCAATACAGAACACCAAGCAAGATGATCAAAAACCGATTGAAAAAGATTCAGAAAAGCTACCAGATGCCAACATTCCAAGAGATATGGGTAATCACATTGCTTCGGAATCCTCTTCTAGTAGCAGTTCAGACGAAGGAATAATTTTGACTGCTGGACCGCCTCAAAAACTAGAATCTACGGAATCACGGCCTGAAATTATAAATCCAGACAACTCTGATTCCGAAGTTGTTGTGCTGGAATCACCAAAAGAAGGCAGGGAAGATGGAGAAGGTAGATCCAGACAAGGTGTTGATGATGGAGTTAAACAAGGTTTTACCGATGATAAGTTAATAAAACAGGACAGCAAAGCAAGAAAGGATGTTGATAATGACCATAGAAGAAGAGATGTCGATATCGTTGACAGAGGAAGCTCTAAAGTCAAAGGAGAACAGTTTAGAGGAAGAAATTTGAATCTAAAAACGTCAGAAGAATCGCTACAACAAAGAGAAACAGAAGAATCATTAAGGAATGATGGCCATCGAGTAGTCACTGAAGTTTTCCGAGGGAGAAGAATAGAATCAGAAGCCAGAACTGACGAAAATCAACCAAAACCTGCTGCTCGACCTCAAGCAGCACCTCGAACACAGCCGCGACGTCTTGATGGCGTAGATCCAATCGAACTGAATCGTCGCTTATCTCTGGAGATCAAAAATAGTCGAACATCGGATAAAAGCGATTCAGAAGACTCGGTTCAAAGCGACGGAACGTATGTAGCCGAGGAAAAAGAGCCGAGAATCACAGAATTGGGAGAAGAGATTGAGGTTGAGGATGAGAGTGAGGAAGAGAGCGAACGAGAGTCAAGACAAAGCGAAGAGACGGAAAAGAAAGAGGCTGCTGGGCCGAGGATCGTGGAATTCACGGAACCGCTTCATTTTTCCATTCCACGTAGGTTTCTGGGGACGAGCTTCAGAAGCTGTTTAGAGAATACTGTTGTATAGCCAAAGTCTCAGGTTTAGACAAATGATTATGCCACAAAATAAAGCTTTAGGCTAATAATCTGGCCAAGTTTAGTAGATTTTAAAGGAAAGTGAAGTCAAAACTATAAAAAGTGTCAGACAACATTAAATAACCCCTATACCTATATTATAATTCAAATTTTAGCCAGTGATACCTCAAGTTTCGCGGAGAATAGCGCCAGATCGTTGGACGGAAAGCCTCACCGGCGGCATGTTCAGAAGAATCAACCTACCTTGTCATTGCCTTCAGGGCCTTCTAATTTAAGAATAGTCAATGTTACGGTAAGCTGAAAAAAAAGGTATAAAAGACAAAAACGTTTGTCTGAGACAGGGCTAGGTTGAGACTTGGGTAGAGCTATCAAAGCTAGGTTAAGCCTCGGCTAGGGTTATCATAAGGTTGGATCAAGGCCTGAGCAAAGCTGTCTAATCTCTTTTTTTGGTCAAGAAAACCAAATTTTCTCACTTTTTGTGGGTAACATCGCTCTCTTAACCCTAATTTCATTGTCCTAATACTCAAACAAAATTTTTAATGCTAATTTCTATATTTTTAAGCAAAATCTGGAGAACCCGGACGAAATTCCCCCTGGCGCCACAGTAGAACTGAAAGTATTGGGTTTGCGAGCGATGGAACGATCGTCACTGTTGTCCAGCGACTATGACCATACCATGATCTTCATTGAGTGGAACTTCCTCGACTTTGACAGAGAACAATGTCAGACCGAGAGTAGTATTGAGATACCGAGAAATCCGAGACAAGTTGCCAATTTCAACGCGATTCATTCGTACGAATTGGATTGGAGAAGAATCGCGTTACTGAAGCAATGGATGACATTAAGCATACGGTAAGGCGAGGTTTTGAAATGACAAACGATTGGTGACATATTCCCAGTGGCAGGTGCGGTGGTAATTAATCAAAATTGAAGTTAAATATTAAATTAGAATTTGAATAATTTTAAAATTGATATTCCAATGAAATTCTACACTTACACAACTCTTTGAAAACCATTTTAGAATGAAGTTCACGATGGTTGTGGAGAACAACGAACAAGAAGAAGTGGAAGACCTAGGTGAAGGTTACTTGGACCTCGACGAAGTTGTGAATGTGAAGAAACAGACAATAACGTGTAAGTAATCTATCACAATATAATTTCAAAAGATAAAACTATACGTTTTAAGCTTAAAATTGAACATTGTGTCATTCTAAATCTAGAAATGAAACACAAAAGTCTCTATTTTCAAAAACAATTCAAATAATGTCACCTATTTCAGTATACGACGTGGACATGATACCGTTGGCACTGTTGGATATCGAGATAAATTATGCCGAGGCTTTGCTAAGACATTTTGAGCAAATTGAATGAATAAACGGTTTTTGTAAAACAATTCTCAAGCTCTATGAAACTATACCAACCAAACTTGACGAAGATGTAATTTCCTCCCTCTACCTCCATAAGCTATATTCGAACATTCGTAACTTCAAGTTATAATTAACGCCTACTCCTATACAGTAGAACTCCTCGATAACAAAATCTCACACAATGAAGGAATTTTAAACCTACAGTCAAGCACTACATAGAGCAATTGAAACTCCTGTATAACGATAGACCTACACAACGAAAAAAATTAAAATCCCCAGGAGATTCATCATACAGGAGTCCTACTGTATACAAAACAGCTTCTGTTTTGTAAAAAATTATAGAACCTCATGAATTCCAAAGTCAAATCAACAAAAACAAAAAATGGCGCTTTTACGGCCTACAGTGATAACTGATTAATAATATTGTAGTAGATTGCTGGCTTTCGTTGAAAAGTTTGTGCTTCAGAAGCTTCTGCAGAAGTCTTGGGTTGGCGCAAAAGAGACTTTGAAGGTGTTGAACTTGTCATCTCTGGAAAATTAAATTTAATGAAATTTAGTAAAGTTTAAACAAGATGCACTATATAACAACAAAAGTCTGTTTATTGTAAGCTCAGATGAAAAAAGGCTCCAGTTACAGTCAACCAGATAATGTGACCCCACTTAAAGTTTCCTGGCCGTCTGACGCCGTTTAAAATGTAAAAAAGAGTAATAAATGTAACTTACATCATTTGATCATCTACTTCTTTTATCATAACAGCATCTCTTCTTTAACTATTACTTTCCACTTTCACTCGTAATAGTCTTTCATTGAAGTGGCCCTACATCAGGTGTTCATCATCTAGTCCTTCAATCAAAACATTAGTTAAAAGCATTTCCTTCAACCTTTGAGCTTTATATTGAACAGAATAGAGCATTCCAGACGAATTGCGAGTGTTTCCAATGATAATAGGGAAATGGTATATCATTATTGATAGCCTTAATCCTTCCCCTTATCACATAGATTCCTACCCGACACCGATAGGTTCGTTATCGGACCTGCTAGACCTACTGTACCATAATAATTTAGTATAATACGAATACAATTAGCATAGGTTACTTTATTATACACAAGTTTAATTCAATAATAGTAACATAGTAAAACTAAATATTAAATCTCCGACTGCACCCCGACACACAAAAAACCTCTCTCTGATTATTTCCGAGAGACTATCATTACTTCTAGGATAGATGATTTCTCGCCGATAGCGTTTCTCTGCGCGATAGACTCTTTTACAACTTGTGTGCGAGATGTAATCGTAACATCCTCCCGACGATGGGTACTGAGCGCCCTCGGTCAGATATTCGATTAAAGACGGAATAAAACTTAACGGTTAATTCAAATTAAGTCAATAAGTTTTCTATACTGTAACTTTCACTTTTGACTTGAGCTTTAAGTTTTTGACATTAGGATCGTTTTGTTGTCGTGCGGTAATATCGCAAGTAGAAGTAGAATATGAACTCTTGTGATTAGTTCCAATGTAGAGTTTCACTTCGAAGAATAAAGTCGTTGTTACTACGCAGTAGTGTAACACTTTGTGTATGTAGACATAGTCATATACTGGTTGAGGACGTATTAAAGTCCTGGCTATACTGTAGACTTGTAGGTTTCGTAGTCAGTTGTTGATAACAATGTGGTTGTTCTAATTGTCAATTCTCACTTATCTCTCGTCTTAGTTCAGTTAACTAGTTCAGAAACTTTTAGATTTGATCTTAACTTAACAATTTAAGTTTTTAACAATGTAACGGAGTTTAACATATAGTTAAAATTTAGTATAAGAATTATAAAAAATGATTGTTTTGACGTAAATGTTACAATGTACTGAATTTAGTTATTGGTTAAAGTTTACAATATTGATTAATTTTAATATAAAGTATTATACAATTGTTTTGATAATTATTTAAAAGATTAATTGAAATGAGTTACATTTAGACGTTAAATAAAATTTTACAGTTTTTAAAACGAAATGAATTATCGTTACATTACTGTCGGTATAATAAGTTACCGTTGCCATAATTTTTGGCTTTCTTTCCAAAACTTTTTCATAATTTTCTTCGGTCTACCACGTTGTCTTGGTATGATCGTTCGTTTTTCTTGAGTTGGTTCTGGATCTTCTATTTCCAAGTTTGGGTCTTATTGGTCCTTGTTGGTTCGTTTAGGTTCTTGTTGTAAGTTAGGTTGATTTCCTGGTAGATTAGGTTGGTTTACCGTTTCTAATACTTCTGGTACTGATTCTGTCTCATTTTCTTGTTCGCCTGAAAATAGTTCCCTCGCCTCCCGACGAATGGAAAGATCGGACCTCCGAGCTTTTTGTTTTTCTAAAATGTTGTTATCAAAGTACTTTTTCAGTTTTTCGGCGTGAACACGTTGAATTTGGTTATTACTACCTTTAGTATCTCTAATTAATACATGTGGAGGTTGTAAATCTACTACGATATAAGGACCTATAAACTTCTTATTAAATTTGTGTCTATCTGATTGAGAGTAGAATTCAGCTTTTTTCAAGACAAGTGAACCTATTTCAAATGGTGTTGGTTTAGCACCAAGACGAAGATCAGCATTTACTTAGATTTTATTTTGTACTTTTTCTAGCATATTTGCAGTAATTTCCCAAGCTTCTGTTGTATATTTTGCTAATCTTTGCGAATATGTAGGGTAATCTACGTATATCGATGGCAATTTGGCCGCTACCTCAGTTTCTATAGGAGATCTTGGCGGTCTGCCGTATAACAATTCGAATGGTGTGTATCCTGTATTAGGATGCGTCGATGTGTTAAAAGCATAACAGACTAGCGGAACGAATTCATTCCAGTCTGTTCCACCTGTTGACACGTAGTGTGCAAGCATATCTGCTAGCGTGCGATTCTGTCGTTCTACTTGGCCGTTTCCAGCTGGGTGGTATGGCGTTGTTGTTAAATGTGTCATACCGTACTGTTTAATCAGTGCTTGAAAAGCTTGGCCCGTAAACTCGCAGCCATTGTCACTAACTACTTTAACAGGGATACCGTATCGTGCTATGAAGCTCGTGACGAAAGCATGAGCTACTGTCTCGGGTCTTTTGTCTCCGATAGGTAACGCATGTAACCATTTAGTGAATGGGTCGACGACTACCATAAGATAGACGTCCCCGTTTAACGTTCTTGGCAACGGTCCCATTAAATCAATGTGGACACGGTCCATAGGCTTCGATTCTCGTGGTATTGGAATCATCGGTTCATGATGCAACCGACCTGCCTTTCTTTTCTGGCAGTCTGGACATGCCTGGATGAAGTTTTCGACAAACTCAGCCCTCTTATTCCACCAGAAGACCTTAGAAATACGTTCTACCGTTCTGAAAGTACCTAAGTGTCCACCGATCAGTGGCGAAGCATGATATTCTCGTACTATTCTCTCTTGCAATGATCTTGGGGCTACGATAAGTAACTTATTTGTTTCTTGTCGGTTTTGTACAAAACATCATTATAAACTCGAAATGATCTAGTTAATAGGCTGTTTTTTTCCTAATTCTACATCTTTTTGTAATAGTAATTTTATTTTACTAGTAGTCACATCATTTGTTTGTTCTTTAATTACTTCTTCTAGTGTTACTCTTTTGTTGTTAATTGTTTCAACTTCATTTAGTGTTACTATTGCATTTACTTCGATTTCTGGTGCTGGAAAACGTGATAAATAGTCACAAAAAGTGTTGGAGACGCCTGATCTATGTACGATTTCGACGTCAAACGCTTGTAATGCTATCTTAAATCGTCCAAGTCGTCCTGTGACATCTGAATTCTTTAACAAAGAACACAACGGAGAACTGTCTGTTCTTATTATTGTTCCTTTCGTACCTTCGATATAACTTCTGTATTCTTTACACGCATAAAGCAAAGCTAAGGCTTCTTGCTCTGTTGAATGGTATTTTGAAATCCTTGTCGTTAATTGTAATTTCTAAGGACACAAGTCCTAGAAATGGTATGTCTCCACCATTAGCTGATACTGCGCTCGGTAGATGTGCTGTTTGAATTTCTAGCTTTAACTTGTTTGAACTAAACTGGAAATGACCTCATTTCTTCTTAACAGCTGGTCGCTCTTTGTTTTCGTAGACGGATATGATATGCGCGATCTCTTGTGATTGATATCTTTTTTTAAAATCAAAACGACGTGGAATCCTTAAAAATTGACTGCTAAACAAAGAAAACTAGGAGAGAAATGAAAAAAGTTTGGTACCGGTTTTTCTCATTCTCTATAACCACTCACATTCAAAACGAAATACTGATAACGATGTTATAATCCACTCACATACTAATTACAATAACATTTTTAATACTTAATTATAAACTACTATTTAAAGACAGTTATGTTGGAGAGGGAGGGACGGGTCAAGTATTGGTGTATTACTAGCCCTAGCTTATTGTATAATGTTGTTTACGGACTACGTGAGTTATTACCAGGCTTTAACTCAACAAAAATTAAAGAATTTTCTAGCCTTAATAAAAGGTTAATTTATAATACCTATAATTAAAAGATAGTTTTGTCTACATAGGGGGACATGTTCCTACTCGAAAACTATTTAAAAATCGGCTCTTTTGGGTATAAGAGACCGTTAGAGTAGGGTAGAACTTAATTCAAAAGAACCCTGACAGAGGGAGGTGCACTAAAACCTTTATTAACAATAACTACTCTAAAATACAATAATAATCCCGATTTCATATTTTAAGGCCACAATAAATTGCTTAAGTTTATTGTGTAGACTAAGACACCTATTAAAACTACTGTTCTGGTTGTTTTGGTATATTGTACCTAAAACTGAAGCACTAATAAAAGTGGAAACCTACCTGGTTATATCATACTGGGACGTCTCCTCAGGTATGATCTTGGCTCGTATGAATGTCCCGGTGTCCACAGTGAAAGAACATAGTGTAGTCAATATATAATAATTACAAAAATCCCTGGTTATACTCAATTTAACCTTAGGGTAATAGGCAGTTCTACCATTGTCTTAGTTTATAGATAAATTTTATTATACAATACAAATTTTTGGTGTGGGGCAGTCGGAGGCTTAGTACGTAGCGCTTTTGTCGATGGAATCTCGGTGAGACCTCCATTATGATAATAGGGAATGGTATATTATTTTGGTATTACCTTAATTCTTCCCCTTATCACATAGATTCCTACCCGACACCGATAGGTTCGTTATCGGACCTGCTAGACCTACTGTACCATAATAATTTAGTATAATACGAATACAATTAGCATCGGTTACTTTATTATACACAAGTTTAATTCAATAATAGTAACATAGTAAAACTAAATATTAAATCTCCGACTGCACCCCGACACACAAAAAACCTCTCTCTGATTATTTCCGAGAGACTATCATTACTTCTAGGATAGATGATTTCTCGCCGATAGCGTTTCTCTGCGCGATAGACTCTTTTACAACTTGTGTGCGAGATGTAATCGTAACACCAACATGGCACTTGTTCCAGCGGACATGAAATAATATTTTAGTTATTTATTGTTCAAATACAATTTAAAAAAAGCCTATTGGATAAATATTCTAGTTAATATAAAACTCTTGCTTACCTTCTTCAACTGTGCATCCGCCTACAAGTACACGCTTGAACATTGAGACACGTTAAGTTTTGGACCATAATCGGCAGTTGCTTTCCAGTTGATAAGAAGATACAGAGAGTTGTTGGCCAACGTCAGTACATAACCACAGCGAGTTGTACAGCCATTTGTGAATAGATCAATTCCAATGAAGATCCATTTGTAGATAAGGTAGGATTCAACGGAGGTTGGAGATCTAAGAAGCCAACAAAAGTCCATTGGCAGAGTGAAAGTGGACTTGTAAATAAAGTAATGTCCAAACCTTATCGTTGCTCCTTCCATGACATCAGCCACCTTCAAGTTTCATCCAAAGACCCGAAACCTCGGTTCACAATTCAAAAAAAAGCTTTATAGGTCAAAATTTCTCACTGCAATAATTTTCTTTCCAAAATTCAATTCTTTCTGGTAAAGGAGGTTTCATAATTTGTTTCAGTGAGAAAAAACTTTGTATTAATTCAGAAAAATACCTCGAAATGTATAAAATATATTTTGCTGATAAAGCGAGGTAAAACAATCATTTTAGACTAAAAAAGTCCTCCAGTAAATAACTTTAAAAAAAGATTAAAATTTTGTAGACAAAAAGATAAATTTAGTTCAAAAAGTTTCCCTGTAGATCTCAAAGGTATTATCAAAAATTTAAATTATATTATAGTAGGGAAAATGTCTTTTTATCCAAAAAGCCCCAGAAAAATTTTAAACTTTTCCAAAAAAACTTTGCTTTATAAAGTACTTTTAAATAGGGCAGGTTAGGTTTTGTGCCTTTGTTTTTTTTTCTATGGCGTTCTTTTATATTATTTTTACATTGGCCGAAGCATCTTTTTCATTTTCCATTGGCCTTTGGGCATCTTTTCTCTTTTTCTTTGACATTTTCCATTGTTAAATACAATTCCAATTGACAAAGTAAGTTCATGTCCATAATGAGGGCCACCTTTTGATTGAGAAGAAAAGTGTAGAAACGGTAGAAGATTTTGAATAAGCCAGTGTCAACAACGTAGATGAAGGTGATGATTGCATAACAGCTTTTATAAACCAGTTCCATTGTAAATGAGGTGGTATCCAAAAGAAGTCCAATTGTAGAAAACGTAGTAGTCCGATTCCTGTCGATCATCTCATGTTGTGCTTATCGCATCTTCAATTTTTTTATATTGGCCGAAGCATCTTTTTTTTTTTTTGGCCTTTAGGCATCTTTTTTCTTTTTTTTGCCTTTAGGCATTTTTTTTGTTGGCCTTTAGGCATCTTTTTCTTTTTTTTTGGCCTTTAGGCATCTTTTTCTTTTTGTTTGGCCTTTAAGCATCTTTTTCTTTTTTTTGGCCTTTAGGCATCTTTTTCTTTTTTTTGGCCTTTAGGCATCTTTTTCTTTTTTTGTTGACCTTTAGGCATCTTTTTTTATTCTTTTTCTTTTCGTAAATCCACTTGTAATTGAATTGAAGTCCATATCTTCTTTTGCAGAACAGTGTATAAACGAAGATGTAGATGAAATCGTCACATCAACATCTTTGTGGAAGGTGATCATCGTACCTGGTTATCATCCAGTTACACGAGCAATAACTTCATTGTTAGAGTCGAAGATTGCTGCCTAAAATTATAAAAATGAAGCGTTTTCGTGAATAAACACTTGCCTACAATATAGCCTTAAACAAGCTTTGTTTGTTAAGAAATACATTATTTCACAAGCTAAGTAATCCATAACCTCAATTTAAGAAAACTTACGAATTGATCCCTTCCATGCTTGGAGGCCCACGCAATCCCTCCAGTATGTTGTCATCACCGAAGGGACCCTGGGCCCCCTTCAAAAGCCGTTCCAGCCTTTCTCAACGCTCGCTGTGCATGAGTGGCAAATTGCATCTTCTTTGAGTAAAGTTGAAGATTGTCGCCTAAAATATTTAAAAATTAGTAAAAATGTTGTAAATTAGATAAATACCCGCCCGGGACCCAGGGCCCCCTTCACAAGCCGTGCCAGCCTTTTTCAACATTCGTCGTGCATGAGTGGTAAATTGCCCCTTCTTTGTGCAACGTTGAAGAGTTTCGCCTAAAATTATAAAAATTAAATAAATAAATCACAAAATATGTGACATATATTTTTCCAAATACGTAAAAAACTTTAAAACTTTTAAAAACTTTCAATTTGACCAACACCATGCTTGGAGGCCCACGCAATCCCTCCAGTATGTTGTCGTTCACCGAAGGGACCCTGGGCCCCCTTCAGAAGCCGTGCCAGCCTTCTCAACGTTCGTCGTGCATGAGTGGTAAATTGCCCCTTCTTTGTGCAACGTTGAAGAGTTTCGCCTAAAATTATAAAAATTAATGAAATAAATCACAAAATATGTGAAATATGCTGTTCCAAATACGTAAAAAACTTTTAAAAACTTACAATTTGACCAACACCATGCTTGGAGGCCCACGCAATCCCTTCGGTATGCTGTCATCACCGAAGGGACCCTGCGCCTCCTTCAGAAGTCGTATCACAAGAAATTTGGCTTTGTAGTAAACCTGTAGGTTCTTCTGGCAACACGTGTTCTGTCATAGCTCAAGAATGCCTCTTTATCGTCAAATTCAAGTGCGTTTTATCCAATCTTCTTGGTTAAAGCTGAAGATCGTTGCATAAACCGTAAAAATTAACATTGTGGTATCCAGGTTGGAAAGATGGAAGCTGTAGAGGATTCTGTTGACTTTGCATATTATTTGAGGCAACTTGTAATGGTGGCATCTGAGAATGTTCTGTAGTCGTGGATTCGGGATCTGTAGCCTCGGAGGACCGTGGAAAGCGGCTGGATTCCGTCCTTCTGCCTTCATGGAGTTTTATTCTGCCAAGGGTAGTATTTTCAGCTGCCAAGCGTGAATGACTTGATGTAGACTGGTGTGAAAGATAGACTTGTGCAGTCTTTCGCTCACTTCCATCACACCTTGTGTTTGGAGTAACTTGAGTTTGCACTGCATCGACTTGGGGAAACTGCTGATGGCTTCTTCCGTTTCCCTCGCCACGCTAAGTCCAGTTACCGTATACTTGAACTGATACAGTAGATCGCATACCAGATCTTCGTACTTGAGTTCTGGAGCGTTCTTTAGGATCCTGTAGAAAATTGCATCTTCTTTGAGTAAAGTTGAAGATTGTCGCCTAAAATGTTTAAAAATTAGTAAAAATGTGGTAAATATTTGATAACTATGCCACTCAAACACATCCCAAAAACAACTTAAACTTACAGTTTGACCATCAACATGGAGGCCCACGCAAGACTGGCGTGAGGGATGGACTTGTGCAGTCTTTCGCTCATGTCCATCACACCTTGAGTTTGGAGAAACTTGAGTTTGCACTGCATCGACTTGAGGAATCTGCTGACGGCTTCTTCAGTTTCCCCCATCACGCTAAATCCAGTTGAACTGATACAGTAGATCGCACACCAGATCTTCGTACTTGAGTTATGGAGCGTTCTTCAAAATCCTGGGAATCATGTCACAGATGGTATGATAAGGTGTAGGTAGGCTTTGCTCAATTCCGTTTTGCTTTCTTCTCCATGAACCTTGCTCAAGTATACTGCCAAGATACGAAGGAAGTATATAAGTCCGGTTTCGTTGACTACTTTGGGTGCCAGATTCTGCTGAATAAAGTTGCAGAGATAATCCAGGCTATCATAACATGCATGTTGGATGAAGGAGTGGATCAGGGCAAGTAGTATGATCATCCGACCGTCTCTGTACTGCATCGTCTCCATGCTGAATGATGACAACATGTACTCGAGGTCTTTGGTTGTTATTTCCGACCAGTAGAAGGACTTCGCGATGATACGGTAGAAGTGTTCTTGATGTTTGAGTAAATGTGTCAGGATGAAGGCGATCGAGTTGAGTCGATTGTATGGTCGATTAACGGCTCGAAGAAGCATGCGTCCGACCAGTGCTTCGACTATCTTTGATTGTTTCTTCAATGATAACTTCAGTTCCAGACAGCCTGAGTTCACGGCTTGGGCCGCAGAAGAGAACCAAACGCCAATCATGAACCAAAAATTCTGGAGGTTCGTGGATTTAGGTGGAGGCGGCGGTGACTCGCTTTACAATCTCATCACAGACTTTGATTGGTGAGGCCTGGAAGAAGAATAATATTAGGGAAAAGATAAGTTTATAGTCAATATAATTAAAAGATAAGTTTATAATCAATATAATAATTTAAAATTAAAAAAGATACAGTCATGAGTCCGCATAACATAATTTTTAAACTATATTATACAAATTTCTCAAAGGAGTATTATAATTAAAATAACATACTCTATGATTCTTTTGAAGGAACTCCTGTGCCAAAAACGAATATTTTGGTTGCCTGTCATCGTCGAGTAGTTTTCGGACTGCTTTCACAAACTTGCTCATACTCTCTGCCTTGCAGCTCTTCTCCAAAACGAATACCATCTAGTAGAGCAATGTTATTGGATTTGCTATAAACATAATCTTTAATACAAATACTTTGATATATCTTTATGATAGTGTAACATAATCTTGCAAAAAGCGTAAAAATCATTTTATACTATCAAACAAGCACAAAAAAAAGTAAATATCACAAATTAGACAAACAAGAAGTATATCTGCCTCAAAACTATGCAAAAAACCCTCCCAGAACCAAGTCAAGCAAGGCTTCGGGTCTGTAAAGTAAGCCCGGTTCTTTCGCAGCCAAAAAAGTGTAAAACATACGATGATATCTGTACAAAGGTGCTAAGAAGTTGGTTAGCCCTTCAATAATGTAAGCGTCAATTCCATAATATTATATTATTCAAAGCCCGAATGAATAGAACGTCAATTAATAGTACCAAACGTTCAGCTAAGTTACTGTAGTTCATTCGGACGCCAATATGTTATCATTCATCCAAATCCGGCCTGAAAATAAGTTATAACACTACGTAGTAGTGCACTACTTTTATCATAATATAAAGGTCAACAAGCATATAATATTAATCAAAAAGCAAATTTACGCCTAAAAATACCAAAAGATAAAGCAAAAAAAATTACGAACTTTTTGGCCAAAAATTTTTTAAAAATGTTACCAAAACGACTTGTTTTTGAGGCAGCAATCAAAAAATCAATAAAGTTTGCGACGAATTTCTACAAAAATATTTTTCTTTCACAAAAAATTGTTTTCGGAAGCTCGCGACGGATTTTTAGGCTTATTTTGGCCAGGTTTTTGCCAATTATGATGTAAAATACTCTGTTTTTGCATTTTTATTATGTTTCACGTTTTATTTTATGAAAAATTCAGAAAAGTTTTATTTTTTTTGGGATTTTAGGTAACAAAAACGAGTAAAATAGTGTTTTTGTTATTTTAGGTAATAAAATCAAGAAAGTCAAATTTTTTGTCAACTGCTGGCTTTAAATTCAAATTTTAAGCTTATTTTGGCCAAGTTTTTCTCAAAATATAATGTAAACTTCTGTTTTCGCTAGTTTATAGTGTTTTACACCATTTTTTTGAAAAATTCAAGAAGATGTTACTTTTTGTGATTTTAGGTAACAAAAATGGTATTTTCGTTATTTGAGCTACTAAAATCAAGAAAAGTTAATCTTTTTCAAATTGTTGCTTGAAATTTACACTAAAAAGGTTCAAAAATTTTTCATTTTTCACTGTTTTAATCAAATAAAGACAATTTACTTACCTTTTCTTCCTCCTCCGATAAAAGTTGAGTTACCTCCCCCGGCTGGGGAGGATTTATCCAGTGGACCCGTACACCTTAGGGGAAAAATCCACCTTCAGGCGTAACGGGCGACGAATCACCCTAGAGCGAGGCGCCAGGAGTACGGGCGTGCCCAGGGCCCGTAGCTCCCTCCACATTGGCGGTCGACGGACCCGCGGTGCTCTGCCAGACTGAGCTGGTGGTGTTGGTTGGGGTGGGGTCCGTCTCGTGTCATCAGAGCCCACTTGTCCCGGTGTTGAATGGGGTCGTCGAAACACCGGGGCGTCGGCGCTTCGCGGAGGCGGCACCGGGCCTCGTCTCGGCGGCGTTTGTACCGCTGGTGCCGGAGACGGTTGTGGTGGTGGTGGTGGTGCTGTTGGTAGCGCCGGTGCCTGTGGTACCAGTTGCCGAAGCTGGACCACTTCCTCCTGGGCCTTAATGGCTTCCCCCTCGAGCCATTCGGCCATTCCCTCGGCCACAGCCTTCTGACGAAGAGCTATGTCCCGCTCTTCCCGCATCTCTTCCAGTTGCTGTCTGAGGCGGGCGTTCTCCGCCTCCAGTTCGGCACAGCGGTCGTCGGCAGATGCTGTCGCCTGAAAATAGAATGATTAGAATGGCTAAAACAGTATTTTTTGATTAAAAAGTTATGTAAAATGACATTTTAGGCGCAAAATATTGAAAAAAAGATCGTAACGCACACCTAGGGGCGATTTTTTTATGGGCGATTTTTTTTTGGCGATTTCTTCAAGGGCGATTTCTTTATGGGCGATCCAAAATATTTTTAAAAAAATACCCTTTTGGCCTTACCTGACCCCATTCCTGATCTTTTAGGCCCTACCCAACCTCACCCCTGACCCTTTTGGTCCAACCTAACCCTACCCCTGACCCTTTTGGCCCTACCCAACCCTACCCCTGACCTTTTTGGCTTTAGTTGACCCAACCCCTGACCCTTTTGGCCTTACTTGACCCAACCCCTGACCCTTTTGGCCCTACCTGACCCTACCCCTGACCTTTCTGGCCTTACCCAACCCTACCCCTGACCCTTTTGGCCCTACCCAAGCCAACCCCTGACCCTTTTGGCCCTACCTGACCCTACCCCTGACCTTTTTGGCCTTACCCAAGCCTACCCCTGACCCTTTTGGCCCTACCCAAGCCTACCCCTGACCCTTTTGGCTCTACCCAACCCTTCCCCTGACCCTTTTGGCCCTACCCAACCCTACCCCTGACCTTTTTGGCTTTAGTTGACCCAACCCCTGACCCTTTTGGCCCTACTTGACCCAACCCCTGACCCTTTTGGCCCTACCTGACCCTACCCCTGACCTTTTTGGCCTTACCCAACCCTACTCCTGACCCTTTTGGCCCTACCCAAGCCTACCCCTGACCCTTTTGGCCCTACCCAAGCCTATCCCTGACCCTTTTGGCTCTACCCAACCCTTCCCCTGACCCTATTAGCCCTACCTGACCCCATTCCTGACCTTTTAGGCCCTACCCAACCTCACCCCTGACCCTTTTGGCCCTACCCAACCCTACCCCTGACCCTTTTGGCCCTACCCAACCCTACCCCTGACCTTTTTGGCCTTAGTTGACCCAACCCCTGACCCTTTTGGCTCTACCCAACCCTTCCCCTGACCCTATTAGCCCTACCTGACCCCATTCCTGACCTTTTAGGCCCTACCCAACCTCACCCCTGACCCTTTTGGCCCTACCCAACCCTACCCCTGACCCTTTTGGCCCTACCCAACCCTACCCCTGACCTTTTTGGCCTTAGTTGACCTAACCCCTGACCCTTTTGGCCCTACTTGACCCAACCCCTGACCCTTTTGGCCCTACCTGACCCTACCCCTGACCTTTTTGGCCTTACCCAACCCTACCCCTGACCCTTTTGGCCCTACCCAAACCTACCCCTGACCCTTTTGGCTCTACCCAACCCTTCCGCTGACCCTATTAGCCCTACCTGACCCCATTCCTGACCTTTTAGGCGCTACCCAACCTCACCCCTGACCCTTTTGGCCCTACCTGACCCTACCCCTGACCTTTCTAGCCCTACCCAACCTCACCCCTTACCCTTTTACCCTTACCTGACCTTATCTCTGATCCTTTTACCCCTACTTGACTCTACCCCTGACCCTTTTGGCCCTACCGAACACTACCCCTGGCTATTTTAACCCTACCCTATCATACTCTATGCTACCTACTATACCATACCTCACTTACCTAGTACACCATAGTGTCTCAGACCATACCATATCATACTATATCGTACGTTCTCTACTATTCTCTACCTTACCTACCATATCGTATTCTATACTACCTACCGTACAATACCCTACCGTATCCTGCACTGTCATACCCTATATATATAGCTATATTAACATACTCTGCACTATCTTACATACCATACTATACTACCTCATACCATACCAAACCCTATACTACTTAGTATACCATACCTAACTTACCTACTATACCATAGTATCTCATACCATTGGAACGGACAATTCGCGGGTGGTCACTTCGCGGGTGAAGATATATAGTAACTACTATGAAGTTGGCAATACTTATGTAAACTGTTAATATTACTAGGGTCTATTTAAGCCTAAAGTAAAATCAAAGTAATAGAAAAAAATGTTTTTGTTAAATTTGGTTTTTTTTTAACTTTTACATTTTTATGGTTAAAAAAGAGTGTATTTTTCGAAAACCGTGCCAAATACTATAGGAAACTGACGTCGACTTATAAAAATTATAATTTTGACAAAAATCAACTAATTTTAAAATTTTTAAATGGTTTTATATGCATTTCAACCTGAAAACTCCAAATCTAAAAACCGTTTTGTTCTATCATCGCTTTAAATGGTAGGAAAACGCATTGCCAAGGTTTGCCAATTTGGCGGGAATTTAAATTTTTGACAAAATTTAGTTGAAATGTTAATTGTGTTGGTTTTTGTATCGTATAAGTACTTTAACTTCAAATTTTAGTAGAATTTTACCAACCGATAACAAAGTTACTGCATCTCAAGTCAAAAGATACCACAGTAACCTAGTAAATAAACATGATAAAATAAGTAAAAATCAGAAATACGAGGTTTGTTAGTGTTTATTTGTTAAGTTTTACAATTCTGCAAAGGTTGAAGTAATTTGGATAAGTCGTTTTATAGTTATAAGTTTTTGGTTCAAAAATGAGGTCAAATTCTATAGGAAAGTGATTAGGGCTTGTAAAAATAGTAATTTTAGTAAAAGTTGACCAATTTAAAAATTTTAAAATGCTATCATATGCAGTTTGGCTCAAACAAGCTAAATTTATACTTAATTTTGTTTTAGCTTCATTGTAAATGGCCGAAAAACACAATGCCAAGATTTGCCAATTTGGCGGGAATTCAAATTTTTGTTAAAGTTTAACCAAAATGCTGTCACTACTGTTTTTTAGAGTGTATCAGTAGTATACATACAAAGTTTGGTGAATTTTCATTACCTGGTAACAAAGTTACTGCCTGTAGATTCAAAAGATACCACAGTAACTGAGTATATACGTATGATAACAAAAGTAAAAATTAAAAAATTGTGTTTGTTTGTGTTTATGTGTCACGTTTTACAATTCTGCAAAGTTGGAAGTAATTTGGATAAGTCGTTTTATAGTTACGAGTTTTAGATTCAAAAAATGAGTTAAAATTTTATAGAAAAGTGATTTGGGCTTGTAAAAAATAGTAATTTTGGCAAACATTGACCAATTTGAAAATTTTAAAATGCTATCAAAGGCATTTTGAATTGAAAACGCCGAATCTAAAATTAGTTTTTCTCGATCCTAAATTTAAATGATAGAAAAACGCAATGCCAAAATTTGCCAATTTGGCGGGAATTTAAATTTTTGACAAAATTTTGTTTGAATGTTGATGGTATTGTTTTTTGTGTTGTATAAGTACTTTGACTTCAAATTTTTATACAGTTTTACCAACTAAAAACAAAGTTACTGCATGTAAAATCGAAAGATACAAAAGTAACTCTATTAACTTAGATTTTTTTCACCATAAAACGTAAATAAACGTCGTTGTAGGTTAACAGTAGGCTAGATACATGTGTGAGCAACGTACTGCTAGAAGCAGAAGTGAGAGGTTTCAGTTTAGACTAGTTGTGTTAGAGAGTTGGTATCATTTCGCTTTAAATGCAGTAACTGTGTTATAAGTTAATTGAATTTTATAAAAGTTTGAGTTAAAGTACTTATAAAATACAAAAACCAATAAAATTAACAATTAACCAAAATTTTGTCAAAAATTTGAATTCCCGCCAAATTGGCAAATCTTGGCATTGTGTTTTTCGGCCATTTACAATGAAGCTAAAACAAAATTAAGTATAAATTTAGCTTGTTTGAGCCAAACTGCATATGATAGCATTTTAAAATTTTTAAATTGGTCAACTTTTACTAAAATTACTATTTTTACAAGCCCTAATCACTTTCCTATAGAATTTGACCTCATTTTTTGAACCAAAAACTTATAACTATAAAACGACTTATCCAAATTACTTCAACCTTTGCAGAATTGTAAAACTTAACAAATAAACACTAACAAACCTCGTATTTCTGATTTTTACTTATTTTATCATGTTTATTTACTAGGTTACTGTGGTATCTTTTGACTTGAGATGCAGTAACTTTGTTATCGGTTGGTAAAATTCTACTAAAATTTGAAGTTAAAGTACTTATACGATACAAAAACCAACACAATTAACATTTCAACTAAATTTTGTCAAAAATTTAAATTCCCGCCAAATTGGCAAACCTTGGCAATGCGTTTTCCTACCATTTAAAGCGATGATAGAACAAAACGGTTTTTAGATTTGGAGTTTTCAGGTTGAAATGCATATAAAACCATTTAAAAATTTTAAAATTAGTTGATTTTTGTCAAAATTATAATTTTTATAAGTCGACGTCAGTTTCCTATAGTATTTGGCACGGTTTTCGAAAAATACACTCTTTTTTAACCATAAAAATGTAAAAGTTAAAAAAACAAATTTAACAAAAACATTTTTTTCTATTACTTTGATTTTACTTTAGGCTTAAATAGACCCTAGTAATATTAACAGTTTACATAAGTATTGCCAACTTCATAGTAGTTACTATATATCTTCACCCGCGAAGTGACCACCCGCGAATTGTCCGTTCCAATGGTATGAGATACTATGGTATAGTAGGGAAGTTAGGTATGGTATACTAAGTAGTATAGGGTTTGGTATGGTATGAGGTAGTATAGTATGGTATGTAAGATAGTGCAGAGTATGTTAATATAGCTATATATATAGGGTATGACAGTGCAGGATACGGTAGGGTATTGTACGGTAGGTAGTATAGAATACGATATGGTAGGTAAGGTAGAGAATAGTAGAGAACGTACGATATAGTATGATATGGTATGGTCTGAGACACTATGGTGTACTAGGTAAGTGAGGTATGGTATAGTAGGTAGCATAGAGTATGATAGGGTAGGGTTAAAATAGCCAGGGGTAGTGTTCGGTAGGGCCAAAAGGGTCAGGGGTAGGCTTGGGTAGGGCCAAAAGGGTCAGGGGTAGGGTCAGGTTGGACCACAAAGGTCAGGGGTAGGGTCAGGTAGGGCCAAAAGGGTCAGGGGTTGGGTCAAGTAGGGCCAAAAGGGTCAGGGGTGAGGTTGGGTAGCGCCTAAAAGGTCAGGAATGGGGTCAGGTAGGGCTAATAGGGTCAGCGGAAGGGTTGGGTAGAGCCAAAAGGGTCAGGGGTAGGCTTGGGTAGGGCCAAAAGGGTCAGGGGTAGGGTCAGGTTGGACCACAAAGGTCAGGGGTAGGGTCAGGTAGGGCCAAAAGGGTCAGGGGTTGGGTCAAGTAGGGCCAAAAGGGTCAGGGGTGAGGTTGGGTAGGGCCTAAAAGGTCAGGAATGAGGTCAGGTAGGGCTAATAGGGTCAGGGGAAGGGTTGGGTAGGGCCAAAAGGGTCAGGGGGTTGGGTCAAGTAAGGCCAAAAAGGTCAGGGGTAGGGTCAGGTTGGACCACAAAGGTCAGGGGTAGGGTCAGGTAGGGCCAAAAGGGTCAGGGGTTGGGTCAAGTAGGGCCAAAAGGGTCAGGGGTTGGGTCAAGTAGGGCCAAAAGGGTCAGGGGTGAGGTTGGGTAGGGCCTAAAAGGTCAGGAATGAGGTCAGGTAGGGCTAATAGGGTCAGGGGAAGGGTTGGGTAGGGCCAAAAGGGTCAGGGGTTGGGTCAAGTAAGGCCAAAAAGGTCAGGGGTAGGGTCAGGTTGGACCACAAAGGTCAGGGGTAGGGTCAGGTAGGGCCAAAAGGGTCAGGGGTTGGGTCAAGTAGGGCCAAAAGGGTCAGGGGTGAGGTTGGGTAGGGCCTAAAAGGTCAGGAATGAGGTCAGGTAGGGCTAATAGGGTCAGGGGAAGGGTTGGGTAGGGCCAAAAGGGTCAGGGGTTGGGTCAAGTAAGGCCAAAAAGGTCAGGGGTAGGGTCAGGTTGGACCACAAAGGTCAGGGGTAGGGTCAGGTAGGGCCAAAAGGGTCAGGGGTTGGGTCAAGTAGGGCCAAAAGGGTCAGGGGTTGGGTCAAGTAAGGCCAAAAAGGTCAGGGGTAGGGTCAGGTTGGACCACAAAGGTCAGGGGTAGGGTCAGGTAGGGCCAAAAGGGTCAGGGGTTGGGTCAAGTAGGGCCAAAAGGGTCAGGGGTTGGGTCAAGTAAGGCCAAAAAGGTCAGGGGTAGGGTCAGGTTGGACCAAAAAGGTCAGGGGCAGGGTTGGGTAGGGCCAAAAGGGTCAGGGGTTGGGTCAAGTAAGGCCAAAAAGGTCAGGGGTAGGGTCAGGTTGGACCACAAAGGTCAGGGGTAGGGTCAGGTAGGGCCAAAAGGGTCAGGGGTGAGGTTGGGTAGGGCCTAAAAGGTCAGGAATGGGGTCAGGTAGGGCCAAAAGGGTCAGGGGTTGGGTCAAGTAGGGCCAAAAGGGTCAGGGGTTGGGTCAAGTAAGGCCAAAAAGGTCAGGGGTAGGGTTAGGTTGGACCACAAAGGTCAGGGGTAGGGTCAGGTTGGACCACAAAGGTCAGGGGTAGGGTCAGGTAGGGCCAAAAGGGTCAGGGGTGAGGTTCGGTAGGGCCTAAAAGGTCAGGAATGGGGTCAGGTAGGGCTAACAGGGTCAGGGGAAGGGTTGGGTAGAGCCAAAAGGGTCAGGGGTAGGCTTGGGTAGGGCCAAAAGGGTCAGGGGTAGGGTTGGGTAGGGCCAAAAGGGTCAGGGGAAGGGTTGGGTAGAGCCAAAAGGGTCAGGGGTAGGCTTGGGTAGGGCCAAAAGGGTCAGGGGAAGGGTTGGGTAGAGCCAAAAGGGTCAGGGGTAGGCTTGGGTAGGGCCAAAAGGGTCAGGGGTAGGCTTGGGTAAGGCCAAAAAGGTCAGGGGTAGGGTCAGGTAGGGCCAAAAGGGTCAGGGGTTGGGTCAACTAAAGCCAAAAAGGTCAGGGGTAGGGTTGGGTAGAGCCAAAAGGGTCAGGGGTAGGCTTGGGTAGGGCCAAAAGGGTCAGGGGTAAAAATATTTTGGATCGCCCATAAAGAAATCGCCCTTGAGGAAACCGCCCAAAAAAAATCGCCCATAAAAAAATCGCCCCTAGGTATGTGCAGCCAAAAAGATTGATGATTTATGTTAAAATAGGTATAAATTGATGTTTTTGATCGAAAATCGTATATAATATTGAAGAATCGTGACAAAATTTATGTAATATAGCTGCTTCTTTTCAGAATCTGTCTACTTACCTGATCGACGCTGTGCCAAACTGTGGCTCCGACTGGTGTTGACGTCATGAGCCAACCACTCGGACCGGGGAGGTCCGAGGGTGAGGCTTGTCTCGGAGAACGCCCCCAGCGTTTGTACGGATGGGGTCGAGCGGGCGGGGTTTTGTCGCGCCTTGATGGTCCCTGAAGCTGGGCAAGACCTGGCTCTCCAAGGAAAGGCTGAAAAAATATGGTTGTAAGTACGTTATGTTACATGTTTTTGTTATTATACTTGTGATAAACTGGAAAATGAGGTATATATTGTTGTTTTTGATTGAATTTTGGCTAAAATATGTGGTTTTTGGGCTAAAAATTCTAAAGAAAGCTTGTTTTTAAAGTAAAAAAGCTTTAAAACTAGTCAAAATATCAAATTCAGCACTTACCGAGCCAGGGGGAGGGACCATGGTGTGGTCTGGCGAGGACCACCCCTCGACCGTGGCAATGGGTGGTCGAGGGCTCGCGTCCTGGTTCACCTCTGGGCTCAGGGTGAGACCCAGGACGGACGCGAGGCTCCGGAGTGGTCTTACGGCCGAGCCTGCCATCCAGCTGACGGGCGTCTCTTGGACATTGAGGCCCTGAAATCAGAAAAATGAGAAATAGGTATCAAAATTAGGTATAAAACACACATTTTAGGTATAAAGTTTCAGCAAAATTGAGTTTTTAGACTAACAATCAGCAAAAGAAGCCTAAAATAAGGTAAAAAACAGAAAGAAGGTAACTTACGAAGCCACCCGAAACGCCGACTTCTTCCCCGGCCGGCTGGTGTTCTGCCGGGGCTTGCCAGGCCACCGGTGAGTCGGGTACGATCTCGGCCGGGGAGAAGCTGTCGCTGTTGGCGTTGAAGCCTGACACTGAAACAAGAAAAGTTAGTAAATTGTTAAAAAGATAAAGCATATTCACAAAAAAGGTAGCAAAAGCTTTGAAATCATATGTTATAGGTAAATAAACAAGATAGAAAGTAAAAAATCAAAGATACGATACCAAAAATCAACTTACTTTTATTTTTTAATTTTTTTACCAAAAAATCGACCGGTAAACGGGATAAGGTAAAGAAGAAAAGGGATTTTTCGAGTTTACTTGGGTTGAAAATTTGCATAATTCTTGATGATTTTTCTATTTTTTGACGTTTTTGGAATATTTTCGTAAATTTGCATAGTTTTTGACTATTTTCGGGATATGTTTGTAACATTAATTGGTTGGTTTTTCAGAATGGTCAAATTTTCATACATCTCTAAAATAGCATTAGGAGCTTGTGCAGATCACGCCCATGCCATCCTTTACATCTATGGTACGAATAATGTAAGTTTTCGGTATTATTTTGTGTTTTTCCGTTTTTAGGTACTCAAAACATTGAATGTCGTTGAGTTTTATGCTTTGAGGATCATGAAGTCTTGAAGTTCTGTCAAATTGGCCAAAAAGTCTGTGGAAAAGATGTCAAAGATGAAGGAGAAATTTTAAGGATTGTTGTAAATAATTCCATTGACTTTTTGACCAATCTATTGTCGTATTTTTGAAATTGGAAGGTGTTTCACCTTGTTTTTATACAAAATACGACTTTAATTCTTCTGCGACTTCAGATTTACAATTTTTTTTGATGATGATCTAAATTTACTTTCAGATAATCAACAACAAGATCTGGGCACTGCAAAGTTCTTGCAGGAGGCTAGGAAGAACGATGGGACTATCTTCAGAACGGTTATTGCCAAATAATGTCAAAAATGTAGGTTTCTTTTTTTATCTCTTTCCACGTTTGGGTATACATAAGTCAAAATAAAGATGTGATACTATGACGAGTTTTTTGCTTAGAGTTGAACATAAAGGAAAGCATGATAATGTAGTGTAGCATCTATCTTTGCTATTCTATCAAATTGAAAGTGATTGCGAATTTTAGCTTTTTACTTTTCTTACAAATTATGAAAACAACTTTCAAATATGTCATTTTGCAGTTTTCGATAGGTTGGTCGAATCGAAAACGAAATGTTTGGAACTACTGGACGTACGATTCATGAAAACTGTAGTCGAGCGTGTGACAAACTTGACAAAACGAGTGTGGTCAACAAGGTAAAGCTTATTTTTTATTTTTTTTGAATATTTAGGTAATATCAAAGGAGGTAAAGTTGTTTTATCATTATATGGTAATGTGAACATTGTTTTACATAAGAAAGAAGTTGTTTCCTTACAGTAGCTGTACGTTAATGAATTTATTAATTTTTTCGTTTCAGAACGGTAAGAACGCTAAAAAAGTGGTATGTCGTCGTTGTTCTTCGCTCATTTTTCCTCCAAACGTCGTGAAACTTGTAGAAGGTCAGTTTTCAGACACATTTACGGTTTATAATTAAATTTTTGAAGGTAAACGTGCAGTGTAAATTGATTGTTAAAATACTTTTTTAACTTCTCAGTTATTAAGGCGAACCCAAAGAGCTGAAGAAGATGTCAGTGCACGGTACAGACGCGCTGGGATCTGAAATTGCTCAAGTTTGGTGGAAGACTTCGAATGAGATGGACTTTGACACATGGGGATGTCAAACAGTGGATGGTGTGAAGGCATTGATGTGTGGTGATTGTGACTTTGGACCATGGGGCCATAGAATCATTAGCGAAAAGGAAACCGTGTTTTATGTGGCGGCCGAACGAGTTGCCTATGAATAAACTTTATAAAATTGTGATTTGGTCATTGTAACTTTGTATTTGATTGTATTTATTGCTTATACCTCAGAAAGAATGATACTGTAATTTATTTTGCTACACAAAGTAGTAATTCTGCGTGGAATTTTTCGCAGCCTGCAAACAGCGAAACGCAGCTCGCTCTCTCTCTTGCATAATTTTCCGAAAAACCTTTTTCGAGTTCCAACACGACACTCTTTTACGCCAATAACACATCACAAATACACGTAGAGATTTTATCCGGCTAGCCAAAAATCCTGGTACTGCCCCAGCAAAGCCAAAAGCAATGGCTGGCGAACAACCATGTTATACTATTATATCAGTGCCGACGGACTATGAAATGCCCAAGGATGAGACGCTCCGGGAGAAGTTTGAGAATGGTAAGTTGTCTTCTTTGTTTTCGGATTTTAGGTACTTTGAAAGATTTGAAATGGATTGTAGAGGCTATAATTCAGTTTATTGACTGCAAATGGTAGTATATTTTTTTTTATTAAAAACCATATTGTTACCTATTTATTTATAGGAGATCTCAAGGGTAAGCAAGATGCCTTGAAGAAGCTAATTTTGATGCTCCAACAAGGCGAGAAACTGGCCCCAGGAATGCTCATGACCGTGATTCGCTTCTGTTTGCCCAGTCCAGACCACACGCTGAAAAAACTGTTGCTGATCTTCTGGGAGATCGTGCCAAAAACGAGCAGTGATGGAAAACTTCTTCATGAGCTGATCTTGGTATGTGACGCTTACAGAAAGGATCTTCAACACCCGAACGAGTTCATTCGTGGATCTACGTTGAGGTTTTTGTGTAAATTGAGAGAACCCGAGCTTTTGGAGCCTCTGATGCCCTCAATCCGAAAATGTCTTGAGCACAGGCACAGCTACGTCAGACGAAATGCTGTTGTAGCTATTTTTACGATTTATAGTAAGTTTTTGTTCGCTTTTATGTGTTTAGGGTGTGTTTTTGGAGCCAAGCCTTGCATATTGATGTTAAATGTAAAATTTTTGTATTAATTATTACACCTTTTAATGTAAAACTAAATATAATCTTTACAAATTTTTAGAGAACTTTGAATTCTTGATCTCTGATGGCCCAGAATTGATTGCCAACTTCTTGGAGTCAGAACAAGATGGATCTTGTAAAAGGAACGCCTTCATGATGTTGCTGCACGTTGATGAAGCCAGAGCCTTAGAGTATTTGTCTGAATGTATAGATCAAGTTCATACTTTTACGGACAGTCTACAGCTTGTCATTATCGAGTTGATCTACAAGGTTTGCCACAAGAACCCAACTGAACGGTCCAGATTCATCAGATGTGTTTACAATCTACTTCAGTCACAGTCTACAGCTGTCAAGTACGAATCTGCAGCTACTTTGGTCACTTTGAGCTCTATGCCTTCAGCTATCAAAGCCGCCGCTTCAGTGTACATTGAGTTGATTGTTAAAGAAGCTGACAATAATGTTAAGGTAAATGTTTGTTTGATATTTGGGTTTTAGGTAACATTTGTTTGAAAATATGCGATTTATGTTTCAGTTTTTGGTAAAAATCAATATGAACACACTTTTAAAGTGATATTGTTTCAGCTTATTGTTCTTGACCGTCTGATCGAGCTGCACGAGAACATTCCAAATGAGAAGGTGCTTCAAGACCTAGTTATCGACGTGCTTCGCGTTCTGTCAGCTACTGATCTTGAAGTAAGAAAGAAGATTCTTCAACTGGCTTTAGACTTGGTTACCTCACGAAACGTGAACGAGATGGTTATGTTCTTGAAGAAAGAAATCGACAAGGCACAGAACGATGGCCAAGAGAACAATGGAGCCTACAAGCAGTTGCTGGTCAGAACTCTGCACAGAACAACGATCAAGTTCCCAGATGTAGCTCAACAGATCTTTCCGGTCCTCATGGAGTTCTTGTCCGATGACAGTGAGTTGGCCGCGAATGATGTATTGGTATTTGTGAGAGAAGCGATTGGAAAGCTGGCTCACTTGAGGCCGGTCATTTTGCAGCAACTTTTGGTAAGTTATCGCTTTGGTAGTATAATAATGTTGTTCAAACGTATATTAATATGGAATTGTGCTTACGTTTTTTAAAAATTATGGAAACCGTGTTTTTCATTGACCATTAGGCTTAAATATCAAATTTGTGACTATGTTTTCTAGTTTCATTTAATTAAAATATGCTTTTTAGGAAGTTTTCCCATTGATCCGTAACGTCAACGTCTACAGATCAGCTCTCTGGATCCTCGGAGAGTTTGTGGACACTGGTGTAGCCGTCGAAAAGGTATTCCAGGAGATCAAGGACGGTTTGGGCCCAGTACCATTCGTCGAAGAAGGGGAAGAGACTGAGCAAGTGGAGAAGAAAGAAACACATCACAAAGAATCAAAGCCGAAACAACTGGTCACAGCTGATGGTACCTATGCCACACAATCAGCTCTGTCTACCGTGGCCAAGCCAGTCGATGATGACAAGCCATTCATAAGAAAACTCTTCTTTGAAGGCAATTTCAGTATTGCTTCTGTTTTGGCTACTTCACTCTCTAAACTTGTGTTGAAATACAACCAGTTCTGTCAAAGTAAGTTAGTATTAAGCTTTTTTCCAAATTTAAGGTTTATATTTTGATTTCTAAATTTTAGGCAACAATATTTGTAAAATACGTTTTTGCTATTAGTTATGATGATAAATTAAAATATTTTTGTTTAAAAACGCTGTTTTAGATACCACGAGTGTCAACAAACTGGCTGGTGAAGCCTTATTGATTCTGTCATCAATCATCAGACTAGGAAGATCGGAAATCCCGGCCAAGAAGATCACGGAAGACGACCTGGATCGCCTGTCAACCAGTGTCCGAATCATCTCGGACAAATGGCCAAGGGCTGAGGAAATCCTGTTGGAAGAGTGCCGAACTTCATTGGACTTGATGCTGAAGGTCAAGGGGGACTCGGACAGACACGAGGATGTCAACACCAAAAAGTCAAAGATTATTGAGGTAGAGTTTAGAATTTTTTGGGTTTTATTTGTGAGAAATGGAAGCTGAAATATGAAAAAGTATTTGAAACTTTATGAAAACTTAGTTTTGATAGTATAATTTGATTAAAACGGCTTTTTTGTAATTGATCTTAATACCTAAAAATGGCTAAAATTTATGTTTCAGGCTGATTCAACTATCAATTTTACTCAATTGGCTTCTAAAGCCGGTGAAGTGACCGCCACAGCCAATCTCTTCGATCTAAGTTTGTCCCAAGCTCTAGGCACGGCTCCGAAAACAGCCAAGTTTGATTTTGCAAGTTCTAAACTTGGCAAAGTCGAACAACTGGCTGGATTCTCCGACGCAGTCTATGCTGAAGCCTATGTCAACGTCAATCAGTACGATATTGTACTTGACGTCCTTGTGGTCAACCAAACCAACGACACGCTCCAGAATTTGTCACTTGAGTTCTCGACTATTGGAGATTTGAAACTGATGGACAAGCCGTCTCCAATCACATTGGCTCCAAATGACTTTAGCAATATTAAGGCTACGATCAAGGTTACATCAACCGAAAATGGAGTTATTTTCTCGACCATTTCCTACGATGTTAAGGGTGCCACTTCGGACAGGAACTGTGTGTATCTGAAGGATATCCACATTGATATTATGGTATGTTGTATCGTTTTAGATATTGTTTGTCATCTTTTTTTTGGTTTAAAATTTTTGGTATGAAATTTTATGTAATGCTTTCAGGACTACATTGTACCAGGCCAAGTAACGGACACAGAGTTCAGGAAGATGTGGGCTGACTTTGAATGGGAGAACAAGGTCCCTGTCAATACCAACATCACAGATCTTCGAGAGTACATCGAGAACATTGCCACCGCCACAAACATGAAGTTGTTGACACAAGAAGCTGCTTTGGGTAAGATAATATGGGGATAAGAAGTAAAATGGACCAAAAAGATAATTTGGGGGTGGTTTGTTTGCTTTTTTCATTTTTGTCGAAAAATATAAAAAGGATGTTAATGGTTAATATTTTCAGCTGGCGATTGTGGATTCTTGGTTGGAAACTACTGTGCACACAGTATATTCGGTGAAGATGCTTTGGCTAACGCTTCGATCGAAAAGGCTGATCCACTTGATCCAAACAGTGCCATTCACGGTTCGATTCGAGTACGAGCGAAATCGCAAGGAATGGCATTGAGTCTTGGAGACAAAGTAAGGATTTTATGATTTGAAGGTTTAGAAAAGGCTATTATAAACCTGAAAGGTTATAAAAACTTGTTTTGGAGTTTTAAAGTTAATATGAAAGGTTAATTTTATGTTTTATAAGTTGGTTTTACTATCTTATAAAGAAGCTAATAATGTAACGTTATTTTGACTTCCTTTCAGATAACGAATGCCCAAAAGAAGAAGCAATCAGATCAAGCCGCGTAACTATAACTTATTATCCGTGTAATGTTATTAGCTAAGAATTTGTGATATAAATATTTATTTTGAATAAACAATTGGATTTATATTGTTGCACATGATTGTTTGAACATGGCTTTTAATGGGTTCTTTTATACTTTTTTTGTTATATTTTTTACTTTGTTTATAGCTTTTGCAGATTTTAATGTCTTTAGATTGATTTTACGGTAATTTTGATAAATCAGCTTTTGTTACTATAGCAAAGACACTTGTTATATTAAAAATACTGTGAAAAGATTGTGTAGCTTCACAAGAGTCTACCAGATATATCCGAAGTTAAAATGAGCCGAAACCAAGCCGAAAAAGAGGTAATAATACTTTATAATTACAACAAAGAATACCAATTGCAAATAGTACACGTAGGATCGAATTGTTTGTGAAAAGATAGAATCTAATGGTAAAAATATGTTGACCGGAATTGTCGGCAGAGGCTTTCCTCTCTTTCTCTCTCTCTGTGTGATCGTCCGCTGAATACTCGTAGGTTGGGGTTGGATGGCTCAAAGGAACTCTTCCCGGACTCCATCGAAGGCAGTGAAGGCACAAACCACGGCTTTGTCCTGAAATGGTATGAATTGTCAATGGTATTGTGGTTTATAGTCGATTGCAATATAATTTTGGATTTTTATGAGTTACAGTGTAGTTTGCTGTAAAGTAAATGATAGAACCATGCTTTTTAAGCTTATTTTCTTTGATTAATTTTTAATTTTCAAGTATAACAGTGGTAAAGAAAAGCCAGAAAAGAGGAAAATTTCAAACTATGCTAATATTTTTTATAAAAAGCGGCAAAAACTTTAGGAAAATGACACATTTTAAAAGTAAAATACACTTTGTTACCTAATTTTTCAAAAAATTAAACTTTTTTCAATATTCACCAAGAGTAAAACTGATTTTACAAGCTTTTCGACCGAAATTCAACATTTTTTTGCAAAATCATTTTTAATTTCTAAATTTGAAAATATAATTACATTCCACAAATTTTTGGACCGCTATCCCTAGCTTAACCTGATTTTTTAACCCAGTCAAAGCCATGCCAAAAACTAACCCCCAAACTGGCCAACTAACCATAAAAGCACGATCAAAATAGTATAAATTACAATATTCGGGAATGGACTGACCTCGTTGGCGATCGTCGGCTCAGGTGGACTGGTCCTGGGGCCGGGCCTGCGGCAATAGACGAAGCATAGCGGACAAATACTTGCGTGTTCCATTCAGGGTCTTCTGTGAGCAAAAGCGGTATTCGAGTAACAAGGGTGTGGGTGAGTGTGTGAGGGTGTGTGTGTGGGGCTTTTTGTGTGCGGTACTAGTTGGAAATGGAAGAAGAAGGAAGAAAATACGGTACGGTATGGGTGGTACAGTTTGGAAGGCTTTATGGTACTTTGGGTACAGTATGCTAGGCGTTTTAGTACTGTAAACACAGGTTGATAGGCATTTTGGTACAGTGAACGTAGGTTGATATGCGTTATGGTACTGTGGGTATAGGTTGATAGGCCTTTTGATATCGTTAGTTTTGGTCCTTTTTGGTACTGTCGGCGTAGATGGATGACAATACTGGTAGTGTTGGTATACTTATGGTACTTTTGGTACAGGTTTTGAAAAACTTTGGTACTGTCATCTAGGTACTATGAGTTTGTTGGTGTTCATGTAGTTCAAGTTTGGACGTAAGTATGCGAATGGCCAAAGTACCACTTTGCTTTAAAAATACCAGCAAGCCAATGTTCTTGCTCTTGCTAGTACCAATAAACCATAAGGAACCCCCTGACATTACAAGTACCAACAAGCTATAACTGTACCACCTAACCTTATATGCACCAACAAGCCATACCATCCGCCTTCTATGTACCTACACGTCGCATATAAGGGTGTCGAAGAAGGGCTCACATCACACGTCAGAGAGATAAAGGAGGGCTACTGAAACAACAACGAAACCAAAAATTAAAATATTTGGAAAACGAATGTGTTACAACAAAGGCGGGCGTGGTAAACGGAAATGGCAGGTGATAGCATAGAAAGGGCTCAACTCATAATAATAACCATAGGAATAGAAGGCAAGATTACTGTAACATTTGGATTGGAGCTAAAGGCTTATGGTTTAGTTAATGTAAATATAGATTGTAACTAAACGTTTATGGGTTTCTACATGACTTTACAAGTACCTTTACTGTAACTACACTAACTAAAGTTTTATGGTGGAGTTCTTGTAACTACATTAACTAAAGGTTCAAGTTATTGTAACTTAGCATAGAAGGTATAATATGATTGGGAAATTACTGTGATTAAGAATGTTAACTATAGGGGGGGGGGGGGGGGCAAAAAATTACTGAAATTATAGGAAGCAAAGCCGGGCCGCGAGGAAGAAGGTCGAGGGGAAGGGTAGTTATTACCACAAATTTTTTTTTCAAAAAATTACAAAACTTTCTTTAAGCCCCCCCCCTCCCCCTCTTTTCCCTAAAATGACCCTCCCGGCACTGATACAGTAACTAAAGCATTCTGAAATCATTAAGTTTGAAAAATATTTAAAAAATTCTTTTTAAATACGGAAGAAGCTAATAAAGATACGATGCTATTGAAAACCAAAGCGTTTCACGTACAACATTGAGTAAAGTATGAGAGAAAAAAACGATAGTAGCACAATACTACAGTAACCGCGTTCTATACCACTGCCTTCACCATCTCCCTTAACCACACCCACTCCCATCACCACATTGATAATGTCGGTTATAGTACTATATAAATACGTAGTACATATCAAAAATATAGTACTATTATATATTTTATATAAGTAAAGTACTAAAAACTATAGTACTATACTTAATATGCAGTACTGGATTTAAAGAATAGTACTTTGTTTAGTATAGAGTACTATATAAAAAGTAGTACCATGGTTAGTATACAGTACTATCTCTAAAAAGCAGTACTATACTTAAGATACAGTATCAAAAATATAGTACAGTATTTGAAATACAGTACCAGATATAATGAATAGTACTATCGATAGTATAAAGTAATACTGAAATCTATAGTACTGTACTTAATATACTGTACTATACCTACAGAAATAGTACTGTAGTTAGTATACAGTACCATATCAAAAAACTAGTACCAAGTTCAAGTACTCACCTCGAAACGGCCCAACAGCTCGGGTTCGTTTTTGTCGCAGGATCCGTTGAGGAAGGTCTCCTCCTTCTTCTCCACCTTCTCCATGGTGTAGATGATCTTGTCGTTCTCAAAGGCGGTCGCCGTTGTGGTCGAAGCCGAACCAAAGTCCTGGTTCTCGACTTGATCCTCCTTGTCTTCAACTGGAGTCTGTTCCTCGATCTCGTTCAGCCATTTCTGATGATTATGTTTTAGGTTGATTATCACTTCTGAAAATGGTTGAATTAGTACTTGTGTTATACTGTGTGGTACTATTTTTTTGATTTACAAATGGTTTTTTTTACTTTTTAAAAAATTTTAACGGTTTACGGTAGGTTTAGGTTACGGTGAGTTTAAGGTAGGGCTTATATAAGAAAAGGTATTGTAGGGTAGGGTAGGGCAAGGTAAGCTGATCCTTTATTCTTATCTGTCGGTGTATAAACACTTGGAGTAAAATAATATCGTCAAGGTTTATATTATCACATGTTGTTATAAAAATTTAATCGTTTTTCAATAAAACCAGTGATAAAGAGTGCTGAACCAACAAAAATAAGCAAAAACAAATTAATATTCATGTGACAAAACGACTAAATACCCGAGGGCATTGAGGTCAAAAATTGTTTTTGGTCTGGAAATTTGAATTTTTAAAATTTTAAAATTCAAAAAATTGGCTAATTTTAACTTAAATTTCAAAAAAAATTACTATTTTCATTTTAAAAAAACCTAAGTTAAGAAACTACAGTACTCACCAGGATCTTCCAATCCAGGCATACTAGGCAATAAGCCAGCTTCGTTCAGCGCAATAACTAATGGATTAACAATGTGAGCAATAAACGAATCCTGCAGTTTAGCGACAGCCGGCTCGTTTCTGTCCATGTAAGGCGAGACAGCCATGTTCCTGGTCTTCTCCTCGTCACCCTGCTCGTAGAACTCTTGACATATCCTATCAGTCCATTGTCGATGCAACAGATAAGGCTTGGCCGGACTGTTGATGTCCGCGAACTTGATCAACATCTGCGACACCAACACACGGTCGGCCTCGTTGGTCAGGTCCATGTCGGTGGCTTTGTCGTTGAAAGACATGATGATATCAAAGTGTTGCTTCAAGTCGGTGGCCAGGATGTACTCCAGCACCAGATATCTGAAACGTTTGGTTTCGGCCGCGTCCAGTACTTCGATGAAGTTGTTCTCCACCTGACTCAGCAACTTCCACGATTCGGCCGCGTGATGGTTCTCCAGCACCGACCGGTCGTTGTACAGAATCGCCTTCTTGTCTTCGGCCGCCACCAGAAAAGCATTGGTTCGGCCTGGATGATCAAAGTCGTGCATTGCCGCCGCCGTGTACAGTGCCATCAGTTCGAGGCCGTTCATGGTGGAGGCGATGGAGAGGGCGGAGGAGTCGAAGAGATTGTCGATATTCAGATCCTTCATTCCTTCTATCAGCTCGTCATCTGGAGTGTTGGGTGCGGGCCTGAAGGCGTGGACAGGATGACAAGTCAGGTAGTGACAGCCGTGGAGGACGTCGGCTGCGTGGATGCGGTTGTGATCTGAAATGTGTTGTTTTAGGTATGACAAATAGAGAAAATATAAAAAAATCTTTCAGAATATTTTTAAAATAGTTTTAAAACGGTTGTTCAAACAATGGTGTGCCCTGCCGCAATGAAAATTTTCAGGATTAGGGGCACAGAATTATTTGAACAATCTGATATATGTTTTATTAGATTAATATAGTTAAATAAACGTTGTTACCCTAGATATAGGGTAACAAAGTTTGTCAACGCTTTAGCTTTTATATGATTGTAACTTACATGGAATTTCCCAATAACCCAGTTCAAGTGCGTGGAAGAAATTAAAAAACTTTTGAGGTGAAATCTTGAAAATGTTGAAGAGATCGGCTTGTTTGAAAACGGTATAAGTGATCTGCAAGGTTTTTAAATTATAATTTTAAAAATGACATTCACTTTAAAATAAAAATACGCTTCTACCCTTACCATTTCAAAACTAAATTACTCCCCTCCTAATCTAAACTAACCTTCTAGAAGTGGACACAATATAAAAATTTCAAAAAACGGTATTTATCCTCCATCTTTTAGACCAAACTGAACAAAAAATGATCCCCCTACCCTAAAATAAAGCTAAAAAATTATACTCGTCCACTCAAAATGAAAACCCACTCTACTGAGAACAGTTGTTTTGTAGGCTTCGGCAAGATCGAACACAGGGAAACTCCATTCGTCGATGCGATGCAAGGATTTGTCTTTGTCCAGCTCTTTCTTACAATACCTGGTGCCATCGATGGTGAGCCAGGTGTCGGCAGGCGTAGGCTTCATGGAATTCTCTTTGACGTCCACTTCTGGCGACGTGTGTTCACCGTCCTCTGGCTCTTCGTGCAAACTAAATGCTACAGAAGGCGACGGTGATTTGGCTACAACACTCGGCGATTTGGCAAACGGCGAGGTTGATAACGAATGCCCAGAGAAGGTGGACGAACTGTTGATGAGGATTGGCGACGGGTTTATCGAAGAACTGGATCGACGACGCTCCTCGGCCTGCGCGTCTTCCGATGCATCGGCATCTGCACTCACCTTCAGCGACCGATCCTCCGTCGCGCTGGAATAGCGACGACGGTACAGCGACTTCTCTTTGGGCTTATGAAGTTGGCAGGCTTGTTGCGACAGACACGAGCAACTCTGCGACGAATGGTGTTGGCGTTGGCAACTGGCGGGCGGGGTGGCGGCGGCTGGCGGCGCTTCCGTGGGTCCGTCGGCGTGGATGGGCTTCCAATGACTGAAAATTCAATATAATACTATTATATTGTACATTAACTCTAATATATACCAAAATTTTAATCGTCATCTTCGGTAAAATACCCAGAAAAATCTACCTTATGCTTAATCACTACTTTATTCTACTGTCATCATTTTTAATAATACAGTTATAACGTTTAATGATGATAAGAAAATTAATAGTAAGGTAATGTATATGCCATTTAACGTAAACTAACATATCAGCTATTTGTACTGTATAATTTAGGTACTATATGTACATAGTATGTAAGGTATATGCTACTTTTCCCTACTATGTAAGGGCTACACTATCTGTACAATACTATGCAAGGTATGTACTAACAGTACATAAATTATGTATTTAATAGCCTATAACAACACTATACAATCTACAATTAAAACACGTCCTAATATACAATTAGGACCTCCATAAACAGTTTCAACTAAGCATATAAACGTAGTTTGCCTAATTAGAGGTTAGTGACGTTTCACGGTTAGCCACGCCATCGGATGGCCAAGAAGGAAGTGCCAAGTAATATTAAATAAGGCTTTAGTTTTTAATCTTTTAAACTAATTTATTTTTGATTTTTGAACAGTTCATTCTTGTAAATTTAAATTGTTTCAGGCTTACTGAAAATCATATCATATTTTTTCAAATTAAAAAAATTTTTTTTTAAAATTAAAATTTTTTTTCAAAGTAAAAAAAATTAAATCCTCATTTTAAGCCTAATTTTCTATACCAAAACCCTCCAACTTACTTGCTGGAACGAGGTCGAGAAGGTTCGGCAGCAATGGTTGGGAGCCCTGTGGCGCTAGTCACCGTGGAGAACGTAATATTGGAGACGCGTGGCTTTGAGGCCTGAAATTATTTATAATTTATTTTGTCACAAATTATCATAGCCACAAGTTGAAGCCTTTAAAAGTTAAAAAGACTGTTAGACTTGGCAAAAAGACGGTTTTACAGAAGTAAAGCAGACAGAATGATTTGAAAATTACTGCACTGTGCAGTTTTTAAGAGGGCATAGTGTCAAAACCAAAAAATTTTTAAAAATTTTAGGTTAGTAGAAATATGCTACAAATACCAGAAAAACCATTTTGAATAATTTTTGAAGGTCTTACTTTAAAATGTCATAGGTATGACTAAAAATGTCACTATTACCATAAAAGTTCTAAAATAATTTCCAACCCTTATACTTTCAACACCTTGGTTCCTAGCAAACCTAACCTTAAATTTTAAACCCCACACCCCAATCTAACCAAAACACAACTCCCAAACCTGGCAAACCACTCAACTTCCTCCAACTCGAATAACAAACAAGAATTGGGCCGAAAAGTTGAGTAAAAGGCATTACTGGTTGGCCGTGGTGAAGGTGTTCCCTTCGTGGAACACACGAACTCAGCGAGCCGTGAAAAGTAATGGCAATAGAGGAAAAATCAAAATGACATCTCAACGAGTTCGGGCCGCTTTTCAACAAGCCCAAGTTTTGATGAAATTGTAAACTTTGCGCTATTTTTAGCCAGTTTTTCGAATTTTCGGCTTTGGGTAGGGGTTTTAAACAAAAAAATTTTTTTTAAAGTTTGAAGGCGAGAAATAAAAAAATATGTTAATTTAGGTAACAAAAAGTCATTTTCATTCATAAATTAAAACTTTCTCAAAAAAAAATAAACCCGAGAATCCAAAGCCCTATACCAACAAGCAAACGAATTGTAAAGTGATAACGTCAGCAGAATCCGGTCATAAAGAAGCCCTGCTTTACTACAATACCACCGTTAATCCGAACACTTTTCCCAGTGTTTCTCAGAGGCATAAAAGCATATTATTCTAAACTGATTAACGGCCCACCAGAGGTGATTTAGATCGTATAAGACAAGTTTTAATGTAATTGTTTTATAATTGAAAAAAATGAAAAATTGTAGTTACAGTCAAACCTGAAAAGAGGCCACTAGACCGAACTCACAAGGAATTGTTACAAACTGCTTGTCAAGCAAGTTTGACCAAGACTCTAGGGCTCAGCTTAGGTCCCACAACGAAAGGTTTGACGCCCCGGCCAGGCCGAAAAATTGGGTCCGGCTTTTTTAAAGGTATAACCATGGTAGAGAAAACAAGGGGTGGGTGAATACTGAGACAGAAGTATAGATGAATAAAAAAAAGACGAAAAAAAGTTAGTAGATGGTGGGGTACCTCAAAAAAACTTTTTTAATTTTAAATTGATCATTGAATCCTTTAGATCTCGGCCAAAACAAATTTACCCCCTTCCCCCTCCCCCTTACCTACTTTGATTTACTATAATAATCCCCCCTTTTTCCTCCCCCTTCATTAGAAATTTAATTTCACCCCCACTATTGCCTATAAAACTATAAAATAAATAGCCAATTAAAAAGAGCTGATTCCGTTGCCAAAAAATGGAAATTGGAATCGTCCGCTTCTCACGTTAAAAAGATTCAATTCGAAATCGATTATTCCGAACAAAATGATAAAATCGAAATGATAAGAGAACACAACTCTTTTCAGGGCTAAAAGGAATTTCAATATGACGTCGGGACATAAAAACACATTATCACTTTTGTCAAATACGCAATGTGACAAAAAAAATTTTGAGTTTCAAAGCATGATGACACAAATTTTGGAATCTTTTCAAATTTTACTAATACAGTGAATCTTTAGTATGACCTCGATAGTGTGACACCCTATTTTTAATGACAACCTTCTGATCACCTTTTGTAATGAAACTCCTATCAAAAACCACCTAGCTAATGTGCCACCCTACTTATAATGGCAGTTTGGCCATGTCTCTTGGGTTCCATAATAAAGAAGTTTAACTGTAAATATTACAGTTGTTACCTAAAAACAAAGAAACGTTTTATCGTATAAAGTGTCTCAACTTATAAAATGTCCCAGTAAAGCTTGAAATCCGTTTAAAAATAAAAAATGTTACCTAAAATTTTCTAAAAACCAGTTTTTAAAACATTTTTACTTTTTAGTTTGAAAACGTTTAATCGTATAAAATGTCTCCCAAAGAAGCCAAAAACAATTAGTTATGTAAAATGTCACCATATTTACAAAAAATAGCAAAAACAACAAATTTTCTATATTTGAAAGTCAGAAATGTCAAAGTTGTTCATGCCATTAAAACACAGTTTTGTTTGTTACCCTTTCTATAACAACTATTGTACAAGTATTATATAGATAATGCTATACAGTCAAGCATTAGACAGAAAAAGACATTATTCCAATGTTATATGTGTAATATAAAGAAGCGACAAGACGAAAAACAAAAAAAAAAATTACTGTTTACCACAAAGTCAATGTGCCAAAAGTGCCAGAATTGCGTGTAGAACATGGTAATCAGTGTTTGTGTGTAACCAAAAATAAGTTTTGATAAACTTTTTAAAATTATATTTTAAATTAAATTAAGCTAGAAGCTCTTTAAATATACTAAATACCAGATGCTTTTATAGTACGTCGTGCTTACGATAGTACTAGCAAACAATAGTTCTAAAAACAGCTCTTTTTATGTGGTAGTTGCTACTAATAGAAGTACTATCATATACCAAAAATATTATTCACAGTAGAGTAATGCCACATCTAATATAATTTAGCTTCAACTGTAAAAAAATGTAACTATAGCATAAAGTAGCAAAAAACTAGTTATATCAGCAAGCAAACGTCGTTCATAATTCGATCAACTGCTTAAACAGAACAATGCATCCTAAGTACGTTAACAACAATATGTGTTGTTAACATACAAATAAGGAAGTATGCTTCAATGTAAACCCCCTTATAATTGGTGTGAAATGGTCTGCCAAGATTTTTTATTACAATAGGAATAAGATGTTTTGAGACAGTACAACAAACAAACTTCCTCGTACTGAGAAAAACTCAGTTTTAGGCATTCATGCAATGCTTTTTAGTATTTGGTTTCAAAAATATAATTCTTAGTATTTTAGTTTAAGATAAGACCACATCTAGCCAAAACCCTCAGTTAAGCAAAACCTAAATCCAGCCAATACCTAAACTTAAAAAACCCAAAACTCAGCATATAAGGCAGGGTCAAATATGGATTGAGCATCCCAACCCCAAACGAGGTCAGAGCCCACTCCACCTTTTGCACCTGTCCGGCGCTGACCACGCGGGCCCTAAAGCACAAGGAGGGGGGAGATCCGCACTTGAGGGTACAGAGCAGCTCGAGGCGTGACGTCACAAAAGACGGGTCTCATTCCGTGTTTGCGTTTTTTCCGCCTCGAGGGGGCAAAACTGGTGGAGAAAACGACGTAAAACGAACTGTTTGGATATAAAAAAACGGAATTATACACGCGTTTCATAATTATGCAGATGTGACGGCAGTAGGGCTCGGATGGGAAAGGGGTACTCAAATTGTGGATTTGTCAAGGGCTAGTCAACAGAGAGGGGGGTTGGGCAAACTAGGGATTCGATAAGATGGAAAAAAGTAGCAGAATTGAGGATTCTGTCAAAGAAAACAGTACTTGCATTGAATATTCTATCAAAGAGAAAGATCTTCAAATTGAGAATTTGATTAAAAATACAGTATTCAATTAAGAATTCTTTTAAAAAATAATCTAATACTAAACATATTGTTATGAAACCGTGCTCAAACTGAACTGAAAGTCAGATAAAAAGTGCGAAAACCAAAAATATTATAAAGAAAAGACTAGCCAAATTAAAGATTCTTTTTAAAAAATATTAAAATTAAAAAACTGTCATGACAATCGCATTTGAATAAAGGATGATGTCCAAAAAAAGTACAAAAACTAAAAATATTGTAAAGGAAAAGCTATTCAAATTTAAAATTTGGTAAGAAAGAAAAGTGATACGAATAAGTTAGGAAAAAATAAAAGGGCATACGACTAATTTAAGCCAAAAAATTACAAAAACTTCCGTTTTTTGCTCTAATTTCAGGCGGTTTTTCCTTTGTTTAAAAAAAATCTTCGAAAAATATTTTTTAAAGAGTTGTACGAAGCCCCCTAGTTAACTTTTTTAAACTTAAAATAGTCCTAAAAAACCCTAATACCTATAACAATATAACCGAAATAACTTTTTTCGAAATAAATTAAAAATTTGAAGTCACGTTGCTGATTGACGTAGTAGTAGAAATTTGAATTGTCATCAGTTTAATGCGCTTATCTTAACGCAAAGGTTACACTAAGCAAAACAGTAAATACGAACACAAGTACACATTGCATATGGATGAGTAAATAAACAAAGCAGTAAGTAAACAGGTTTGAGTAGTACTATAATATGCAAGGGTTTGTGTACAAAACCTTTTTTAACTAGTACTGGCTTTTTTTAAACTAATACTGGCATACTATAATATACACTAGCGGTATTGTAGCTCAGTACGAAGATATTATTATATATGTAACTCAGTAAGAAGCCATGACTAGGAATGTAAAAAAAGCCTAAAGACAACCCTAAGCGAGTTTTTTTGTTGCCCATTACCCAACCCTTCCTTTCTCCCTAAAGAAAATACTCCTCATTTATCCACCCCCGATTAGCCCTCAGATACCCTTTCCAACTCTACCATAACTGTAACCAAAATAACTCGCCCAACTCTCCCTTAACTGTAACCAAAACACACGTCACCCATCCCTGACTACCTCAAAATACCCCGCCCAATCCTCCCTAACTGTTATATAACTCACTTACTCTATTACAGAAGCCCTATATGTAAAAAGTTACAGAGCTGGTAAATAGTAGTTGGCGTATCTAATATTTCTTGTATAGGAACGTTCCCACAGTCATGCACACTCGGCCACATGGTATGGTTAACATGTTGTGCTCGTATAGATAACTAATCAAATGCACTTTTACTTTTGGTTTTTTTGGTTTTTAATAAATTTAAAAATGAAAAAAAAAACTGTGGTATCTTAAAATAGGGTTTAATATACTGAGTTATGGCAATTTTATGTACTGAAAAAAAAATTTGAAAAATTTTTTAGTTTTTCTCCTCCCCCTTCCTCCCCTCATTTCTACCCTTTACCCTCCTCCCTCAATACCAAATCCAAAAACGTATAATTATAAAAAACTGATTAAGCCCCCCTCCCTTCCCGCCTTACAAGACATTTGAATCTCACGGCAGTAGCGCGGCTTCGACCCTAAAAAAGCGAAATTTGACTAGATATGACTTATAGCCTGCCAAAAACACGGCAATATAAAATAATAGACGAGCGTCGGGTGAAATGAAACGACGGAAAACAATTGTCTACAATGTTATACCCTACATACACTCAGGCTCACCCGTTCGCGGCCACAGTCGCAGTCCGGCGGTCGTTTGCGACCGAAATAGCGGTAGAGTCGTTTGCGCACAACTTGGTTCATAATTGACGTAAT